CAGATGAAGAAACTGAACCAAACAGGGTTAAGTGACTCGCCCAGTGTCACACAGCTAGTAAATGTCTAAGGCAGGATTTGAACTCATATCCTCCTGACTCCAGACCTGGCCCTTTATCCACTGTGCACCTAGCTGCCCTTAAAAAATCATGGGGCCAATGCATATAAAACCCCTCTGCCCCTAATAATATAATATGGCCAACCAGCAAATCCTTGAACTCTGTATTTCATTTTTCCACCTCTGTGTAATGCTTGACCCATATTCCCTCCTCAAGAACCTTTAATAATCCTTAATCCTTTTCTTCTTTCTAGGCTTACCTCCTGGAAGCCTTTCTTGATTTTCTAGTGATTAGTGCTTCCTTCCTCTTTAAATTACCTTCTATTTACTTATGTACATTTATCTTCTCAATAGAATGAAAGCTCATTAAGGTCAAAGGTTTTATTTTCATCTCTGTATACCCTTCACCACTTAGCACAGCAACTTGCACGTCAAAGATATTTAATATGTGCTTGTTGACTTTAAATCAGGATATATAAAAATTGTTTAACTGAATGGTTAAATAATTCATACTTTTATCTTTAGGTTCACTTACTATGTTCCGACAAGTGTGCTGAGTGAAATAAAGTAGAAAAAGCTAGAAAGTGCCTGCTTTCAGTGACTTTACACCCTATTTTGGAGGACATAATACAGAAGAGAAAGTGCAGGATGCTTAAGAGAATACATAAGAATACTTAAGAGAAAGTTCAGGGAAGGGGGAAAAGCCTGGAATTCCTAAGGGTCTGCAGTGCATGTCCTCAGGGTAAATGTAATCCAGAAGGACATTAAGAGAAGTGACGGATGGCAGTCCTCCATTTATCCGGAAGATACAGAGTTTATGAGTCTCATTACACCCAAGTCAGGTGAACAGTCAAGAATCCAGGATGGATTTTGGGTGGCCCTACCTGGAACAGGGGAGAATGACAGAAATGGAGAAACAATGTCCCTTATTTGGAATCTAAAATTATGGAATTTTAAAGCATGAAGAGGCCTTTTAGATTGTATGGTATAGTTCTATAGTCTGTCCTTTTTCAGATTTCTTTGCAGCTGAAAGAGATTAAAAGATTCCGCTAAAATCAAATGCTTAGTGTCCTTACCCAGACTCAAAATACAGGATAAGACATATTTGGAAATGGCCAATGTTGGAATTTGTTTTGCTCAACAATCGTGTTTGGTCATAAAAAAAAGTTTAGTTTTAGGGAGAAGTTTAAGTTTATTGAAAGATCTATGCAGTTTCATAGATGTAGCCTGGCCTTTTGTCTTATTCCCATTCATAAAATAACATTAGATGTTATTGCTGGAGGAAATATTGTTAGAGATCAGTTACTCCAGGTCCCTCCTAGAATCATGGAATTTCAATTAGAAGAGACTTCAGAGACCATCTCATGGATTATGGGATCATAGATTTAGAGCTACAAAGGAACTTTGGAAGCCATAAAGCCAAATCACCTCATTTTGTAGATGAAGACATTAAGTGATTAAGTGACATACGTGTGTGTATTAGTGTGTGTTACATATAACATTTATAATACATATAATGTTATTTTCTATTTATATTTTATGTATCATTTTATACATATACACACATTACATTGAGAATTAGAAGTTAGAAAAGTTTGACTCAGATCACACAGATAGGGGGCAGCAGAGTCTTGACTATAACCCAGGTTCTCTGGCTTTGTTCAAGAGCATCGGTTTCTTTTCTATACAACAAACATTGAGCTGCTTTCCCGCTTTCCATCCTTCCTTTTCTACATATAACAGGATGGTCCTGTAAGTGTGCTGGTTGATGACTCTGTGGCAAGATATGAGAGGGAAAAGTTGTTAGTTTGTTTGTTTTCCATTCACAAAACTCTTTTGTTAACTAGTCTGATAGTGTGTCTGAAAACCCCTATCATTGCTGTTATTCTGTTGGAGTAATTCATTATTTCCACCAAAATCTACTTGAAATAGAACTATGTTGCCTGGGAAGTATACCACTTGGTTAACCCATTAGCACCCATTTTCATGGATTAGCTTATTTCATTAGCTACCCAAATATTATTTCTATGCTGATGATTTTCTTATATCTATTTATCTATCTCTAACCTCTCTTTTAACTTCCAGACTCCCATCTCCAACTGACCCTTGGATATCTCAAACTGGATAACTCCAATGTGTCCTAAACTAAATTCATTATTTACCAAAGCCTGTTAATTTGACCTGTGTAACATCTCTTGTATAAGTTCCCATCTCTGCCCTGATACTGCCACCACTGTGATGCAGATCCTCCTCACCTGATGTGGGGACTTCCATAACAGCCTATTCGTTGGTCTCCCTGCCTCAAGTTTCTTCCCCTTCCAGTCAATCCTCCACTCAACTGTCAAAGTGATATTCCTAAAGCTGGTCTGACCACATCATTCCCTGTTCAATAAACACCAGTGACCCCTTATAATTTCCAGGATCAAATATAAAATCCTCTGATATCCAAAGTCCCTCCTACCTTTCCAGTCTTGTTTTACTCTACTCACACTTATATATTTTGCAGTGCAGTGACACTAGCCTCCTTGCTTTTCCTCCCACAAGAAAATTTCCATACTCTGTTCATTTTCCTGGCTGTGCCCCATACCAAGAATTCCCTCTCTCCCTGTCTTTGCCTCCTGACATCCTTCATGTCCCAGATAAAATCCCACCTTCTACAGGAAGCCTTTCCTGATCACCATTAATGCTAGTGCTTTCTCTCTGTTGAGTATCTCCAGTTGATTGTTTATACCTTATTTGTGCATAGGTTTGGATTTTTTTTATTGTCTCCTCCATTAGTCTCTGAGCTTCCTGAGAGCAGCAACTGATTTGGGGTTTTGTTGTTGTTGTCTTTCTCTCTATCCTTATTGCTTAGCACAGTTCTTAGAGTTGTTTAACTGTTGACAGACTGAATGACTTTTGTATAGTGAGGAATAGAACACAGGAGATCAATGTTTTCATGAAAAGGAGGTTTGGATCACAGTAAACTCTCACAGAAGTCTTGTCTATGTGTACATTGTGGGATAGTGGCCAAACACTAGGCACTAGAAGTTTGGCAGAGGTCATCAAAAGAAGAGAGGAAATTCATTCTGAGAAGGACTGAGCTTTGAATGAAGTTGTATATGAGGCAAAATTAGAATTTTGTCTACTACCAACTCTGAGGCTTTAGAGGGTAAGGGAAATATGCCAAGTATATAATGAATGATCCTACACAAGATAAGAAATTAACCTCTCTTTCACATGAAACAACTATTTTATGATTATTCACATTGCCTTATTAAATAAAACACTCCTGTCCCCAAGAGGTTCTAGCCAAAGGCTACAGCTGACATTCAAAGATTAAAGTCTTTGCTCCATAGACTCAATCTTTTGAGTCCTGAGGAGCTGTACTGTTGTAAATGGACTTCCTTTGCCTGCTGGACTGACTGTATCCCCACCCCATTCCGTCATCAGCATTGTGGCTAGAAATGAGAATGTATGCTGTAGTCATTCTTATGTTAATGTGAGTGACTAGTTCCAGTTCCCAGTTCACAAAACAGGAACTGAACAAACCCTAACAGGAAGCTCTGTTTGTTTTTAAGCCAAATGAAAAAAGGTAAAGGGTGACAGTTCATGTTCTGTACTCCATTTGTCTATTCAAGCCTTCCACTCAATGTATAGAGTGAGTGGAATTGGTCAATTTGATTTGATATTACTTAGCTTTCCAAATATTTTTTCCAGAATTTAGAGGAGGAGCTATGGTGTGGTAGAAATACAAATGGTCCTGAACTCTAAAAAACTGGGTTTGCATCCTGGCTTCTTCTGTCTTCGTGATCTTGGGCATGCTATATCATTCTCTCTAGGTCAGTTTTCCTACCTATAAAGTGGCAAGAAAAAACTGGAGATGAACTAGATAACTTCTAAAGGTCTCTTCCGACTGTTCCTTGAATCTGTTTGGTAGTTGTTAGTTTTTCATTTCTTCATATATATATATATATATACACACATATACAGATATGTATTTTATATACATATCTGTATATACATATATCTTTTAAGAGAATGTCATACATGTATTTGGGGTTTATTATAGTCTTTAAGTTGACTCAGAGGTGTCTTCTAAATACCACAGGATTCCCAGAAGGCATTTTTAAGTTTGTTTTTAATATTAAGTCCATTCTCCCTTTAAAATAAAATAGGAGCAGTTACTGAAAACAAATTCATTTAAATGCCAAAAGGTTTGAACCCAAACTTAATTTGTAAAGACTAGCTATCAAGAGTGGTAAAAAGATGAGTTCTTATTACTGTCTGAAATGTATATGGAATTTTTAAAAATAAATTTTTTATAACTTATATGCTTTTATTAAACCCAAATGATTGGTTCAGCTTACATAAGAAAAGTAAAAATAGGCCTGCCTTCAGGCGATATTTGTCACACAATTTACCTTGCTACAGTGAATGGCTCTTTTCTCTGTTCATTGTATTCAATATGGTGAGAGCTGAGAGCTGCATTTTTTATAGTTTTAGTCATCACATGACCTAATTTCCGTGGCATGAACCATCTGAGAAATTTCAGCGTCTTTGGGCATTTGCAAAGAGTTGCTGTTTCTCAAGGACAGCACAAGTTTAAGCTCCTGTCTGTTCTGTGCAGCTCTCCCAGCGAGCAATCAGTGATCAACGTCATCCTCTTTCTTTTTGCCACCTAATATAGCTTTCACAGCAGTTTTTCCGGGTTCACTGCATCTCTCTTTGCTTTGTGGTTTAGCTGTGCTGTGAGATGCAGCCTGACTTGTTCTCTTCCACAGTCCACATCCTGCCTTTCAGCTACTGCTGCTGATGATGTCTGGCTTCTGAGACACAGAGCTGTGATTTTATTGGCTGGCCCTGGAGAAGGCTAGCCTGCCTGCCTAAAGGAAGATGAATGCTACTAGTTCTGTTTCCTTTTGATGCTGCTCTGACCCACACAAAAAAAAATGTTTTCTCAGGAGCTGGCTCAGAAAATCAAGGGATACCAGGAACAGATTGCCTCTTTGAATTCTAAGTGCAAGATGTTAACAATGAAAGCTAAGCATGCTACCATGCTGTTGACAGTGACAGAAGTAGAAGCGCTTTCAGAAGGAATGGAGGACCTGGACACTGAGCTCCTCCCAACGCATCCCACACATCCCTCAGTGGTTATGGTAAGGACCAAGCTGGTATCATTGTCCTCTCCTATTAGCAGTACTACAGTCTCTCTCTCTGTTGCTTTGCTTGGGTAGAGCCAATGCCCACATTCCCCCTCTCTGTGCCTGGCTTCACCACTCTACCTTGGATGTTGCAGATTAGAATGGACTGAGAGTTCTTCATTAACTTTCTATGGCTACACTTGTGTTGTGACTGAGCTTTTACACTGCAACTAGTGGGCTTGCAATGAAGTTATATGGTGAAGAAAGGGATCAGTGTGATTTGAGTCTGCTCAATTAATAATATTTATAACCAACACTTAGGATGTTCAGTGTCTGTCTCTAATTATGCATGTTGACTTCTATGTACATTTTAAAATAATGTTTTGTGTGGTGGCTGGTTTATTTGGGGGAGGAAATCTGATAACAAGTTTTTTTATATTCTCTCTGATGTAATACATGATGGTAATTTCTGTACCCTTTTTGGTTGTAATAAACCCAATTTTATTAAGAATTAGAAGAAATTGTTATTATAAGGAGAGTTACAATATAGAAGATGAAAAGAAATAAACTCCATTAAGTTCTGTTCTGCAACATTCAATATCTCACACTCACCCCAGTACAAAATTACTGGCAATAATTTAATTAGCTATTGTGACTTTTGACATTTTTTTTAAAATACAATAGTTATCATTTAACATTTGGCCTTAACTTTTTTGTGTCATATATTGCTTTTGGATACCCTTCAGTTTCCTAGATTATTGTTAGAATTATGAGATGATCCAGAAAAATTTAATTCTGTTTCATAGACCCTCTATAGTTGCATGGAACAAGGTAATTCTAGCCTTTATGAACAACAATAGTTTAAAAAATTAGAGAATATTAGTTAGCTCTAAAATTTAATAGTGTAATATCCAACATCTTTGTTGGTTCAACTAGTGGCCATATGCATCCCATCAATCATAGAATTGAATCTTCCAAATTCTTAATATAAAATGGATCCCCAAAACTGTATCTCAGGAATTCTAACATTACCTGTAATTTTACAAGTTTTGATTTGCACCTAATTAGCCTTTTTTGTTGACATGTTCCTGTCCTTTGGGCTTGCATTTCCTGTGACAGATGACTGCGGGTCGCTGTCACACGCTGCTTTCACCTGTCACTGAGGAATCTGGGGAGGAGGGAACCAACAGTGAGATTTCCTCTCCACCTGCCTGTCGCTCTCCTTCACCTGTGGCTAATACAGATGCTTCTGTTAACCAGGTACCTCCTACTTGGCACTCACTCTGGACAGATGCAGGACCCCATCCTGGGTATTTTGCAAGCTGTTTCTATGCTTGTGGATTGATTGATTTGAATACCATTATGGTTTTTTTGTTGTTGTTATTGACGATGGGCACAATATCATTTATTAACGCAAAGCATGACTGCCTTGTGAAATTCATTTCATAACTTGGAAAATCACCTTAACTGTCTCTTTGAAAGTGAGATGAAGAAAAACTACATTCCTGGAAGTGAAAGCATTGTGAAGAGCTACTAAATGCTATATGAAGGCCTCACTTTCTATTTATCTATGTATAATGGATACTGTATCCTAACAGAGAATGAGGTGGTATGACATACTTATTGTTACTGATTTAACTACCACTGTGACTGCCATTGTTTTCCTCACAAGCATTTTAAAAATTACAATTAATTATAATTTAAATTATAATTAATTATAATAATATTAATTTGAGATTTTATATATTCTAAATATGACCAAAGTAAGAATAATAACTCACAATATAATGCTTTAAGGTTTACAGATCACTCTGCTCACAACATACCTGTGGGGTAGGTGGTTCAAGTATTCTTTTATACATTGAGGAAATTGTTCATGTCAGAGATTGTGATCAAATCTACATCTCCTAATTCTTAGGTCAACTCTCTTTCTACTACAAGACTCTTTTTTTTGTAACACATGCTAATATTATATGATCATGATTTGGAAACTCAACAACAACTTTAGAATTTTTTTTAAGGGAGCAGGGTCTACTCCTGGTGTGGAAATTAACTCAGATAATCAGTTCATCTGCAACTTCTAGTCTTAGATTGTTGCTGAGACATCAAGTGGCTTGGACATATTCCCAAACTAGTATGGTCAAGAGGTAGGACTTGAACCCAGGTCTTCCTTATTCTGGTGCCAATTCTCTCATCTATGGTATTACAGTACCCTGGAAGATTTTACAAGAGCTTACATTCCATTGACTTAGCCTTTTAGAATCTAAGGCCACCTCTATGGTAATAAGATATTGGTGGAAAGACTTTAGTGAAAGATGGAAAATTTATCCTTTTTCTTAAAATGTTGCATTTTACACACAGTCTACCTCAAATTTAAATCTCTTGGTATTCATTTTTTTATAATTTTTATCATTGTTCGATTTGTCATAAAGTTTCATGGAACTAGTAAAATGACATGATAGAACTAAATTATTTCCAAACTTTCTTCCAGTATTAAGATTCTCTGAGTTGTTTGAAATAAAGAGTATTTTTGTTCTCAAGTACTTCTTGAGTTATATGGGGTGAAGTAGATTGGGCTTAACTAGAGTCCAAAATGATGATCATCTGTATTATTTTGATGCAGTTTTAAGTATGTAATTAAAAATTACTACAATCAGTGTTTGGATTATACTGATGGGAAATTAGGAATTCTTGGCTAAATCTATATAATATCAAATATCCAGATTAAATCCAAAAGTAAATTTACTCCAACAACTAGGTATTTTCCTATGCATCTGAATATTTGGACAGATCCAAATAATTGGCTTGAATCTCTGGTTTTCATCTATACTAGGAAATATATAGATAGCTCCTTGGTGTGTTTCACAACATTTTCCAAGATCTATTAGCAAGACCATTTCTCCTCAGCTATTTTAATATAAATTGCACATAATTTAAAATAGTTACATATTTAAATCATTAAATGATGTGGACCAGTAGAAAGAGCATTCATTCTGGAGTCAGAGGACCTAGGTTCATATTTTACCTCTGCCACATTAGCTGTATGACCCTGGGGAAATTATTTAACTTTCTTGTACCTCAGTTTCCTCATCTGTAAAATGAAGAGGTTGGATAAGATCCCTTCTGTGAAGTCCCCTTCTAATTCTATAATCCTCTAATCTTGTTCATTTCCCCATATTCTGTGGGGATTGGCAAAAATAAATAAATTTTGTTTCCTACTGATAAGTAGCATTACTGTTTAATTTTTGTTTTTATATCTACAGTGCCTAGTACATAGTTCATAATAAATATTATGAACAACACTGCCTTACCACTGTGAATATGTATTTGGCTATATTTGAAATTGAAAACTGTTTTAAATATGGTGAATGAGGCAGCCCTGGACAAAATTGTAAAACAGGAAAAAAAATTCTCTTGATCTTAATCAGTACTCCATTCCACTACCCACCCCCATTACCCATTCCTACCTAGAGAATTTCCCACCATTCACCCGCTCATTTTGCAAAACCTATTTTCATACTTTTTATTCTAGAGTATAAATGAATAATAGTGTGATAAAGTATTGTTCACACACACACAGTATCTACATTTTAGTAAGGATGAAATATCTAAACCAAATGGGTTTAAGCTCTATTTTAAGCATCAACCAATATGTATGGGGGTGATGATGGTTGTCAGTAAGTTGAAAAGTATTTATTGTGATATGTGAAAATTATGCTAAGCATTAGGGACACAAAAAAGACAAACCATGGTCCCTGCCCTCAGGGAGGTCACATTCTAATGGCAAAGACAACATGCAAACAACCACAAATGGACAAGACATATAGATATATACAGTGTAAATTGGAGGTAGTTTCAGAGGGAAGCCATTCATTCACACTGAAAGGTGGGAGTGGGGAATGGGAAAGGTCTATTGCACATGGTGGGGATCTAAGCTGAATCTTGAAGGAAGCCGGGGAAGCTAGTAGGCAGATCCTAGGAAGGAAAAAGTCCAGGCATTGGGGAGCAGCCAGACTCCCAGAGTTGGAACTTAGATTTTGCAGTATAAAGGACAATAAGAATTCCAGGCCAGTGACACTGAAATATAGAGTATATGGAGGGGAGTAAAGGGGAAGAAGACTGGAAAGATAAGAAAGGACCAGAATATGACCAGTTTTGAAAACCAAACAGGAATTTTTAAAATTAAGTCCAGGATAAAACAGGGAACTACTGGAGTTTTTGAATAGGGGAATAACATGATCAGACTTGTCCTTTAATAAAATCCACTTCAGGTAAATCAGAGGAGATAAGGGGATATATATGAGAGATGTTGCAAAGGCAGAAATGACAGAACATAGCACCAGATGGAATGTACGGGGTAAGATTGAGGCATCTAAGATGACACCTGTATTGTGACCCTGGTGATGAATGATATATTTCTTGATACATTGGGACAGGAGGAAATTTGCCCGTAGGACTCATTTGCTTATGTGGTAGGCCCATCTTCTAAAGTATACCTGTATGTATATATGTAAATATGTATGTGTGTGTGCATACGCACATATGTCCCATTAAGAGACAACCCAATACCTAGAATGGCCTGTCTTTTTTAGATGGGTTGTGAAACTTGGGGTACCCTCGGCTACCACCTGAATTTAGACCCTTCAGGAGGAAGAAGGGACGGCGAGGTTCATTCATTCACTAATTCATTTATTCATTAATGAATTAATCTTCTATTGCATAGTGTATTATTCACTGGGTGTGATATAAATTTTAAATAAAATTCTGTTCAATAGCAAAACCACACACCAGCAGTTAGAGGAGACATATTAACTTGTCCCTTCCTGTTTCTACACATCTTGACCTTGAGTAACAGAGTTTTTCATTCTTTCTAATATTTCTCAGCACATGGTAATGGCCTGTGTGTGCATTTAAAAAAAAAAAAAAGGAAAACATATGTCATTCTATATAAAAGAGGCACTCTGGAATGGTAGACAGAGTACCAGCCTCAGAGCCAGGAAGACTTGCATCAGTCATCACTCACATCTATAGGCTGTATAACCCTAGGCAAGTCACTTAATTTTTCTGTGCTATGGATAACTTTCTGAAATTGTAAGCTTTGGAGAAGATGTAATGTATTTTGGTAGAGAAAGGTAGTCATTCTAGGAATTATCTATGGCAGTAAAATCACAGGTCAAGTCCCTCTATACCATGATATTAACACCACCAACATCACCAAAATTTTGTTCAAAACCTAGTAGAGAGACATAAAAAGTTCAGTTCTTAAGTCGACATGTCTATAATATAAAGCCTTGATATAAATTATCTCATCATATCACCCTTTTAAATCTTCATAACAGCCTTCTAAGACAGGTGTTACAGTTATTATTCTGATTTTACAGAGACTGAGATGTATAGACTAAGTGACTTACCAGTGGGCACGTAGCTAGTAGATCTCAGTGGCAAGATATAAACCCAGTAATTATTCTTCTAAATACTATATCCGTGAATCTTAAATTCTTTCCAAAACTTTTTATTAACTAAAATGTACATTCTTATCCTAAAATTTGTTTTCTGCAAATGTTGACTTTAGAAAAATATTGTGGAAACAATTCTATTTTGAAAATTTTACTTAAGCATTATTTTCATCTAAATAGTATATGTAGTCACTATAGCTTATAGATTCATGTATTGAAAACAAACAAATCATAAATCCTCCATGTTTGTAAGCAAATTATATCCTTGTACAGAAATATGAGTTAATGGGGAAAGGGTGCAGAAATATTACATAATATCTGTTGCATGATGCCTACTGAATTTCAGTCTGAGACTACAGAGAGCATTTTCATAGTAATTAATCTTAAGCATTAGTACTCAGGCTGAAAATACTTTAAAAATCACCCAGAACTGAAGTTCATTATTCTAAGTCAAAAATAGCAGTTTCTTAATAGTTGCAGCTGTTACAAAGGAAAGAGGGTTGGTGTACTTGTTCTAAGTAAACTTAAATTAAATAGCTGACCCATCCCCACTCACAAGTCATATTAACTGTAGCTATTAGCCAACTTATACCAATAACTAGGTTTATTCTCAGACAGAGGCAACATGACAAAAGCAGAAATTCAGCAAATACCTGGCATTCTTTTGAAACACACTTGGGTTCTATCTTAACCGAAAAGCAAAGTAGAGGGATAAGAAAAAGGTGTTTGGGGCCTGAATTTCTGAAACTTTTCTCTCTGACAATTCAGCAAGCTTTGTAATTATCCATTCTCCTAATTTAAGAATTTGCAGATGTCATGGTACATTTCTTAATGATAGGTCTTAAGGACCTTCAGTACCTAGAATATTCAAATTAACTGAGGTCTCCTACTTACTTTACTGAGTTTATATGAGTCTATGAACTCTGTCTCTAAGTATACCCAAATAAATCCTTTTTTTATAAAGTGGGATCAGAACACAATTTTGACAAATTTGAAATTGCATGCATGTCTAGACTAGAACTTTCATGGCAAAATGCTTCATTCAGTCTCAAGACCAAAGACTTTGATAAGACGTATTTGAGAAAACAGCTATTATAAGGGTACTGCTAACTGTAGCACTATATATATTAAAAATGAAATGTGCTCTTCCTCCATGCATCTCATAAAAGTATATCAGAGCTCCAACATAAACAATAAGTCAGAAAAATAGTTTATTGTTTTTGTTTTGGGATTTTTTGTTAAGGGTGTTTATTATTTGTTAAGGATATTTATGAGCCTTTTTATAGGAAATATTTTATTTAAAGTAATTGGCTAATTACTTTAACACCATTTAAATGTGATAAAACTAAATCACACATATTTCAAACCTCAGGCATAGATTAAAGCATAGATTAAAAACTTCATCATATAGAACAGCTTGAAAATTTATGAATTTGCAATACATGCCAAAAAAGGAAAACTTAAAATTTTCTATTTTGAGACTTCCTTTGAGCTGTTGACACTATATCCGTGTTGCACAGAACTTATTCATAAGTAACTGTTAGCAAATTCACTAATTATATTCATATATGTGATTCTATTATGAATGGTAAATGTTTTATTAAACTGAGTTCAGTTGTTTATTCACGTCATTTATAAGGCAGAGATAACGTCCTGGAATAAATACTACTTGTATAAATTGTGTTTCCTAGCAAAGAGAAAGTCATAATGTACAGAACGGCCATTCTCAGTAAGATACAGTCTTTTAGAACAATGAATGGTTATCCTTCCCAATAAATTAAGAAATAAGGCAATTCATAATTAATTTCCCAATACATATTTTCTGTAAGGGTATTAGCCCAAATTTGATTTTATCTGTGACACATTTGTCACATTTTATTTGTGACACATATGCAGTCATCCACATTCCTATGTTATCTGTCCACTTACAGTTAACTTCTGTTTTTAGCATCAGTGAGGGAGGCCAACGAAATTAGTCATTCAAAAAGTTCCTGTCCATTTGGCTTTATCATGCATTATTCTGTTACTGGATTAACTAAAGGGCTTTTTTCCAGTTTCCTTTTGTCTGGTACTAACTCCTCCTTTGAAAAGGTGAGAGAAACAGACCTTACTCAGCCTAGAACATCCCATTACCTATTGAACCAGCTGAGCTAGGCTATTATTTAGCTCTTCCAGATCAGAAACCTTCACCTTGAACTCATTTCTCAGGATGAATGTGTGTTAGAAGTGCTATTCAAAGTTTGGAAGAGATATGGGAGGAAGTAGTCACTCTAAGGAGTCACCATTTTTAACTGAGAGATCAGAACTCATGAAGCATAGATTTAGAGCTGGAAGAGATGTCAGAAGCCATCTTGTCCAACTTCTTCATTTTACTCTTGAAACAATTAAAGCCCACAGACATTAGTGATTTGGTTGAGGTCACAAAGGTAGTCAGAAACAAATGTGGGATTTGACCTCTTTCAGCCTATAAATCAACATTATTTTTTGCTGTATCAGATCCTAGACTATTTCCTAGAACAAACCCAAGAGAAGGTGACTAGTACAAATAGATATTACAAAGGTAAATCTGCCATATTGTTTCTAGATACTTTTTTTGGTTAACTTTTTTTTCATTATTAGGTAAATAAGGGAATGATCCATAAATACCAAGGCAATTAAATTTGTTTTGTTCTTGTCATCTCAAACAAAGATGATGGATTTCAATTTGTTGAATCAATCAATGAAAAGATCTGCTGCAACCAGGAGTACAAAACTGACAGGATTTAGGATATTTATAAGATTACTTCCAATTTTCCCTAGTCCGATCTCCTCAAGCTCTTTCCTATATCTCATCAAGTTTGATGCCTTCATAGGCACTTCCAGGGCTGGATTGAAAGAGAGAGTGTGCACAACATAATTTATTTTGCTGTAGCATATTTTGCTTTGTTTTATTAAATGTTAAAACATCTCAATTAATTTTGTCACTTCTAAGTACACTGAGTAAGCAATGAACTTGGTGACCTAGTCTGTTGCTTCTTCTGCGTACTTGTATATCAGAGGGAAATTATCTTTTTTGTTGTTAAGTCATTTATTTAGTCATGTCCAACTCTTGACCACATTTTTTCTGGACATTTTTTCTAGAGTGATCTACCATTTTCTTTTCCAGAGTCCCCATTTTACAGTTGAGGAAGCTGAGGTAAACAGAGGTTAAGTGACTTGCCCAAGGTCACATAGCTAGTAAGTGTCTGAGGGTAGGTTTGAACTCAGGTCCTCCTAACTCCAGGCCCACCACTCTATCCATTGCTCCACTTAGCTGCCTAGAAGTCATCTCAGGAAACACAAATTTAGTCATGATAATTAGAATAGAAATTATCCATCACTGACAAAATCTGAAAGAAAAAATTGACCTGGATTTAATAGTATTTGAAAAGAGGGAGAAACCCTTTTGCAAATATTTTTTTTTTCAATAGAGGAAGCATAGTATAGTGGATAGTGTACCAGCTTTAAAGCCAGGAAGACCTCGATGTATGCTTGGCCTCTTCTACATGCAAGCCCTGGAACCCTGAAAAAGTCAGTAGCCTCCCTACTGCTTTTGGCCACTTTAAAATTTTAAGCTGCAGAAAAGGTACCAACCTGCATTGATAGAGGTAGTTCCCTCACCTGGGGGTTCCCTCTTCCTATTCTCTTAAATGAGGCAAATTTTAAAGTGATTTAAGTCATAATCTAGTAAAGAAAATAAAACGATAAACAGAGAAAATTTTAGCTCAATCCTCTGCTGCTCTAATTCAATTCACCACATTTATTGATCACCTATAATAGGCAAAGGACTGCACTAGATGCTATAAAAACAGTGTAGTATATTAGTTGGAGGATGGGTTAGATACAAAGATGATGACCTTCAAGAATATTGTGCTTTAGAGCTGAAAAAGAACTTAGATAGCAACTAGTTCAACCTTTTAATTTTGCATACACTCCACTAATCACTATAAAAGTAAGCAAGTCACTTCTATTCTCCATGATTTCATTTTATTAAATAGTAAATGAAGATTTCTGCTGCAAGATAGGATGTTATTTTTTAAGAAAAACCAATACTCAGAGACCCTCTTTACAGGGTTACATTGACCTGATATCCCATAATTATATATGGTACCACAAAAGAATAGCAACTCACTACTTATTCTGTTATTACAAAAATACAGAATCCATTCCCTCCCCTGATAGCATATAGGGCATGTTCACAAAGTGCTCCATCTTTCTTTTGAATGCAATGTTGTGCTTCACAATCGTAGGACATTGCTTATTACCAAGCCTTATCTGCTGAACAGTTGCAGAATGATGCTGCCAGAATTCAAGCCAGCACATCATCAACTCAGGAGTTCTATGACCCAGGGCTAGAGTCATCTACCAGTGCTAAACTGGACGATTTGCAGCGTTCATGGGAAACCCTAAAGAATGTGGTAAGTCATTGAGCATATTGAATTATAGGTATGTTATCAATTTGGCAATTGTATTGTGAAATAAATGTATATACTTTCTACACCAGATATACAACATTGGGTTTCAGAGGCTAAAAAAAAGTGAAGAAATAAATGTTGTAATCAGGATGATAAGGGCTTGTGGAGATATTTGGTAATATCCCTTTTCTTATTTAGATCAGTGAAAAGCAGCGTACTCTCTATGAAGCTCTGGAACGCCAGCAGAAATACCAAGACTCTCTTCAGTCTATTTCTACAAAGATGGAGGCTATTGAGGTGAAACTGAATGAAAGTCTAGAACCTAGCAAGAGTCCAGAAAGCCAGATGGCTGAACACCAGGTAAAAAAAATTAGCTACGACTTTCGTTTTCTAAATGATTGAATAGGTGCATAGTTATAGTTTGTCTAACAGGCTCAGGAAATGAGACTGAATTTTTTTTCTTAGTATGCTACTTCTTTGTAGAGCAAGAAGGTATTCCATAGCATATTTCTTACCTCTCAAGCTATGAAGTGAAAGCAAAGTCAGGGAGGAAAGACAAGTGTAATCTCCAATAAAAACTGCAATTGTAGGTATTTTGATCTATTTTTAAAGCCTCACTTAATTTTCACCAAAATACGCTTTTCCCTAATGTTCCTCAGGTATTTATTTTATATTTTAATACATTGCAATATTGACTCTGGGTTCTACTCTACCGACCCTTGCTTGAACTGGGAGGTTAGGTCTTCAGAAGGAAGATAGCTACATCTCTCCTTAGTGTTCTAGGGGTGTCACTGAGGGGGTGGGGTTGTCTTCTAATGCTAGTTCTCTTAAGCTCCTATGTGGTATATTTCCCTCTAATAGACTCACTATCACTTAATAAGCATCATAATGTTATTTGACCATTTGATAATTTCTTAACATCAGTAATAACCAATTAACATTAATTAGATTTTACAAACAGAAATTTAATAAGAAAATATAGTGAGGACAAAAGTACAAACACATCCCCTTGAATTATCATATACTCTCCCCTTTAAAGCGCAGTCCTTAGGAAGAATAGGTTTAAACAAAGTGGTTGTTACAAATTCTTCCTCCCACAAAGTTTCCTTCTGAGTGAGACATAGCCAACAAACAAATCACTCTCTTGCTTTCAAGAATTGCTTTCTCAGGGGCAGTCAATCTGCTGCTGGGCTGGGTCAAGCAGGTGATTTATTGGAGCTTTGCTGGTATCTCTCCCAGCTTTGCCATGGCAGGTACTGGCCAACTCTGCCATGCACTCCAGTTTTTGACCTCCATTGGTTCTTCTGAGCTCATGAAGTTGTTATATCTTTGACACTCATCTATATGGGATCTGGGAAGAATAATTACATTAGAGATGTAATGGAACTGCCTAGTATTCATGTCCACGTAGAGGCCTGAGTGGGAAGAGTAAGCAACTGGGCCCAGTTGATAAGTTCCCCATTATACTCGTAAATACATAAAATTCTGCCTTTTGTCTCTATGCCTTTACACAGGCTATGTCTCCTTCATGTTTTTCATGTACTTCCTTCTCGTCTCTACCTCTTAGAATTCCTAGCTTCCTTCAAATCTTAGATCAAGCTTTACCTCCAACATGAGGCCTTACCTGATCCTCTCAGCTGCCAATGACTCCCTACCAGAATCACCCTAGAGTTACTTTGTGTGTATGTGTGTGTTAATACATGTACATGAATAAGCCTGACACTGTTTAACAAATACACATTGATTGATTGAATTAACATACATGGTACAACATTAAGCTAGATCTGAAGATTGTTTTCCCTTGTACATATATATGCATACATATATACACACACACATATATGCATATACACATACACATATACACATGCATATAGATATATATGCATACAAACATACATATATACATACACACATACATATATACATACACACACACACACACACACACACACACACACACACACGTATTTGGCAAGGCAATTGCAGTTAAGTGACTTGCCCAGAATCACACAGCTAGTAAGTGTTATGTGTCTGAGGCCACATTTGAACTCAGGTCCCCCTGACTCCAGGGCTGGTGCTCTATCCACTGCACCACTAGCTGCCCCTTTTCCTTGAATATTTACTTACAACATAGTGGTTGTAAGAATACTGCCCTTAAAAACACATTTTTACCAGAGACAGGAGTCATAAAGTAAAGAGATATCTCTCAGAATGAGTTATAGAAAATATTAGGAGTAATGCGATAATGTAACTGAGATCAGAAGATATTTCTTAGGTTTAGAAGTAACACTTTATACTTATCTTCCATTTTAGGGTTTACAAATCCATATTTATATGTCACATCTTGAAACCTGCTATAAATATCTAAGAAAATATTGTAATCTGGCCATTCATAGGCACTGAACAAGTATATATCATACAGATAATAATGTATGTAGTAATACGTATAAATATTGTGTTGGACTTGGAGTTTAGAAGAGCTGATTTAAAATCTTGCCAACTAGCTGTGTGACCCTGCACAAGTCACTTAACTTATCTCAGCCTCAGTTTTCTCATCTGTGAAAGGAGCAGGTACTACGTGATGGCCTCCAAGGTCCCTTCTAGCTCTAAGCCTATCATCTATGATCCTAGTGCAAGATCATTTCAGTTTATCATAAAACCAGGTCATAGTGACCATTGGGAAATACTATGGCTTCAATTCCATCATACTCATTTTGTTCCTTAAGGTAAGAGGCAAATTTATGTAGTCAGAGAATTTCATCACCCTGGCACCCAGCCAGTCTCTCTGACCTTTGCAAGATTGATCTTCAGATAGCAGCCACATAGTCATATCTGCCTGTACTTGAAGGCTTTTCATCTTAGAAGCCTGCCAGAACTTTTGTCCACCTTTCCTGGTCTTCAGAAACCCTGTCACAGTGAAGCATTAGGGTATGGGTCAAGTTCAGAAGTAGGGAACCTTGAGGCCACATGTGGCCCTCTAGGTCCTCAAGTGCAGCCCTTTGGCTAAATCCAAAATTCACCAAAGATTCTGTCAAAGGGTGGCACTTAAGAACTTAGAAAGAGACATGTTGCCTCGAGGCCTCAAGTTCCCCACCCCTAGTCTAGTTACTATTTTAATCTTGAATTGAAAACATAGGCATGTAGAGTGGATCTATAAGTATGCTTCTTCAACACAGAGTTCAATATTTAGACACTCATTTAAGATCTTTGAAAAATGGTTAAAGATGTTCAGATCAAAACCAAATGGAATTATAATTTTGTGCTAATTTATTTTAAACTTTTGATATTTTTATTAGGTGCCTTTTTTAAGTTGACATTTTTTATGTGTCATAATATTCCGAAGCTTAATTCAGCCATTCAATCAACAAGCTTTAACTAAGATCCTACTATGAGAATATAAAGACAAAAATAAAACAGTTCCTACCCTCAAATTGGTTACTTTTCATTGACAGAATGAACATTTAAGTATACAGGCACACCTCAGAGATACAGCAAGTTAAGTTCCAGACCACTGAAAAAAAGTAAATTCACAATAAAGCAAGTCACATGAAATTTTTTTTTTTGGTTTCCCAGTGCTTATAAAAGTTAGGTTTATGCTATACCGTAGTATAATAAGTGTACAATAGTATTAGCTCTAAAAAACCAATGTACTTACCTCAATTAAAAATATTCTATTGCTAAAATATGCTAACCATCATCTGGGCCTTCAGTAAGTCATAATCTTTTTTGTTGGTGGAGGATCTTGCCTCAATATTGATGGCTGCTGACTGATAAGAGTGGTACTTGCTGAAGGTTGGGGTAGCTGTGGCAATTTCTTAAAATAAGTCAACAGTGAAGTTTGCCTCATTGGTTGACTCATCCTTTCACTTGAACACTTAGAGGCAATTGTAGGATTATTAACTGTCCTAATTTCAATATTGTGTCTTATAGAATAGGGAGGCCCAAGGAGAGGGAGAGAGACAGGGGAAAGTGGGTTGGTGGAGCAGTTGGAATACCCACATTTCTTGATTAAGGTCACCATGTTAGTTTTACAGTTATACCCCTACCTCTCTTACTGGAAAAGAAATGAGAGTGAAGCAAGAAAATCATGAAAAAAGAGTCTACAGCTAGATAAAGGAGGCACAAAAAATACTGAAGAAAATAACGCCTTTAAAAACAGAATAGGTCAAATGGTAAAACAGGCACAAAAACATGATGAAGACAAAAATGCCTTATAAAATGAGGGGATTGGCCACCACGGTCTCTAGATTTCCTCTTAGCTTTATCTTTGAGCCCATGATTCATTGTCCCTCTCTGCAAAATGAGAGGGTTGACTCAGTAGCCTCAGAGTTTCTTTGTAGCTCTAAATCCATGATCCTTTCATCAGTTAAAAAGCTGTCTTGATTCCAGTGTTACATACTCACAGGCTACTGATTGAATAACAGAACATAGTAGCAACATAAGTGGCAGCTACGTGGTGCAATGTTTAAGATGTTGGACTTCAGTTAGGAGAACCTGAGTTCTAATCCTGTCTAAGATACTCACTAGCTGTGTGACCTTTAACTTTTCTCAGGCTTAGTTTCCTAATTCATATAATGGGGATAATAATAGCACCAACTTCACAAGGTTGTTCTTGGATAATGTATAGAAATCACTTTGCAAACTTTCAGGCTTTAGGGTTTTTGTAAATATCATCATAGCATCATCATCATTCATCATCACATGAAGCTGATGATCTTGACAGCTGTCAAATTATACTTTATTTCCACTTGTGTTCACTGGCCCTTAAAATTTTAAGGTAAGACTGGATACCCTGGTATAAGGGTGATAAGACTCCACATTTGCAAAAACTGAATAGAGTCAATATGCTCACCCATCTATCCTTGCTATGTTACATGTATGAACAGAGCCTAAAACCTTTGTTCTATGGCTGTTGAATGAACACGGGTGTCAATAACCTTCATTTATTTTCAACAACACTTCTGGCTTCACAAACAGAAATAACACAAGAATAATGGTCAGCTCATAAAGGATAAAAACATAACTGGTCAAAACATGTAAAGTTAGACACTTAACGCCTTTTAAGTGTCATCATATAGGAGGCATCTTGATCCTAACATGCCCCAAACAGAATTCATTGTCTTTCCCCAAAAACCCACCTCACTTATTGAATTTCCCTATTATTGATAAGGGCACCACCATCTTTCTGGGCACTTTTGTTCACAACCTCAATTCCTCACTCTCATTCACCCCACCTGTCCATCTAGTTAACAAATCTTGTCATTTCTATCTTTTTTCAAATTTTTTAAATTTTATTTTTAGGCAATTGGTGTTAAATGACTTGCCCAGGGTCACACAACTAGTAAGTGTTAAGTGTTTTGGTCTGAGGCTGGATTTGAACTCAGGTACTCCTGACTTCAGGGCTGGTGTTCTATCCACTGCACCACCTAGCTGCCCCTTGTCATTTCTATCTTGAAAACATCTCTCACACAGCCATCATTGTGCTTCAGGCCCGTATCACCTCTTTTCTGGACTATTACGATAATCCTATGTATTTATTATCCCCTGCCTCAGTTCTCTCCTTTCTCCAGTGCATCCTATACACAGTCTCTGAAATGATTCTCTTAAAGTGTGACTCTAATCATGTCACCCTCCTCCTCAATAAACCACGATGAATCCTATCATTTCTAGAATCAAATATAAACTCCTCTCTTTGGCATTTAATAATTGTTTGTTGTTCAGTCATTTTCAGTTGTGTCCATTCTTTGTGACTCCATTTGAGGTCTTCTTGGCAAAGATACTGGATTGATTTGCCATTTTCTTCCCCAGCTCATTTGACAGATGAGGAAACTGAGGCAAACAGGGTTAAGTCACTTGTCCTGGGTCACACAGCTAGTAAGGGTCTGAAGCCAGATACAAACTCAGGAAGAGGAGTCTTCCAGACTATCTGCTGCTTTACTTAGCTGCCTCTTCACAAAGTGTCTGCTGCCTACCTTTCCAGCCTCATTATACTTCACTCTCCCCAATGCATTTCATTATCTAGTCATCATTGCTGTTTGCCATAGGGGACACTCCCATCTGCTTGCCTTATACCAGTTGTCCCCATGCTGCCTGCAATGCATCCCTAATTACCTCCCCCATGCCTAGAGTTCTCTCACTACTAATCTACACTTTCTGACTTCCTTGGACTATTTCAAGTTCCAACTAAAACCCTACCTTCTATAAGGAGCCTTCTCTCAACCCCCTTAATCTAGTACCTTTCTTCTATTGATTATGTCTAATTTATCCTGCATCTTGTTTGTGAAAGTTGTTGCCATGTTGTCTCTCCCATTAGTCTGTAAGCTCCTTGAAGGCAAAGGCTATTTTCATTTTGGTTTTTTGCCTGTCTTTGTATCCTCAATACAGCATAATGCCTAATACATAGTAGGCACTTAATAAATGCTTGTTGACTTGAATCCCTACCTTTTGTTGTATCTGATTTCCTTCAAATCAGAAAATATACCTCATTGAGGGAAGAAGGGGGAGGCAATTGGGGCTAAGTGACTTGCCCAGGGTCACGTAGCTAGTAAGTGTCAAGCGTCTGAGGCTGGATTTGAATTCAGGTCCTCCTGACTCTAGGGCCAGTGCACCACCCAGCTTTTCCTGAATATACCTTATTTTACATAAAACTTTATTGATTCCTCCAACTGCTAAGTGTCTTTCCTCCCCAAACTACCATTCCATATGTATTTAAATATGCAGATATTCCCTACCCCCTTTAAAATGTGAGCACCTAAGGACAGAGTTTCATTTTTTTATTTAAATGAATGAATGGGTGAATGAATGAATGAATGAATGAAGCATTAAACCCTTACAGTATTCCAAGCACAGGGCTGGGGCTACAAATACAGAAAGAAAAGGCAGAGTGTTCCCACAAAAGGCACTTGCAATTCTCATGGGGGAGACAACACACAAAAGGGAATGGTGGCCAGGTGGGAACATTTTGAACTGGCAAGTTACAGAAATGCGGAGAGGTGGGCCATAGGGAAGGAGATTGACATGCCCCATCAAGAAACTAAGTTCATCATGTTTTCAGAAAGAAGAGAGAGAGGGAGGAGGGGAGGATAGGCAAGGATGCAGGGGAGGCTATTAAAGAGGAAATGGCCGCAGAGTCAGTCAAGTGAAGTAATTTATTCTCTAATTCAGAAATCTCCCTTCTCCTCTTTGCTTTTTGGACATCATGCCCACCACTAGTATACTCCTCCCACAAACTGTCCTTTCCTCCACCTCCCTACCCCCCAGTGCTCAGCAGAGTGCCTGGAACATAGTAAGCAATTAAAAAAAAAAAAAGCTTGTCCTGTAATTCAAGTGCTTAATAATCTAGATTTCTGATCTCATACAATTTACAATTCAGTCCAAGTCAATGACTATTAAAAAACCTAATACAAGGTCAGTGCTATACTCTAGGCACTGTAGAGACTTCAAAAGAAGATAAGGTCTTTTTCTCAAGAAGTGTATACTTCCATTGGATAGGTAAGACTTTTGCTTAAGTGCAGCCAAGTGAAAAATAAAAAGGTATTCTGGTATTAAGTATTTAGTTAGATTAGAACAGGGAGAAGGGCAGCTAGTGTCACAATGCATAGAAGGCCTGGAGTCAGAAAGACTCATTTTTCTGAGTTCAAATCTGGCTTCAAATACTTACTAGCTGTGTGACCCTAGGCAAGTCACTTAACCCTGCTTGTCTCAGTTTCCTCATCTATAAAATGATCTGGAGAAGGAAATGGCAAACCACCCCAGTGTCTTTGCAAAGAAAACCCTATATGAGGTCACAAAGAATCAGACATGACTGAAACTACAGAGCAGCAACAACAAAGAATAGGGAGACACTTCAAAGTCATTGTAACCAATTATAAGGCAAATGTAGCAATGTAGCATTAGGTAATTGAAAAGGGAAGGAAGGTGGACACAAAGGATCATTTCAAAGAACTAATTGGTGACTATGATGACCATTTGGATATGCAGGATGAAGAAGCCTGAATTTAAAAATTATTTTAATTGCTTGGGTGTCTAGGAGAACTAAGGGTACTATGTATCAAAATGGTGAAGGTGAGTGAGTCTAGTCAAGTCAATGCAATAAACTTAACTATGTGCCAGGTACATGTGAAGTCATCCATGATGGAAGAAGATGAGTTTGAGTCAAGGTATATTGAGTCTGTGGCTATGAAGAATAGTTAATGAACTCTTTTCAAGACAGAGATATGGAGCTAGCATTTGGAATATTCTTTTTCAGTAAAGATGAATTAGTGATCACCATTTTACTACTTTTACCATAGGCCTTGATGGATGAGATCCTCATGCTTCAGGATGAAATTAGTGAACTGCAGACGTCTCTAGCAGAAGGGCTAGTGTCAGAGTCTTTGGAAGCAGATGCCGCTGAACAGCTGGCCTTGCAATCCACCCTCATTGTCTTAGCTGAGAGAATGTCTACAATCAAGATGAAAGCTTCAGGAAAACGACAGCTGTTAGAGGTAACAAACTGCTAAGTTACTGTCAACTTTCTGAGTCGAATATCAAAATTTATTGATTTGTATATGTTATTTTCTTTTCAGCACTAGTTTTTCTTTCATCCCACGTATCAAGTGTCAGTTGTCAATTCCAAGCATAATCTTGTACATTGAGCAATGAATTCGTGTTTCTCCTTAATTGAATTGTTTTGCTAAGAGCATCATATTTTGAGTTTATAAAATTTGGGTTTTAGTTTTAATACCTACATAACATATAAAAATTAGTTGTATAAGGTACTTACAGAGGTTAGAAATGTTCAGAATAAAAGTATTGAATGAATACAAATGACTACTATACCATTTGTGTTTTGATCACTGCAACTACTAGAATAACTGAATGAGGAGTCATCAAAGGAATTTGAGTGAGGGAATAATAAGATGACATTGCCTTTTAGCCATTTCAGACATTTTACATTCATGAAAATATAAATATTTAAATTTTCAACATTTGCTATTTTATACCATACTTGATTATTAATTAATCTTGCTTAACCGAAGTCTTTAACCAAATAAGCCTTATGTTGTTTGACTTACTTGGTTATGATTATTGATTCATTGATTATTTCCCTTTGCACTGGGAATCACTTGGACTTGCAAAATTGAATTTTTGTTCTACAAGTGTGTATGCTATGATTTGACTAGTTCCAATTGAAGAGAGATGCGGACAGTAGAAAATATGGAATGCAATAATGAGATACATATTATATTACAGTATTTATGTTATTGTAATAGAGTAGTGTGCTAAAGCATAGCTGAAATGTTTTATGCTGGAAAGAGAAGTACTTTTAATTATAAAGTTAGATTCCCAGTGACAGTTTTGACTGACATAAAACTGTGTCTTTTGTATAATGTTGTATCTAAAACACAGTTATTGTTTCACTAAGATTTAACCAAATACCATTCCACTTAATTGATTAGGAAAAGTTAAATGAGCAACTTGAAGAACAGAGGCAAGAGCAAGCTCTGAAAAGATATTGCTGTGAAGCTGATGAACTTGACCATTGGTTATTGAGTACTAAAGCTACTCTGGACAGTACATTGGTTTCACCCACAGAACCAATGGACATGGAAGATCAGCTGGTTGACTGTCAGGTAAAAAATAATAATATATAATAATAAATATAGTTATGCATATGTGCACTGTATTTATATCTCTAAGAAATATACCTTAAATTAAGTAGTAGGAAATAATATATTCTAAAAATTTAAAGTCAGTCATATTTTTAATAATATTTTGAAAATTTTCTTATTAATTGAAGTTGAGACTGAAGGAAAAGATTTTTTTTTCTATTTTGGAAGCTCATATCAACAAGATGAAATTTAAAATTGAGGATTTTGACTTGTAATTTATTTTTGTTACAGGATTCATCATTTTTTTTTACCAAAACAAATATAAGCACAATGAAATAAATAAATTGTGGTAGTTAACCATACTAACCCAAAAGTAAGAACAAAAAAGTTTTCACAGGTCTAAGAATGTTATAATTCTCTTCCATATATATATACATATATATATATATATGTGTGTGTGTGTGTGTGTATATGTGTATGTATATATATGTATGTATGTATGTATGTATATGTGTATATATACATATATGTATATATGTATGTGCTATATACATAAATGTGTGTGAGGGTGTGTTGTGTGTGTATGTGTGTGTAAGTGAATATATGTGCATACTATATGAATTTGGAAATTTCAGAGGCTGGCAGATGGACTGGGCTGAGGAAGTACAAGTATACTCTATGACAGAGGGCTTACTTGTTACCATTTATACAAGGACCTGAAACTTTTATAAGTTAAGATTAAGGTTTACTGATGTTTACACTAAATATTATTACTATGATATATGCCCTAATATATTTCTCTGGGTTTTGAAGTGGTTGTTATAAAGCATTTTGTAAATGCTTATTAGTTTCTGTAAGTTGAGCAACTTGGTCTCTTTGAAAGGAATCGTATTTCATGTGACTTGCAGGACCAGTTGACTTTAGTACATTCTGAGTGTTTGTAGTCAGGGTTTATGAACTAATATTTCTGCTATTTGAGGCTTGACAAATAAGTGAGAAAAAAGCTAATGAACAGGGTGAAATCTGTATTTTTTCCCTAAAGAGTAGATGTATCAATTTATCTTTATTATTCTTATTTTATTTGATATTGTGAGTATACCCAGGAGGTTATTATATACTTTCTGATAACCTAAATAAATCCAATGATTTTTAATATTGCATGTTATAAAAAATGTTTCCAGAAAGTTAACTCTGTGAGTCAAAGTTATTATTAATCTTGGCAATGATGTTTCAGAACAATTACAGAAGGTTACATGGGGGTGTTTTGTATTCTCTGTATTATCTTTTCCACCTCTTCTTTGAGGAGGCATCTATTTTTAGTATTCTCTTCTAGCACTTGAAATAACAAAATTAATGTTTTCCCTAAACTCGCTAGCATTTGAAAATCATGTTGCATCATTGGTCCTTCATTTTTCCTTTGGTTTTATATAGCATGCCATCAATGCACAAAAAATCTCATTCAGGTAAGGACATACATTTCATTGAAGTATTTCTGAATATAGACATAATAATTAAGGGTCATTTCAAGATTAATCACAACCCTGCAGCAAGAAAATCAAAGAAGAAGTTATAAACTTAATTAGATTTAAAAGCACATTTTGAAATAAACTCTAACCCAGGAAAGGAGGGAAAACTGCATTTCACAGGGACCAAACATTCTTTGGTAAAAGAATCCTGGTTTAGTTTTAGTTCTACAGTTTAATGAGTATAACTTTGAAAGGTTAATTATAAATTTGTTTTTAAAATCCATAGTAAAATATCTATTTTCCTATTTTTGTGATAAAACAACAAACTCTTTAAGGTAATATGTTTCTTATAATCTATGCATTATGAAAATACAGGTCTTTCTTTAGGTGAATATTAGTGTCCTTGTATTTTTTTTTTTGGTGGTGATAGGGGAGGACTTTGGGGGGGAGGGTTAGTTTTATTTGTTTTCATCATACTTTCTTGGAGAAAAAGCTAAGCTTTAGCAGTAAAGTTGCCATGAGAAAGTAAACTCATTTTTTTAAAAATAGATCTTTGAGCAATTCAAGGGAAAAGTCTACAATTTTTATAGTGTCTTATTCAAGAAGACAGGATCTATTCATTGAAAGGTAATTTAGGAAAATAAACAAGGCAAAGGATTTATCCTAGGAACTTGTCTCCAGATTAAAGAGGATTATTCAGAGCCTCTTAGTGCTATTTAGACACCAATAAAAAAAAAAGAGCAAGAAAAAAATCTCATCAATACAAATTATGCAACGTGAAACTCTTTGTCTCTTTGAATAGACAGGAAAGGAAAGGAAAAGAATAGTTATAACTGCTTCTGTTGTAGGCCATTGTCATTAGCCACAGGTGTCACAGTCAGACTCTGACAAGGGATAACAAATAGCTAAACCACTGGACTCCTAGCAACACCCCCACTCATGTAGATTATCCTTTTTGTGCTCTGTGTGTGTGTGTGTGTGTGTGTGTGTGTGTGTGTGTGTGTGTCTCTCTCTCTCTCTCTTCGGTTTTTTTGAAGTTTCAATAAGGTGATACCTGAACTTGTTAGCCAAGGAGGAAAAATTAAGAAATACTGAGGAGTTAAATGAGAACTTCATTCCTCCTAAGCTTTTGGAAAGAAAGTAAATAGAGAAATGGAAGTTGAGAGAGGCATTGGGCCTCCATACTGGGAGACTGCCTAGATGCTGAAAACATGTATGAATTTGCCTCGTTATTCTTACTGCTACAGAACATGTTGGTGGAAATAGAACAAAAGGTAGTGGCCTTATCAGAGCTCTCCATTCACAATGAAAACCTGCTCATGGAAGGAAAAGCTCATACCAAGGATGAGGCAGAACAGTTGGCAATCAAGCTGAGAACCCTAAAAGGAAGTCTCCTCGAACTGCAGAGAGTACTACATGATAAGCAGATCAATATTCAAGTAAGAGTTTTTGTGGACTTTTCTTTAAAAGAATCTTATATGCTTGGTTGATTATCTTCTGGTTCCTTGATATACAGAGGGACAAGCAAAAGAAGGAGCATGGAAATGTAGGTTTCTATCATTTTTACCAGTTTGTATCATAGAAAAATCACTGCATTTGGAACCAGCCAATCTAAGTCCGGATCGCACCTTCACTGTTTCCTAGCTATATGCCTGTGTGCAGTTCTCCTCATCTATGGGTTTTGGTTCCTCAGATGTAAAATGAAAAGACTGGACAAGATGAATCTCTAATATCCCTTCCAGCTCCTGCAATTACTATAGTAAATTTAAAATTGGTTGCTACAAAACCAGGTAGATTATTATAATTTGTACATTGATTATGGTACAATATATGCCTTCAACTATGTTAAGTAAGGACTATATTTGCTCCTGAAGCCTCCAGCAACATAAAATATTTGAAGATAATTTGCTAAAAATGTCAAATGCCGCAATTATTTCAGTTAAGAACTGTCTGTGGGTTGGCAAAATACACTTCACCATAAACATTCTATTTTTGTCCAGCCTCTTTTTCTGCTTAAGAAAATCTAATCTGTATCCAAAAGAATCATGTTTTGCTACCAGTCTTTGTATATCTATTAGGCCGGCTTAATGCAAAAATAGCAAGGGAAGGAAGACTGTATTCTTACATAAAAACATAAAGCCTAGTTTGTTATATAGATTTTTTTCTGGACTGTAAGTATGTTTATAAATATGCATTTATTTTTTTCATCTTAAAATTCTAAAATCATATTATGTTAGAGTAGATATTGTATCCTACAATGTACAAATGATTGTAAAAGTTAATCTATAAACAAATCTATAAGTAATTAAACACACAATTTTATTCAAATACTGTGATCATATAAGAGAAGGGGAAAATGCTGGTTTGCAAATTAAAGTAGGAATCTACAGTAAGATCACTTATGGCAATTCTTGATCAAGGGACCAATGGTAGAATATATAATTTAAGCATTTTTAATATAACTATAAGTTGATAATATCGAGGAATAGCTCAGTTCAGATTAAATGAGATGTCTCTAACTACTTGAGGAGAAAAGTAGCATAGAAAAATCTAAAAGTGCAAAATCTAAATTTACATTTAGTTTGAAATACATTATATGTATCTATATACACATATGTATATATACTAAATGCTAATATATACACTAATAGGCACATGTACCTAAATGACATATGTGTAAATACTATGTGTAACACATGCATGTGTTTTATCTCTGTATTATATACCATAATCCCAGTTTACCTTTGGGAGATGTTAAACTTATAGTGACTAGCAATATTAAATCACCAATGTTTCATAAGATCAAATATGTATTATATGGGATCTGATTTACCTTCCTAAGTATACCTTACTTGAGCTAGTATTAAAATGAATTGTCAATTGATTTTTTTTAATGACTTAGAGGTAGCCCACAAAATGACCAGGGTACATCAGCCTGAGTTGCTTAAAACATTTTCTGGAGATAATGGCCATTGGGATAATGAAACTAGAACTACCTGGAAAGAACTGACAGCTAGAAGAAGCCCTTTTCTTCACGTTCAACAAAGATTATAAAATGCATGCCTGTAGGGAATCTTACAGAGCACTCAGTCCAACTCCTCCATTTTATTGATAAGGAACCAGGCTTAGAAAAGTAAGGTTAGAACCTTTACAAGAGTTTATGGGAAGTGGCCATAAATTTGAGACTTACCCAAGGTCACCTCAATCCAGAAGTAGAGGGATTGATTGGGGGATTTTTTTGTTTGTTTGTTTAGCTAGACTCTTCATAAGTTCCTGATTTTTATAGTCATATAATTAGCAAAGCTACAGAGAAATTCAACCGCTTGAGAAAGAATCAGTTACATAGATGATAACATACTGTTTTCATAACTATTTAAGGACTTTGTACCTGATGTTAGTGCTTCAGGATTTAGTTCTTTGGTTCCTGATTGTAGAGCATGGCTCAGTATATGTTAAAGTGCTATGGATTTATTTAGGTTATACCCTTCTTCATTACCTAAGAGAGAGGATTTTAACTGAACTTTTAAAAGCATGAAATGGGTGTGTGACACATGAATGTAAAATTTAGGATGAGTTGCTATGACCAAGCTATTACTGTTCACAGAGAGTTATTTCATAAGGAGCTACAAAGGAAGCCCTTGAGGTGGAGATAATATTAACACTTAAAAACATATATGAGGTAATTTGAAGTCTACCTTATTTGCATATAACTATTTACAACTATTAAAATTATTAGGTTTGATAACAAAATTTAGTTAATTAGGTCAAAATAACTCCTGCCTTAATGTGTATTAGTTCTTTTACCTTTCTGATTCATCAAAGTAAAAGGTTCAAAGTCTAAATGTCTCATAAGCACCTTAACTTTAATAATAATAGCATTCATATGTTATATAATCCTTTTTAAAAGTTCTTTCACATACTAATTAATCTGGTGCAAATAGTCCTGAACTTATTAGGAAGCATAGGGAGAAGTAAATGGTAGGAAGATTATAGCCAGAGATGGAAGTTTCAGGGTTTCTAATTTAGGGAAGTAGAACGCTTTTGAATAATGAAAAGATCCAGTGTTTAACTGTACCTATGTGTGACTGAGGTAGAGAGAAAGGATAGGTCACAGGTCTTAAGGAAATAGGGGAAATGAGAGGTTAAGGAATTTGAGAAAGCATCTATAAGAATATTAATGCCCCCATAGTATAAGTGCAAAAGTTGGGAAGGAGGTGCTGAATTCATTGAGAAAGGAGGAAGAATGTCAGAATCAGCATAAACTACAACTACTGTTATTTTGGTTGGATGGAAAATTTTAATTGTATGGACTTCAAAAGAGGAAAGGTAACTGAATGAAGGACACAAAGGAAGAATCTGGAAGTGACAATGAGGGAAAAAAAAGAATATTCTGACTCCCTTTTCAGGACCTGTGTGAGAAAAGGTATCCAGGGATTGGGAACCTAAGGCCTAGAGGCCATATGTGGCCTTTTAGGTCCTTAGGTACGGCCTTTTGACTGAGTCCAAGTTTTACAGAACAAATTTTTTTTATTAAGGGGATTTGTTCTGTGAAATTTGGATTCATTCAAAGGGACATATTTGAGGACCTGGTGGGCCACAGGTTCCCCGCCCCTGGTAGCAAGTGCTGGAGAGGGTAATGAGGGGCATGGTGTCATCAAAGGAGAGCAAGGTCTTGATGAAGGCTATTAGATGGAAAAATTATGAGAGAAAGAGTTCTAGGATGAAGAGGAGTTTGTTCTCTATGGAACAAGAATTCCAAAGAGCACAATGTAAGGCTCAAATTTGGACATAGGTGAAATCAGACTGACATGTCAGAAGCATTATGCCAGCATATACCTGATTAAGAGAGGTTCATCAATGTTTAGAGAATCCCCAGAATAACTGAAATTTTTGGATGCAAGTTGGGCCAGTCTGGATGGCTTCTTTTTGAGAGGATATTTGATGACAGTTGTGAGATTCAATAGGATTCCCCATTCTTAAACTCCTATGCCCCTCCCTGAAATGAGGTCAGCTTCACATGTTCAGCAGTTCTTCTTGGAGGTTAGTGGCTATAGGAATTGAGTGGTCCATGATCCATAAGATCATATAAACTTGGGCTTAAAATGTACAGTTTGAACAGCAGAGTAGGTGAAAGCAAAAATACAGAATTAAAGAATATTAATGCCATAAAGAGCCTTAAGGATCTTTTAGTCAAGAGGTTCTTAATATGGGCTCCATGGATACCCAATGGATCTGTGATTAGATTTCACAAATTGGTATGGAGAAAAAAGTACATCTTAATTTTTACTAACCACTAACTAAAATTTAGCATTTACATCATTTAAAAATGTCATTCTGAGAAAAGTTCCATAGGTTTTAGCAGACTAGCAAAGGGGCCCATAACCTCCTAAAAGGCTAAATACCCCTGATTTATTCCAACCCTTTCATTTTGCAATTGAAGAAACAGGCCAAAGACATGAAATGGTTTGCTTGAAGGCATATCTTTGGTGTCAAAGCTGGAACTGAGAATCCAGGTCCCCTAATTCTTAATTCACTTTCTCTTATGTTCAAGACCCTGGCTGTTATCATAGAAAAAGCAAGTCCACAACATAGGAACGGATATTGGTTTGTTAAAATGATGAAAACCTTAAATAGAAGGAAGTTCTAGGCATTTGCAAGTGCATCCATTCACTTTGCTCTTGTCCCTGCTGACGATGTGTCTTATTTCAATGTATTTGTATAAGCAAAAGGAGTGACTCTGGTGTCATTTATGCAAGCCACACACAAATATTTTGAATCTCATTTAGGCCTTGAGTAAAAGGATCATTGCTTTCCTCTTCATAAAAAGCAGGCTACATCACAAGAGAAGGAGGAGTGTGAAGCTGACTTAACAGCCACCCAGAGCCCAAGTGTCCAGGAATGGCTGGCACAAGCCCGAACCACAAGAACCCAGCAGCAACAGAGCAGCCTCCAACCACAAAAAGTGAGCACTGAAATACCACTTTAGCTTGCAACCGCTGGCCTCAGAGAGAATGTGTTTGCGGAATGTCTTCTAGAGTGCTTGCTTCTTACTGTATGCACACTTTCAGAGAAATTTTCTTTCCTTTAGTCCTCCTGGCTCCATTGTCACCTTTCCTCACACTGAAGTCTATTTCTTATCTTGTACAAATGAATGGATGATATTGTATGTGTGGGTGGATAAATTATCTTTTCCAGATCAAAAAGGATATTTAATAAAAGATGTTCGATAAAACCTCACTGACCACAACTATAGTAATCAGGAAAAAGGGAACTAGGAATTAGGGAAAATTTGGGATTATGGACTAATCTATTATTTAGGTCTATAATCTCCTAAACCATGGAAAACAATCCCTTCCATGACTTGGTAGATAAATTCTAAGGAGAAGCCTAAGGTACATACAGTTCAATGGCTTGTTCAGGGTCGTAGTTGTCAAGTGTCAGAAGCTGAATTTAAACCCAGGTCTTCCTGACTCCAAGTCTAGCATTCTATCTGCTGCCTCTATAAAGAAGTGCAGCTGTATTGCTTTCAGGTATATGCTATGTAATTTAAACTAGGTTTAAAAATTCACTCAATAGAAGCCTTTGGAGAGCCTACTTTAATAAATAAGTAATGACCATTTCTAATTGTCAATATTTTTATCTGTCAATAAGTTCTCAAAAAAAATCTTTTAAGTAATATAAACATATATCCATGTGTAAATCTCTCAACAGCATAAAAGTAAAATTTAGCCAGAGTCCAGACAGTTTTAGATTCCAAATTAGGAGGACCAGAATTAAAGAAGTTTTGTGCTAATAAAAGGGCGGGACATCTTATTCTACGAGAAGCTGCCATTCATACATCATAGGATGTTTTCACATTGATTTATGAAGTCTATTTTTAATCCACTTGGGGGCACTACAGCCCTGCAAGATTCTTTTTATAGTATTAAAAGAACTGTGTTGCATTTTCATAGACAATCATCTTTCATCAAAGATAAAGAGTGATATCAATTAATATTAAGTAATATTATGATACAGAGTATTTGCCATGTATGTTTTCATACTTTATACTGTGTATAATTGAAAAGTGAAAACAGAAGAATTATCAGTGCTATAGGACATGGTGGATGATTTTTATTAAGCTCACAAATATTTTGACATTTTTCTCTTTACTTGACTAGGAGCTAGAACAAGAGTTAGCAGAACAGAAAAGCCTTCTTCGATCAGTAGCAAGTCGTGGAGAAGAAATTCTAACTCAACATTCAGCTGGAGAAAGTGCTGGCATTAGGTGTGTTTTATTTTTATTTTTATTTATCTATTTTTTTGTGAGGGAAGAGGAAGGGACAGTTGTGATTTCACTGGTGTAGGGAACTCCCAGTGAGCAATCATCCTCTGCCAATGCAGTTCAGCATCTCCTCTACAACTTAAAGTCTTAGGGAGTTTTCTAGGACACTGAGAGGTTAAGAGACTTGTCCAGGGTCATACATTCAGTATATGTCAATGTTAGGACTTGAACCCCTCTTTCTAATTTTGAGACCAGATCTTTATCCACTATACTATGCGCCCAAGTATGTTTTAAGACAATTTACCTTGCTTTCCTTTCTCTTCCACTTTTCAACTATTTGGAGAAAATTTTATTTTCTCTTATCATATTCTAAATGTTGTTTATTTTTTGTTTCATTTCACTTCAGAATATTAAATGTATTCAGAGTGCATACGATGCTTTTTGGGGTAGTCTAAATCTGTCTCATATCTGTAATACCTTTCATATATATATATATATATATATATCCTCCCAGAAGATAAGGCAGCTAGGAAGAAAGGGCATGATTCCTTTTTTAATAAAATGAGAAATCCAATACTGAGTTATACCTTTGATCCATCCAGACCCATGTTCCACTTTGTGGATAAACATTAAAACATCACTCCTGAAGGACATAGAATTTAGAATTATAATGGACCTTATAGATTCTCCATCCATCTTGTCCAATCACCAATGAGAAAACTGAAATTTTAGAGAGGGCAACTTGCTAGGGATCACACAGGTAGCAAATAATAATAGCAATAATTAATAAAATTCAATTTATATAATGCTTTAACTTCTGTGAAACTTTACATATATTGTCTCATTTGATCAGCATAAAAAGCAGAAGCACAAAATAATGCATCCTTTGTAGTATAGTATAATGGAAAGAAGACTGGATTTAGAGGAAGTTGATTTGAGCTTTTGTTCTGGCTTTGTGATGTTGGAGAACTCATTTTATGTCTCTAGGTCTTCATCTGCAAAAATGAGCAGATTGGAGAGATTGATATTTTGGGTTATTTCAGCCCTGGGATTTATGGTTGTTTGACTGCCTCTGAGATGGCTTTAAATCAAAATACCTTATACATAGTAAACATTTATTAAATTTTTGTTGGATTAAGAATTATGAAGTAGACAAAGGTTAATTCAGGCCTTTTCTATTTTGTCTATAATGCCTCTCATGGTCTTTGCTACCTTTGTTTTTCCTATCAGAGAGAAGCTGCCCTCTCAGATAATTCTTCCTTCTTTGGATTTTTCCTTGTCCTTTACCTATTCCCTACTCCCCCTACTCCAACTCAATCAAAGCTTACCTCTTCTTCAGTGCCCTACTGCAGGATTGAATCTAGCCTTGGAACGACTAGTTCACAATAAGGTGATAGTAACAAGCAACATATTAATAATGTGTTTCCCCTTTGCATATTTCTATGATAAACATATTATTTTCCACATACTTTGGCAGATTGGGAGCATTTTGGCACCTCTTATGTGACAGCACAGAGGCAGCTACCTATTCTACCTTTTCGTAAGACCAGCTATTGCCTACCTCACCTCCACAACTATTTCAACTCGGTCATTGTGATATTTCAGTAACAGGAACAAATCTCACTGCTGCCTAAGCTATCCTTGAATTGGAAAGTAGTTGGAATTTTATATAAGAAAGATGCTGAAATAAGAAAGCATAAGAGAGAAATGGAAGGAGAACATAAGGAGATATAAAGGAAAAGATAGAGGAGAAAATTTCCATCCCATAGGTATTTATTATATACCTACAATGTAAAAGGCACATAGAGGCACTTAGGCACTAAGGGGGATAGAAGACTGAGAAAGAAAAGGCAAGAAGGAAAATAGCTAGAAAAAAAGAGCAAGTGAGTAAAAAACATTACTCAGGAAAATAAATGAAAGAAAACAGGCCACATTTACGGTTGTAAATAGGTAATTAAGTCATCATCTGTCTGTATATTGTAACAAATAAAACGTAGACATAATTCTGATTTCAGGATGTGCTTATCAATAACAGATCTAATATTCACCTTCAGAATTCTTCACAAATAGTATTATTACTGTTCTATTGTAAACACAAGCTCATTAAGCCAGAACACAGACAATGTTGAATGTGTCTTATTAAGTCACCAGAACAGGAGGGTACTTTTGAGACTGTAAAAGATCTGTGCTTTCATCAGTATGCTGCCTCTAGTGCAGATGGCAGACATTTCATGCCTGTTTCATCCTATATAAATCCTCCGTAGAACGCCTAAAGCTTAAACAGTAGAAAATAAATGCTAAGAAAAACATGCAAATAAAAATGCAAGTACAACACATTCTACTACCCAGTCCTAGGTCTAGCCTTCCTTACTGAAATGAAAGTTAAACAAAACTAAACTTCAGTTTGGTATTAAGAAAGGGCTAGATCCCAAGAATAAGGAAGTAATAGGTTCTTTGTACTCTGCCTATGTCAACCCACACCTGGGATATTAGGTTCACATTTTAAGGACATCATAAGCTAGACAACATCCAGAAGAAAACAACAAGGATTATAAAAGAGTTCCAAGTCCATGTAAGATGAGGATTGGTTGAAGGAACTAGGAATGTTTAATATAAAGAATAAGAAGAGACATGATTGCTGTTGTCAAGTACTTGGGTGGATAGCTTGTGGAACAGGGATTAGATAGACTTCATCTGTTTGGTCCCAGAGGACAGAACCAGGAGCAGTGAGTGGAAATTGCAAAAAGTCAAATCTATGCTTGCTATAAAGTGAATACCCCCTCTAGGGCTACACTTACCTTAGCAAGCACATTTTGCAGATTGAGTGTGGGGAGGTGACTGCTGACTCCAGTTCAAGATACACTATGGATCTGAGTTCCTATAACTATAGATCACAAGCCCCAACTAGTGTGTTTATATTTATCAGCCAATAGACACAATTAGTTCAAAGTAGACATGTATTGATATAGTAAGAATAGTAGCTACAAAGCATTCCACCCTAAATCTGTAGAGCTCTCTGACAATAGTGAACACATATATAAGAGTATCTGGTAGAAAAACACATACATAGGGAACTGAGAAAATGTGAATCTCAAGCACTTCAGGGCCTTTAATGTTCTTTCTCTTCTTATGGTATCAACACACTGTTTCACCCACCACTCCCCGAGAGGTAGCATCTTTGCTGGAGAAGTTGTTTAGCTGAACTTCCTTGTCCTGTTCATCTCCACAGTTCAAATGCAAGCTGTCAGGTCTAATTCTCTCTTGAATAGCTAGCTCATTCTCTTCTCAGATGCCATTAAGATGATCTTTTGCCTCTCTTTTCTTGCTTCCTGCTAGGTATGGAATCTCCAACTGGTTGAGAAATTGTGTACAAAAGACATACTTATGTAGCCAATGGATAGAAGGGGGAAGGGAGGAAATAAAAATCCCATCCTATCTTGCTGTTCCCTGATAGAGACACAAGAGGAAAGGGCAGAAAGTGATAGCCTCTCAAGCTGCTACCAAAGAGCTGTCTCAAATGACTTCACTGTCATGAATAAATTACTTTATAAACTTTAAAGTGTCACATAAATATTAGCTATCATTATCATTGTCTTCATCCTCCTAGCTATTAAACTAAAACATTAATAAAACAACTCTATAAATCAGATACTAGAAGGTAATCAGAAAAATAAATGGGAATGTTCACAACTAGAAAAATGAAAAAGGGAAGAGTTTTAGCTAGCATAGAATAAAGTATGGAAATGCAGCAAAGAAATTATTGCTATAATGCCCACAGATAGAAGAAGAAAAAAATGTACCAAAGCATTCCCAATGCCAAAAGAAATAGTGAAAAAATGATTAAGGATAATTTATTAGATTATCGTATTTCATGCTTTATGACATTGGGGCATAAGTATTTGCAAATGTATCTAATAGGCAAAAGAAATATGGTACAAAGTATCTTCCCCCATGACTACAAGTAAAGTTTATTTTATGTATTTCAGATAATGTCTCCTTGGTGATTCTTTTAATTCTTTAATTTGTACCTTCTTTAATTCTTCTCATTTACACCTCACTGAAAATCATTGTTAAAGGAGCTAGTAATATAAAATCCCTCCCTCCTTCCCCTTCCCCTCTTCCTCCCCCACTCTCTCTCTCATTTAGACATATGCAAAAAGTAGATACTTCTGCTTATCTCTTACTGTTTTTTCCACAGACTTTTTTATTTCCCCTGTTTTATATCCTCTTAATTTGGAAATAGTCCAAAGGAAAGGCAAGCAACTCCAAATTACATTCTTAGACATAAAAATGTTATTCTTTGACCTTCTCCCCCTTACTCCAAAAGAATTTGGGTCCCATTTGTTCGAGGGGGGAATGATGAGGATGGGATCTAGACCCCAAAAAGGAAAAACCCTGGACTTTCCCACATGGCTAAATCTGTGGCTTTCGCCTCAGGCTATAATCCCACCAACTGGCCTTTCTTTGTGGCTACACCCAACCTCCCAAATTCTGTCACCTTTAACCAAGCCTAGACCTCCCTATGTCCCCAGGCTACCTCCCACCCTTCATCCTATCTAGGCTCCATTCTCCCTAGGTCACCCCAGGAATTCTATTACCTCATTGACCACTTGGCCACACCTAGATCCCTCCCATAGTCTTTCTGTATAAAAGGTCCATTTTGTCTCCATTAAGATGCTCTGATTCTTATAATCTAGCCACTGCTCAGATTTTTACAATCTAGCCAATAGCTCACTAAGATTCAGACTCCTTAAGAGTGCCCAATATGACGGATGTTCTAATAAATCTTTTCTTTGGCTGAAAAAAAATATTATTCTTTTAAAGAAATCAGTGGTCAGGCACTACTCACTTTAAGGGGTAACTTACAAGGACTTTTTTTGATTTATTATGCTTATACCTTATTTTTAAAAATTTATGTACCTGATTATGCACCTGATGGGGTTGGGATCTGGGCCCCAATCATAGGCACAACTATCCCCTCCCTTACTCATAAATGCCACAATTAATATATCCAGTGGCCAAAGAGTAAAAAACTCATAAAAAGGGAAAGAAAGAAAGAAAGAGAGAAAGAGAGAAAGAAAGAAAGAAAGAAAGAAAGAAAGAAAGAAAGAAAGAAAGAAAGAAAGAAAGAAAGAAAGAAAGAAAGAAAGAAAGAAAAAGTTTTATTGGCAAGCTTCTATTCAGCCTCTAAATTCACCATTTTATAACACTATCAAATTATCAAATGTGGATTTATTTATATAAGAAAAATTTTCCAAGAGCGTGACCCTCTCCTTTTGTTAGGACTTATCACCCAAAGGATGTGTGTGTAATATAATGTACATATTATACATTTAATAATGATATATAAATGTATAATATAAATTATATGCATACTGTCTATACATTTATACATGCATACATACACATGGATAGTGATAGGAAAATGTTACTAGAATTCTCCAAAGATTATTAGGGAAAATTAAATGAAAAGAAGAGTATAATATGAACATCTAAGAGTGAAAGCATAATTTCCCTGGATATCTGGAAATGAAACCATACCATATAACTTCCTTTCCAATTGATCCTCACCTTTGAATATGTTGTTATATGTCTAAATATCTGAACAAAATAAGATTCAAATAAAATATATCTTTTGGGGACACAAAAATGCTGTGCAAACACTGCAGGAAATAAATATATTTGTGACATACCAGGGACTGCCAACAAGGCAAGAGAAAATGTATTAAATGCATCTATTTTTATAGGAAAATTTAAATATTTTCCCCTTAAGTTCGCTGTTGCTTATTCAAAGCATAGACCTTTAGAACAGTTTTGAAATAATCAAAAATAGATGTCTTCTAGTTTTAACATGGTTTCAATTACATGGACAAATGTCTCTTACCTGACTGTGTATACACGCTGTACCTATTAATGAAATGTAACTCCTAAAGGACAAGAACCATTTCATTAATATATGTGTATATATATATATATATATATATATATATATATATATATATGTATATATATATATGTATATATATATATATGTGTGTGTGTGTGTGTGTATGTATATTATATATATGTGTGTGTGTGTGTGTGTGTGTATATATATATATACATATGTGTGTGTGTGTATATATATATATATACATATGTGTGTGTGTATATATATACATATGTGTGTGTGTGTGTATATATATATATATGTATATATATATATATGTATGTATGTATTCCCAGTGTCTAAGACATATTCAGGGTTTAAGAAATCTTCATTGATCAATCAACTGATCTTTGTATCTCTAATGTTTAACATTGTACCTTGCATTCAAAAAGCATATAAAAATATTTATTGAGTTAAATTGAATTGAATTGAATTGAGTAGAATTATATTTCCAAGAATCTAGCCCATGAAAATTCCAGAAGAATGAAAAAATAAAAGTTTCTTTATCATTTTGAGACTGATCTGTCTATCTATCAACAAGCATTTATACAGTGTCCTCTGTATGCCAGGCACTGTACTAAGCATTAGAGATACAAATAGAACAAATAAAACAGTCCCTGTTTGCAAGGTGATTGTATTGTAATGAGGGAGACAGCAAGGATATGGATAAGGATTTTAATCAGGGTAAGATCATTTATTATCAGCTATATAGAGAGCTCTGAAAGCCATATAGACATTTCATTCAAATTTAATTTTATTTAATCCCTAAATGTTATCTTAAAATATTGATTTGCTGGCATCAAAAAAATGGAAATGGGCCCATTTGTACAAAAATATTTACAGCAGATTTTTTCGTGGTGGCTAAGAATTGGAAATTGAGGTAATACCCATCAATTGGGGAATGGCTGAATAAGTTGTGGTATATGATGGTGATGGAATAATTTTGTGCTGTAAGAAATGACAAGCTGAATGATTTCAGAAAAAAACCTGGAAAGACTTAAATGAGCTGATGCAAAGTGAAGTGAGCAGAACCAGGAGAACATTGTGCAGTCACAGTGATATTGTACAATAAGAATTGCAAATTACTTAGCTATTTTCAGCAATACAATGATCCAAGACAATCCTAAAGGACTAATGATGAATCATGCTATCCATCTCTACAGAAAGAACTGATGTTGTCTGAATATAGACTGAAACATACTATTTTTCACTCTCTCATTCCTTTTTGAATCTTCTTGTACAAAATGACTAATATGGAAATGTTCTACATAAAAAAAATTTACTAATTTGTGATAGTAATGTGAATTAGAATATTGCTGAATGTCTATTCTTTTCTAAATGTTTGTCTTTACTTACTGTTGTGAAAGTTACCTAGCCTGGCACATAATAGACACTTAATAAATGCTTATTGATTGATTCCATATAAATTAGCAATCAGAACTGTCTAGTACCAAATTTAGAGGTTAATTTTTGTGCTTTGTAATGTTTTCCTTTGGTCGTTGTTTTTGTTTCACAAACTGTAAGATGAAATTATCTGCTCTTGAAATAGTGAGAAGCCTGATGAAATATCCCAGGAGTTGGCATTTGAAGGGGAAAAAACCTCAGCAGAAGGCCACATGCGTATGAAATGGGAAAGTCTTCATCAGGAATTTAGTACCAAGCAGAGACTGTTGCAGAATGCTCTGGAGCAGGAACAAGAGCAGATGGTATCTGTGTTTGCTTTTTGGTTATTGATTGTTGGGAGTGTGTAATAAGGCAGCTATTTACAATTTCACTGTAGTAGTCCAAGAGAAATAATAAAATATACCATATTTCTGTCACAGTTTTTATAAGACTATTATATTATTTATTATTATTTATAAGAATATTGGGTGGAAGAAAAAAAGGAAAAAATTACATGATAAATTTGTTGTATAGTTGAAAGGAAGAGCAAGTTGTAAATAGTAGATTTACAATTTCATGAACAATCATCTTTTTTATTGTACTATGTTATGAAAATGCTTTGGTCCATAAATTAGAGAAAAGACTATTATTATACAACATTTCCCCCTAAAAATCCCATTTTTCAAAAGGAATTTTCTCTGACTGCTGAATTTTCAAATTATTTATTGTTCTTTTTACTTCTACTTGAGTATGGGACATAAATATGTAAAACAGCACAAGGGATAGAGTTCTCTCCATCATCTTATTAAATGCAGTTAGCTAAATGATGATCAAATTAGGATCCATAAATTAAATGTATATTTTTATTGTTTTCTGAATGATAGAATTTTGAAACAAACATTATATTTTACAAATGGTTGTGAACTCTTATTATCAAAGGAATCAATCTGTAAAGGCCTCTGGACCAGTCATATTTTTCTTTGAAATGTCATCTTCAATGAGTTGTTTTTCTTTCCTCTTTCCTTCCCCACTAACCGCCATATCAAAATATCTCCCAAAATTTTGTCCACTCCTTTTTTTTTTAGATTTTTTTTTTCCACTCCTTTTTGAAGTCATAATTTGATGGGAATGCTATAAGTCTAATTTGGCAATTAGGCAGCTGTGACAATGACTATTAGATATATCAGAAAACACAATTTTGTAACAGAAACTATAATCAATTTTTAAAACTTGCCTTCCCAATATATATTCATTCATTCATCTTTTTATTCAACAAACATTCACTGAGTGCCTTTGTGTGTAGCACCCAGCCTTTGGTAGGGCAGAGCAGTAATTCATAGAAGTATACTCTATGAGCCCTAATATTTAAGAGCTTACAGTCAAGCTCTTAAATATGCATTGAGAAGATAGAAAGTGATATAAAATACAAGAATTTCCTTGTATTTTATATACAAAAGGAGTACAAAATTAAGTACTTGATGAATGGTAAATAAATACTAGAGGAGTTCAAATGACAGAAGTTTGAGAGATATGTTACTAAATGAGCGACCATTTTTTGGTGGGTGTGGTAGAGGAAGAGTTTCATGGTGGATGTGAAACTTAAGTTAGGTTGGATTTGAGGGAAGAGAGATGGAAGGTAAAGCAATAAGGAACTTCCTATATTAGGAAGCTACTATTTGGTTTTTTTTTTTAATCATTGAAAGCATTGTCATTCATAAATATGAAATACTAAAGTTTGTATATTCTGCACTCTAGAAATTAATTTTGCCTACAGTTACATAAGGACCCTTTCCTCAATATTTGTCCTGTGTGTTTCTGATACAGTACTGTAGAATTGTCCTAAACAACTGTCCTTATTCCTATATAGCTTTATAGCAGGCCGAATAGACTGCTGCCTGGTGTGCCGCTGTACAAAGGGGAAGGACAGACTCAAACAAAATCCTCAGTTACATCTTTGTTGGATGGTTTGAACCAGGCTTTTGAAGAAGTTTCATCTCAGGTATCTCATTCTTGGTTTACTTGAAAATTCTATTCTGCAAAAGATTTATATTATTTTAAAATGTAGATTTTTAGCAGCCAGCCAACAAAGGTCACTAAAGTGAACATTAACAGGTCAGTATGGTTATATTCTGGACTCTTCTTATGAATATCACAACCCCACCCTCCTTCCCACACAAGAAACAAAAGTCAAAAAATAGTATTTTGTATTTTGTAAGGCTTGCAAAAAAATTTATCTAATTGGAACTGTTTACTGACAACACATTCCTTTTTTTTTTCAGATCCAGTATTAAATGTATTAGAAGACTGACCTTTTCTTCTCCTTTTGAATTTCTTTTCCCAGAGTGGAAGGACAGGGAAGCAAAATTTTCACTTGGAACAGAAATTATATGATGGAGTTTCAGCTACCTCTACTTGGCTAGATGATGTGGAAGAACATTTATTTGTTGCTACAGCCCTTTTACCAGAAGAAACAGAAACATGTCTCTATAACCAGGAAGTAAGTTTGGTAACATACCTCCATGACTACATACCATTAAACAATTAAATTCTACTTAATTTATCTTAGATGTAAGCATGAGATATTAAAAAAAAAGAAAGTAGAAAATTAGGGACTCTTAAAAGAAGATGATGAAGAAAGTTAATTAGGACTATAAACTTGGCAGAAACCTTTATATTCTGAATTTGAATTCTTGATCTAGTATACATAAGAAAGAGAAAAGAACATTGAAGGACTCCCTATGGAAATGTCGGTGCATATATCACAAACCCATGTAAGGGATAAAAGAAATCAAAAATAAATCACTTAATTTCTAAATAACATTTTATATTTTTTCAGTACTTAACAGAGGGCATTCCCGGTAGTGAATATTTACTAAGAAGATTTCATCTAGTGAACTCCAAATATGTCTTAAGGTCATTGAAGTCAAGTTAAAAAAAAATCAAAAAACTTGAATTAGTTTTTTGAATAACATTAATTCATTGTCTTTTCAATGAGATGATAAAAGTTGATAATGAATGTGTTAATGTATCTGATATCCCCTTTTATGACTCCAGACTCTTGCCAAAGATATTAAAGAGATGTCTGAGGAAATGGACAAGAACAAGAACTTGTTTTCCCAAGCATTTCCTGAAAATGGTGATAATCGCGATGTTATTGAAGACACTTTGGGCTGTCTTTTGGGGAGGCTATCCTTGTTAGATTCTGTAGTAAATCAGCGATGTCATCAGATGAAAGAAAGACTGCAGCAAATACTAAATTTTCAGGTAGGGTCATTCTTAAATTTTATTCTACAAAATTATTTATAGTTCTGTGGTCCTATTTCATCATCACTAAACAAGTTGTTTAATTTGAGTGATGTTAATTAATGTGTGATGCAAAGCCAAAATTAGTAGTTTAGGAATTTAACCAAGCAATTTACTTATGGAATTAGAAAATTTGAAATGTCATGGTCCTTGCAGAGATATGGGAAAAACACATGATAACTAGAATTACTTGAGAGCTTATAACATTAAATAAATTGTATTGGAACTCAGGGGAATTTTCTAATATAAATATTGACTAGTGTAGGCTTTAAAAATGCATTACAAAATTATGCAGAAAATATTTTAATTTAAAGACATATATCCTTTAAAAGAGCTAGTCATATAATCACTTTGCCTCTATTTAAAAGTATATTGCATTTTTAAAACATTAAAGATCTTAAGGTTTGTCATATTTTTTACTTTCAGTTGAGATTTTCAAATATACACCAAATAAACATGCCTGGACATTTCCATGACTGGGTGAATAGGGAGAAATGAGGTTTATATAATGGCTGATGATATAATTTGAGCTTTAGCTTTCGGTGAAAATTAAACCACCTTTTACAAATAAAATTCACCTTCTTAAATATTTAACTATCTAATAGGAGGATGTTTTCAAAAGTACTTTATAATAGATATAATTTAAAATATATTATTATACATAAGCTTGATGGAGTTTAAATTATAATTGTGATCAATGTCAAGTATACACTTTGAAAATGTTATTTTCTGGATGAGAGAGAGAAATAGTCATTGGCTTCACTTAAGCTTTAGTACTTTGCTTCCTGAAGTCTAAAAAAGGGATATTGTATATTGTTATACTTACTGAAAAATTTGGTTAGAACATACGAAAAGTGAATGGTAAAATTATTTGCAAGTATATAGTCAGGTTCATCGTATATTTGGAGCATTTTAAAAAATTTATGTAATTTAAGATACTGCTAAAAATTTTAAGATTGTGAAAATATTGGAAAATGCTTAACAACCTCATCTTTAGTGAAAATAAGACATACTTTATGGCACCTCAGTTATTGTCGTGTAGCATTATGACAATGTACTTTCTCTTATATTTTTGCATGTATGATAAGGCCTTCCACAGCACCTGTGTACAGGAATATGTGACTGAAGAAGGGAGTGTACATGGGGTATGCTAAGACTAAAGCTGAATGGAACTGCCATAAATTCAGTTAGTACAGCAGAATGGTCCTGCCTAGTTATTATAGATGTCTAGAGAAAAGAGTCTTAGACTATACAGAAAACATGCTATGTGAGCATGTGTGTTTTTTGTTGTTGTTGTTGTTAACTCAGTTATTACTATAACATGTAGTTTTCAAGATATAACATCAAGGAGTTGGTGATGGAGGCAAAGTGATAGCTCTGTGATGGGGAAGTGACTGGTGATCAGTGAGGATTTAGGGAAAGGTGTCCAATCTGTGAAGTAAGGGATGTCATGTCAGCTTAGTTAACTCAATAGTGAGGATCTAAGGGCAAGAGTGGCTAAGAATACAGATTCAGAGGAATGGAAAGCAAAAGAAACTTTATAACAGTTATGAACATTCATATTAAATAAATTCCCACATTGGCCATGTTCAAAAATATATATCTTATTCTGTATCTTGAACCCATCATCTCTCTCTCTCAGGAGGTGGGTCACATGTTTCATCATCAGCCCTCTTAAATCATGGCTGATCATTGCCCAGATCAATGTCTCATTACTTTATAGCAATATCTTATGTGCAATAAGTTGTAATTGGATTCTAGTACATTAGCCAAGGAGGACATTGATTAATACTATGTATTTGTTAAATGCCAATAGTCAATCTCTTTTGGGAGTCCTATACTATATATTTTTCCGGTACCTTTCTTTTTTTTTAAGGTAATTGCTATAGCTAGTAATAAAAAGAACCCTAATAATTTTTATTTATTGTGTTTTATGACACTAAACGGATAGCATGCATTTGGATTTTTTTAAAGATGGTATTTTTAATATGCTTTGGGGTTTTTTTTGTTTTTTTTTCTTTTTTGTAGAATATTACCTACTTAGGAACATATTTTAAATAATCAGTCACACAGTGGCCAGCTCATGTGCAAAAACTATTGCATTTCAAAAAACTTTATTCTCATTTAATTAGAGGAAATACTTACAATATGAATATGATTTAAAGGTAAAGCCACAAACATTTTTATTCTCCTTAAGTACCAAATACCTGCTATGCTGGCAGAACTCAATGCCTGTGGGAATGGTATGTCTTTGTTTTTTATTTGCCCATCAAGTATTTATAGCCGCAATAGGTCTGGCTTTTTCCAGACCAATAATGAATAAAATGAATTCTGTGTGTGTGTGTGTGTGTGTGTGTGTGTGTGTGTGTGTGTGTGTGTGTGTAAAGGAAAGCCTTTATTATGCCTCTCACCAGAAGTGGGCATACCACATCCTAGTGGCACATGCATGCTGGTACAGAGATAGAATCAACTTTCAAATGGTTAGTAGAATCCATACTCCTCCCATCTGAGCCCAGGATTGGACCAGCTCATGGAGATTCTGCTAATAGCATTGTTGTAGTCTATGGATTCATTCATTCTTGACAAGTTTCAAATATTTTATGAGGTGTTGTCATTCTTTTTGCAAATACAGTCTGTCTTTTGCCTAATTGAAACAGTTGTTCCTTTCAGTCCCTTGGGCAGTTTATCATTGTCTCCTTTTTTCTCACGTTCAGCATTCTTATGTTTTTATTCTGTCATTTGTCTCCATGAGCTATTTGCTTTTCTCAGTTGTAAGAGTGGACAGCATAGTAGATCCTTTGAAGCTTTATTTGTTGTTCTCTATGTTTAAAGCTCACCTTCACCTGACTATAGCACCAGGTTTAGCACTCTGATGAAATTTATCCATATTCACTGAACTCACCAGAGAGAGGCTATAATAGGCATGGCATGGATTTCTGCTAATGTGATTATTATAGTATTATTTTGTTAACTAAAAGATAAGCATATCTATTTGTCTTTCAAATAAAATTTAAGAGGTTATAACTGTGATTTAGTATTCCAATTCAAAATTTTTCCTTTGGAAAAGACACTTTAGGACAACTGTCCTCATGGTCCATTCTTTTGTGGGAGCACCAAGACCATCATGATTGAAATTCACTGTTTTTGGCAATAAAATTAGGTTGAGGGAATAAATATAAGTCTCAACCAAGACATTGTCCCTTCATAAATCCCTCTAGTTACTTTAAACAATTCTTTCCTTTAAATTTACAAAAACTATTGTGTATACCTAACTGAATTTGTGAAATCAACAAATAAAATGTAATTATTAAATAGTGTGGTGCTGTTCTAGGAATCTAGTTTCATGTCTTTTCAAAGAACAGTTTTAAAATCCAATCTTTAATGGGATTTTTTTAATTGTTAGAAGTAATGGGGGGTGGAGCCAAGATGGCAGAGTAAAAGCAGTGACTCCCTTGAGCCCCCCTGCCACCAAACCCTTCCAAATACTGTAAAAAATGGCTCTAAACAAATTCTAGAGAAGCAGAACCCACAGAAATACAGAATGAAACACATTTCCAGCCCAAGACAGCCTGGATGGTTGATTGGAAAGGTCTATGGCACCAGGTTGGTAGAGGAGTGCACTTCAGCCTGGGCATGCAGGCAAAGACCAGGCCTCAGCAAACCTGGAGCAGGCCTCAGGGGACTGAATCATGGGCAGCTATGGCAGTTTCCAGACTTCTCAATCCACAAATGCCAAGGACAACTTAGAAGTTCAGTAGGAAAGGTCTATTGGACCATGGTGAGAGAGAAGCTAGGGCCCAGCCTCAGTCCCGTCTTAGCAGGGTGGTATCTGCTTCTGGAGCTCTCAGACCACAGATGGAGGGGGAATTGCGAGGCTGATCAGAGGGGGATTGAAGGGATATCTTTGCTGGTGCTGAGGTAGGATTCTCTTGCTTTGCCCATGCTTAGATATGGGTCACAGTTCTGGGTAGCAGCCCTAGGGAAAGGAGGAGCACTGGCATGGCAGAGCTCATAGTGGCAGTACAGAGGTAATCTTCCTCACAATTCCAAGGCAGGAAAGAGTGCTTGTGGTCACTCATAGACCAGAGCATAGTCCAGGAAAGGAGTAAACACCTCACCCTTGATCATACCAACTTGGAAGAACTGAAAATTTACAGGTCCCTAGAAGTATCTCTGAAAATAGCTACACAAAACCCCCAAAGCTTGGGGCAGTACATTCAGCAGACCCCTACCTTAACAAAGAGTTTAAAACTCAAGTAATTAGTGGGGACATGAGCAAACAGTGTGCAAAAAAAAAAAAGTCGAACCATAGAATCTTTCTTTGGTGACAAAGAAGATCAAAACACACAACCAGAAGAAGACAACAAAGTCAAAACTCCTACATCCGAAGCCTCCAAGAAAAATATGAATCAGTCCCAGGCCATGGAAGAGCTCGAAAAGGATTTTGAGAAACAAGTAAAAGAAGTAGAGGAAAAACTGGGAAGAGAAATGAGAGTGATGCAAGAAAATCACAAAAACAAGTCAACAGCTTGCTAAAGGAGGCCCAAAAAATAATACTGAAGAAAATAACATCTTAAAAAAATAGCCTAACACAAATGATAAAAGAGGTCCAAAAAGCCAATGAGGAGAAGAATGTCTTAAAAGGCAGAATTGGCCAGATGGAAAAGGAAGTCCAAAAGCTCACTGAAGAAAATACTTCCTTAAAAATTAGAATGGAGCAAAAGGAAGCTAGTGACTTCATGAGAAATCAAGACATTGTAAAACAAAACCAAAAGCATGAAAAAAGTAGAAGATAATGTAAAATATCCCACTGAAAAAATAACTGACCTGGAAAATAGATCCAGGAGAGATAATTTAAAAATTACTGGACTATCTCAAAGCCACATTCAAAAAAAGAGCCTAGACATCATCTTTCAAGAAATTATCATAGAAAACTGCCCTGATAGTCTAGAACCAAAAAGTAAAATAGAAATGGAAAGAATCTGCTGATCCCCTCCTGAAAGAGATCCCCAAAGGAAAACTCCTAGGAATATTGTAGCCAAATTTCAGAGTTCCCAGGTCAAGGAGAAAATATTGCAAGCAGCCAGAAATAAACAATTCAAATATTGTGGAAACACAATCAGGATAACACAAGATATAGCAGATTCTACATTAAGGGACTACAGGGCTTGGAATATGATATTCTGGAGGGCAAAGGAGATAAGATCACAACTAAGAATCACCTACCCAACAAAACTGAGTATAATCCTTTGGGGGGGGAATGGATATTTGGTGAAATAAAGGACTTTCAAGCATTCTTGATGGAAAGACCAGAGCTGAATAGAAAATTCGACTTTCAAATACAAAACTCAAGAGAATCATGAAGAGATAAACAGGAAAGAGAAATCATAAGGGACTTATTTAAGTTGAACTGTTTACATTCCTACATGGAAAGATGATATTTGTAACTCATGAAACCTTTGTCAGTATTAGGGTAGTTGGAGGGAAAAAAAATAGATAGATAGATAGATAGATAGATAGATAGATAGATAGATAGATAGATAGATAGATGGCACAGGGTGAGTTGAAGATGAAGGGGTGATATCTGGAGAATAAAATGTAAGAGTGAGAGAGGATTATATTGGGAGAAGGAGAAAGGGAGAGGTGGACTTGGGTAAATTATCTCACATAAAACAGACAAGATAGTGGAGGGCAATTGTGGGGAGGTGAGAGGGAATGAGTGAATCTTATTCTCATTGGATTTGGCTTAAGGAGGGAATAATATACACATTCAATTGGGTATGGAAAGCTATCTTTCTACAGGAAAATAGGGGGGAAGGGAATAAGAGAGCAGGGGGATGATAGAGGGGAGGGCAGATTGAGGGAGGGAGTAATCAGAAGCAAACACTTCTAAGGAGGGACTGGATCAAAAGAGAAAATAGAATAAATGGGAGACAGGATAGGATGAAGGGAAATAATTTTTCACAACATCACTACTATGTTTTGCATGATTACACATGTATGACCTATATCAAGTTGATGGCCTTCTCAATAAGGGTGGGTGGGGTTAGAGGAAGGGAGAAAATTTGGAACCCAAAGTTTTAAGAACAAATGTTAAAAATTGTTTTCTCATGCAACTTGGAAATAAGATATACAGGCAATGGGGTATAGAAATCTATCCTGCCCTACAGGAAAATAGAAGAAGGGGAAGGGGATGAGAAGGAGGGGGGTGATAGAAGAGAGAACAAATTATGGGAAGGGGTATTCAGAATACACACCATCTTGGGGTGGGGAAGGCATGAGATGGGGAGAAAATTTGGAAAAGAAGTAATGGGTTTTTTCACAATCTTATAAATGATACCTTTAATTCACACATAATGAAAGGCTTTGATTGACCATTTTGCTTTTAAGTTATACATTATTTGTGCATTAAAGTTTCAAATGCTTGTCAAATTCCACATAACCAACAAGATAGTACAGAGATCTTGAGACCTGTATGTGCTACATCTTACTCCAGATATTGAGTGGCTGCTACCATTAATCTGTGAGTAGTTGGTTATGTGGGTTTCTAAGATGACTTACCTATCACTCTGTTACTTTTTTCCTCCTTCAGAATGATCTCAAACTGCTTTTGACATCACTAGCAGATAACAAATACATCATTCTGCAACAACTGGCCAGTGTGGTGGAGAAGCCTGCAGCAGAACAAATAGAGGTATTTATAGTTACCTGTTTCTGAAAAAGGAAGACACATGTAACAAAGTAGTGGTTATGGAGCACATCAGCTCAAATAGTCACCAGAAAATCAATATATGGCCTACGAAAGAGGGGAAATGAGTCTTTTTTTAATCTCCAAAGATGGATGAAGCATATTCACTTCCAAGAATTAATAAGCCTTATTTAAGCCAGGACAAAAAGTTAGTTTCCATCTTCCATGAGTTTATTGGAGTACACTAGAATTTTATGATATTTTAGGGGCTATTATGGACACTACTATCTTCTTTTCCTAAAACTGAAGAAAATAGTTGTATTCAGGCAAAACTACTTTTTGAAGGCTTGTGGTCCTTTGTACATTCCTTCGTCATATTGTTTAAGATATCTTTTTGCTCCATAAATGTTAAATAGATTGTAAGTATTAAAAAGACCATAAGAACAATGTTGGCACCATCAAATGTATAGAGAATACAAGCAAAAAAAAAAAAACAACCCAATTCCGATTGGAGCATGTATTTTAATACCAAAGTATCTAAGGTGAATAACTATTTCTGCCACTGAAAATGTCTATTTAAGCTAAAAAACAGATTCTGTCTTCACTCGGTAGTGCCTGCTTGTCATCTGTGATAGAGACTCTACTTTAGTCCAACCATTTTATGATTCTCTCAGGCACAATAAATGTTCATTCTAACCTCTGTGTTTTTGCTAATGTTCAACCCCTTGCCTAGAATGCCCTCTTCCTGTTGATCTAAATCCTATAAAGTCTTCCAAGCCTGATTTGAGTACCACTCTTGCCATAAAAGCCTTCTCTACTATTTCCTTTGCTAACCTCCTATAACCCATATGTCCTTTATTATAATTATTTAGTACTCAATTATGTGCCTTTTTGTAATTTGTCTAATTAGAATCAGGATTTGTAGAGCCAGAAGGGACCAAAAAGATCCCTGAGAGCCAAGCCTTCTCATTTTACAGTTTAAGGAAATGAGACCTAGAGAGATTATATTATTTGCCTTATGCCACTGCAGCTAGTAACAGAACTGACTTGAACTTTTATCTCCTGACTCTTGACTGCAACTTTTCCTACTCTACCATGCTGCTTTTGAGGTGTTTCATGTGTATCATTCTTTTTTTCTTAAGCAAATTGTAAGTACCATGAGACCATGGATCACACCTATATTTCTTCTGTAATCCCCACAGCAGAATCAGAATCACATGATTTTAGAGGTGGAAGGACAATGAGAAAGTTTAAAAAAAAAAACCTAATTGATAGATCATGTAGATTGTACAGAAAATCCAGAATTTGATAGATCATGTAGATTGTACAGAAAATCCAGAATTTGATAGATCATGTAGATTGTACAGAAAATCCAGAATTTAAATAACTAAAAGTAGGTATTACAAGTAGTAAATAACTAAGCCAGGATTCAAATTCAGGTCTTCTGACTCCAGGGCCAGTGACCTTTCCATATTTAATAAGTATTTTAGATATTTAATAAAAACTTTCCCCATTTGATTCCAGAGAATGTCTATATTCCCTAGTCATGCAGATGAGAAAATTCTAGTTATATTTGTACTAGAGAATATACCCTGCTCAAGGGCAAAACCATCTGTGTTAACCAATCCAAAGAAGATAGTGTTCCATACGTGCTTTCTGATCATATAGGAAGTTTTTACCATATCACAGAAAAGCAATGAGGATTTTTTAAAGAAATATAGGTAAGCTTTCTCTTCATCTGTTCTTTTCGTGCACACTCCATTTTCAAGTTTTTAGTTGAACAAAATACACTATTTGTCCTATCTGGCCATTATTCCTTACCTTTTAAATCCTCTGCATCACTGTTGAGGTGGCTAGCACCTACACGTTGGATGCTCTTCTCTTCTCCTTATAATAGATTGTTTGTAGTTTTCATGTATTTTTAAACACCACCATTTAACAATAGGGGTGCAGGTTGGGGTAGAAAGAACAATTAAGTCGACATGAATACTACAGGAATGTTACAAAGAAATGTCATTTATTTGATGCAGGCAATACAGCAGGCTGAAGATGGTCTGAAGGAATTAGATGCAAGTATCATTGAATTAAAGAGACGTGGTGATAAACTGCTGATTGACCAGCCCTCTGTGCAAGAACTCTCTAAACTCCAGGTAAATATGCAGTCAATGGCCTTTTTATTCACATTTTCTGTCTTATCCCATTCTTCACTCGGTACTCTAAACATACTGTACACTTAATGTTTGTCAAAACAAATGTGACAAAGTAATGCAATTATTAATATTTCATAGTTCATATTAATAGAAATTGGTTTCTCTATTACATCCTTGATTTTTTGTAATGAAATACATATTGCTTAGGTACTAACTGATGAACAAAATTTTCTGTAACCTCTTTTAATAATGTCTCTTTAGGATTTCTCTTTCCTCCATGATTTTTTCAGAACTATGCTTTTATTTGAAAATAGTTATATACTTCACATGATACAGTTCCCTAGAAAATGTGTTATGAAGCCAGTCTAGTAATAAAGGGAAACTTCTGTAGCTAACTTTCCATCTTTATTTCCTACCTGCCCTAAGTTTTTTTAGAGAAAAAAGAAGACTCACATTATGCACTTTGCTATGTACTCTGTTTAATAATAGCTTTGAGAGCTAAAAATATAGCCCTGTCTTTATAAGTTTCAAATACTTATAATGTATCTGAAACCTTGCATCAGAACTCCCTGGATCATTCCAAGAGGTCTGAAAATCTAGCCTCCCTTTTCTAGACCTGTATTCTTGATGGGTTACCCAAAACCTGACACAGATGTGATAATAGAGGCTGCCACATTTGTCAGTGGAATGCCATATTTTATTAAACACCAAGCTGGCATGGAAGTTTCTGTATTCCAAAAGTCTGCAAGTGGTTACCAATAAAACCCTGAGTTATCGTTGTATATCTTACTACAACAATGTTAGAAGGATATATAAACTCAATTAAGATTCACAAGTCCTTTTAGGGAAATAAAATACATCCTTATTAAACAAAGAGAAAGGCTGATTTAATTGGCTTCATTTCTACACCTAACATTTCAAAATTCCTTATGTGGAGCCCTGTCTGCAGCTTCTTCGGTCATTATTCCAGATTGTTGGACATGAGGGAATAAAGCCAAGTAGCATACTTGTAACTGAGCATGAGCATTAAATTTTACCATATTAGGCATTTTTGGTCTTCCATAAACATTAATGTGATACATTAATTCACTCTACAACCTTTCAAAAATTCTTTGGTTGGTATATCAACCCCTATTAAAATGTGATTCCAAGTCTAATAGCTACTTATTCCACTCAGTTGACAAAATATTGTCTAAGTTCCTTAAAAATCTCTCTTTGCTTCCATTTAACTAATTAAAAACTAGTTTCTTTGAAGCTCTACAAAATTAGGTTGTAATTTATTCTGTAAGATATTAAGGAAACTGAACACACTTTCTCTAAAGAATAGTGTTAATTGTCTTTCCTCCCTGTTATTATACGTCTCATAGGCCAAATTTCTACCTTTTTACTCCTCTCCATAGTTTTCCCAAAGTCATATAAGGCAAGCCACATCTACATTCCCCCTATGAACTGACACTTGGCATCACTAGTAGAGCTATTATCAGACCACACTCACAGGTCACATTTATTGATTTATTGAAGTGTTAAAACATTAAGTTCTTCTTTTTGGACATGATTTCCAAATATTTTTAGATGCATTAAAGGCAAATAAATTGCTCTACCCAAAGGCTCTCCTAGAAATAGAGGATATCTGGGCATAAATAAACATGATATAATCTCATTGTTTAGATCAAATGACATGTTTTTACCCTGTTATTTGCCTGTATATTAAATTATAATCTGTTGCTTTTTCTGTTCTCTTAGGACATGTATGATGAATTGATGATGGTCATTGCTTCCCGGCGCAGTGGGCTAAATCAGAATCTAGCCCTTAAGAGTCAGTATGAACGAGCTCTGCAAGACCTGGCTGACCTCCTGGAAACTGGTCAAGAAAAGATGGCAGGAGATCAAAAAATGATTGTATCTTCCAAAGAGGAAGTTCAACAGCTACTTGACAAGCACAAGGTACAAAAGAAATAAATGCAAATATGTGTTTCTAAATACCCATTATTACACACTGTCATTTACATATTAAAACATAGTATTCTCCATCTTTTGATTTCTTATTTGTACTTTGCTTTACACTTACGTTTTACTATTCAAAGTAAATTAAGGCCATTGAAATAGGAAAGAACAAAGATTTCTTGCAAATTAATTGAAATGGGATCTTGAGAAAGTTCTAAGTTGAAATGCATAAATTTTTAGTAATTTTTCAAAAAGTAGATCCTTACTGGCATACTCTATTCTCTCAATGGAAGATAATCAAAGAATAGAATTCTTTAGAGAGAATCTTTTCTTATCTCATATTCTTATTCCAAAGTCTATTCTACCTGCTAACACTAATTACCTATTTTTTCTCATAATTTAGCTTTAGAAACATATTCCTTCTTAGTTTCTTCAGCCCAAGGGCAGCAGCTTTCCCATTTGCCCTAGGAATAAACTCCTTCTTAGACTCAGAGATGAATTCCACCTCCATTATAGCTATAGATGCATTGGTACAGAAAAAGATGTTTCTTCCTCCTCTGGCCTTGAACTTCCAGACATCTTCCTGGGAAAATAGAATCCCTATTTCTCTAAGTGTCCATTCCACACAATCATATAGGGTCAAAGAATAAGGGTAGCCAAAAAAGATGAGAAGAATGGCAAGATAATAATTCACATTTTAAGGCATTTTAAGGTTTACAATGCATTTTACTCATGAACTTTTATTTACTGTGTATGAGGCAGGCAATAACAACATTCTTACGAATGCTTTGTTATGGAGGAAGAAACTGGAGTTTACAGTTGTGCAGTACCTAGGTTTATGCAGCTAGTAAGCATAGGTGGAAGGAGTTGTATCTAAGTCTTTCCAACTTTTCCAGGAAGAGCACTATTCTTCCCACTATTCCATGTGACTTCTCTAGAAAAGTATTCCCTGAGGTTGAGGTGAGAAACCAAGATTACAGCTATTATGAGATCACTAAACAAACTGTAGAACAACATCTTCATTCATTTCCAGATACTTTATGGGAAATGTTTTTAGCCTGCATGTAATCAGATACGATCTGTACTGGTTTCATGATAATTATACTTGGTCCATTTGACTAAAAGTTAATGATTGTGATTTTGTGTGTGCCAAAGCGGAGATTTAACAGTGACTGAACTGAAAATGCTGATGGGATGCTTAATGAACTTTTCTTAGTCTGTAAAATTGCTACTTTAGCTTTAGGATATTGTGCTCAGAAATTATTTATGGTGGATGACAGCCTAAAAGTAAAATAAATGTGACTGAACCAAGTTGGTAGTATGCTTTATATATGAGTTCATTTTTTAAAAAAGAAAACATGTTTAGCCAAACTGTCTTCCCGTTGCTTCTGGTGCCACATAATCCATTGCATTCAGAGGGATGAGGGAGGTATAATTTTTCAGTGCTCATTTTTTTCTAGATACTTTCATCTAAACCTTTATAATTTATTAAGGTTTTGTTATTTTACCATGAAAACATTTTTTCAGAGAGCTACTTTTTCCCCTCATGTCTTTGACATTATAATGAAAGATGAGTGTCAATTCAAAAGGGTAGAAATTTATGAAGAGACATATTTTGACTCAAAGTCTTTCTCACATTCAGGGCCATCCACCAATTAAGTGGGCTGCCTCTATAACAGTAAGCTCCCCGTAACTGAAAGTGTTCAGCTTGAGCTGTGATACCTGATTTTGTAGGGATGTTGCAGAAGGAATTCCAACAACAAATTATCTGAAAGATTTCATGACCTGCAGATTAATTTGAGTTAACACCATGCTATGGCAATGAAGACAACTAAATTTCTTAGTCTTTAAGAAACAGTTGGAGCTTTGAAGAAGGAAGTAATTTAGAACATGTAGAGATGAAATATTCCAGGAAAGGAACACATGAGTACAGACATAGAATTAGAATGCACTTGGTGCAGGTATCCAGGAAACAGTGCAGATTTGTTTGTTTGAAGCAAGGAATTTGTATAAGGGAATAAGGGAAGATAGGTCTTTAAAACATGACACTAAACAATTTGGACTTTATATTGTGGAAGACTATGAGCCATTGAAGGTTTTCATGTAGGAAATACTCCATAAAAAGTGATCTCAATTCTAAAATATCTTTCGGTACCATTGAGGAACGATTCTTAAGAGCATAAGAAGATTGTTGAGGTAAAATCAGATTTGGGGTTTGGAATGTGATGGTGACAGTGAGTTTGGAATATTGTTACATTGCTCAAGCTGAATATTATTTTACATTAACCCAATTCTGTCAACACTGCTTGGAAGCAAATTTTACTGGAAAAGTAAGATGTGAATAGATTTGTGACCACTTTGTTTTCTGAAAATTTCTAGGAGTATTTTCAGGGCCTTGAATCCCATATGATCTTAACTGAAACACTCTCCAGGAAGATAATCAGTTTGGCCATCCCAAAGGAAAACCAGGTCCACATGGAGTTGATGGCTCAGGCTTCAACTGTACTAAAGCAGGCTCACAAGAGAGGTGTAGAGCTGGAATACATTCTTGAGGTGAGAGTTTGGTTGTAACTTACTTTTCTGTTGTAAACAAATGCAAGGATATTCATTAAGGCAAGGTTTGTGCATCCATGCAGTGCATTTCATACTTTAAGGAGGAGCACCGTGGTTTCATCAATGTTTGTTGTTGATATTTTCCCTGGGGTTCTACCACAAATGGATTTTTACACAAATTCCATACTTACATAATCTTCAGAAATGTGAGTCCTAAGAAAGTATTATATAGTGCCCTAATCTTATTAATAAGGTAGCAGCAATGTGTTGAGCATGTGACTGTATGAGCACAGAATGTGATTTTGAATGCTATTAACCCTGTTGAGCACTAGGCATGGAATAGAAACTGAACTGTTAGCGCATTGTCTACAAAATCCAAAAATGGAGGTGGGGGGAGTAGCCCTAATATTGCTACCAGTGACTGGCACCATGGTCTCAGTCTTTCCTGGGTATTTGTCTTTGATCAACTCCAAGAAGTGTTTTCCTCCTTAAAAAAAATCCTTTTTTCTCTAGAACCCCCAAAAGCTTCAGGTGTTTTCAACCTCTTTCACACCATCATAAGCACACTTGAGTGGTATAGATAGCATGCTTAATTTTTGCTACATCTCATTATACATTGTAGACAAACACTGGTATGTCTACAATACAATACATGATTTTTTTTGTGCTTCCAAGGAGGAAGTTTCCAGTCCACAATGATTTGTTGTGAAATGGGATTTAATGTTGACATTAGGAAACTTAAATTAAGTGAACAAATGAAGATTTGACATTGAGAAATTGTTGAACCTTATTCTAAATCACTTTCTAGATAAGCATCAATGATCTTTCACAGTGAAACTGAAATCATATTTGAGTATGAAGTAAAAGGGTTCGTATGCTAATGTAAAGTTAATATCATGTATTAATTTTAAAACTTTCCTGTTTGAATAGTGACATTTCTTCTAAGAATTTATTTCCTCAAATAGAGTACACCAACTCATATATTATATGAAGTACAGTTGATACGCATGGCTGCATATAATCAGCTAGCATCTGTTGAATGCCTCCTATATGCCAAACACCATGCTATGTATTGTGGTTACAAAGACAAAGATGAAAAAAAAATTCCTACCCTCAAGAAGCTTACATTCAATCATAGAAAACAACATTTACATACTGAACTAAATAAAGTTTGTACAAAGTCATTTTAGGGAAATTGAAAGCAGTAACTTCTAGGAGGGTCAGGAAAGGCTTCATGTAGGGCATGAGATTTGAAGAAAGCTAGGAATTCTAAGAGGTAGAGATGTGAAGGGAAAGATGAGAGGTGAAATGGCTTCTGTGAGGAACAGCAAATGGACCAATTTGACTAGACCATAGAGTGTATATGAAGGAACTAATGTTAAATAAGCCTAAAATATTAGGCTGGATCCAGATTGTAAGGAGCTTTAAATGCCAGGCAAGTATTTTATTTTGTCATAGAGGCAATAGGGAGCTACCGGAAGTTTTTGTTTGACATGGTCAGACTTGTACTTTAGGAATATTACTTTGGTTTTTAAAAAATTCTTTATTAATTTATTTTGATTTATTAACAATCACTTCTATAAGCTTTTGAGTTTAAATTTTTTCTCCCCATCCCTCCCCACTTTCCTCCCCAAGATGGCATGCAATCTGATACAGGCTTTACATGTACATTCCTATTAAACACATTTTCACGTTACTGATGTTGTAAGGAAGAATTAGAACCAATAGGAGGAACCACAAAAAAGAGAAAACAAAACAAAAGAGAAGAAAAAAAAAGCAAATAGTATGCTTTGATCTGTGTTCAAACTCCTTAGTTCTTTCTTTGGATGTGGATATTATTTTCCATCATGAGACTTTTGGAGATGTTTTAGATCTTTGCATTGCTGAGAAGACCTAAGTCTATCAAAGTTAGTCATTGTACAACGTGGCTGTTACTATGTACAACGTTCTCTTGGTTCTTTTCACTTCACTCTGCATCAGTCCATACAAGTCTTTCCAGGTTTTTCTGAAGTCTCCCTGCTCATCATTTCTTATAGCGCAATGGTATTCCATTACATTCATATACCACAACTTGTTCAGTCATTCCCCAATTGATGGCCATCCCCTCAATTTCCAATTCTTAGCCACCACAAAAAGAGCTGCTATAAATATTTTTGTACATGTAGGTCCTTTTCCCATTTGTATGATCTCTTTGGGAGTGCTATCTCTAGAAGTGCTATTGCTGGGTCAAAGGGTATGCACATTTTTTTAGCCCTTTGAGCATAGTTCCTCATTGCTCTCCAAGATGGTTGTATCATTTCACAACTCCACCAACAATGCATTAGTGTTCCAATTTTCCCACATCTCCAACTTTTATTACTTACTTGTTTTGTCATGTTGGTCAATCTGACAGGTGTGATGTGGTACCTCAGAGTTGTTTTGATTTGCATTTCTCTAATCAATAGTGATTTAGAGCATTTTTTCATATGACTATAGATGGCTTTAATTTCTTCATCTGAGAACTGCATGTTCATATCCTTTGATCATTTATCAATTGGAGAATGACTTTTATTCTTATAAATTTAACTTAGTTCTCTATATATTTTAGAAATGAGGCCTTTATCAGAGACACTAATTGTAAAAATTCTTTCCTAGTTTTCTACTTTCCTCTTAATCTTGGTTGCATTGGCTTCATTTGTGCAAAATCTTTTCAATATAATGTAACCAAAATTATCCATCTTGCATTTTATAATGTTCTTTATCTCCTGTTCGGTCATAAATTCTTCCGCTCTCCATATATCTGACAGGTAAACTAGGAATATTAGTTTGAAACCTTTGTGGAAGATAGATTGAATAATGAAAAGAATTGAAACAGGAAGACCAATTAGGAGACTATTAATCTAAGCAAGGAGTAATGAGGGCCTGAAATAGGAGAGGTCAGGGGAGAGAGGGGACTGTGTGAAAGGGGGAAAAAAGGGATGTGTCAGAAAGGTTGGAAAGACAGAATTGAAAAGACTTGGTAAGTGACTGGATATGTGGAGAAAGAGTGAGAGAGAGTGAGGAATTGAGGATAACACCAAAGTTGCAAAGTCTTTTTTATGGCTAGAATAATAATGGTACAATTGACAGTATTAGAGAAGTTAGAAAGAATAATAGGTTGGTGGGGGGAAGTAATGAGTGCAGTTTAGGACAAGTTTATATGACATCCAATTCAAAGTGTCTAATAGACACTTGATTATGAGGGCCTAGAGAAAGAAACTACTGACGAATTCTCAGATCATAGATATGGAGCTAAAAGGGATTTTATAGGACCCAATTTTTTTTTTTGCATAGCAATAACAGTTGATAGGGGCAGCTAGGTGGCACAGTGAAAAGAGCATGGGGCCTGGAATCAGGAAGACCTGAATTCAAATCCAGCCTCAGATACATATTAGCTGTATGACCCTGGGCAAGTCATTTAACCCTATTTGCCTCAGTTTCCTCATCTTTAAAATGAGCTGGAGAAGGAAATGGCAAACCACTTCAGTATCTTTACCAAGAAAACCCCAAATAGGATCATGAAGTTTCAGACACAACTGAAATGACTGAACAACAACAAACAGTTGAACCCATGAATGTTGATGAAAGAGCAGAGAGGGAAGATGAGAAGGTCCAGGACAGATCCTAACCAACAATTAGAGACATGAATGATAATCCATCAAATGAAACTGAGGAGGAGCAGCCATACAGATAGGAATAGAACTAAGAGAAAGCAGTGTTAGGAATTGTAGCGATCCAACAAAGGGCCACTCACTACAACAGTCTGATTGGGAGCTGTTTGTATGAATTCTAGAAATTTTAAAATGAGATCGCTTGCTCAGTTTATCCTTGCCTTCACTGCATTTTAATTCCCACACATGGTGGCAAAGGCCCCTCCAAATGTTTGGCAAATAAGCATTTATAATATGGAGAGAAAAAGGAGAAAACTCACACACCAGGCTTACAAGTCCAAATGATATTTATTAAAGAATCATCTTCATAGCCCACTGGAGCCAGGATGGATTATCTGATGATTGACTTTGGGTGTTTTCTCAAAGAAATAGGAATTTAATCTTTGTGTCTTTGGCTAGACTTCTGAGAAGCTCTCCTATCACAGGTGGTCATGAGTTCATAATGAGAACAAAGATGCCAAAATTTGTTCATGGCCTGAATTTCTGACTTTATTCTTAGCTTTCCTTTGCCTGTCTCCAGACTCTAAAGTGTGCAGTAAGCTCAGCAAACAGGTTGATGTTCACTCAGGACCTTTTGTTGAGTATTTCATATATCCCATCTGTCAGATGGGATATCTAGCTATGCAGAGGTACAATAAAGCCTAATATATCATCTTACCCAAACTTTATATATCCTCTCACTTTCTTTGAGTGCTTTGCCTTCCTGAATAGCAATCTACAATGTGACAAACAAATCAAAAATTGCTTTTAAAATAGCTATAAAGATAGTTTCTGAAGCTCATGGAACTTCGTTTTCAGAAATCAGAAATATAAAAGAAATGTCTTTTACAAACAAGTTCTCACCAGCACTTTGCTGTCTCACAAATTTAACACATGTATATTAAATGTCTGTATAGACCTGGTCCCATTTGGAGGATGACTTTCAAGAACTCACCAGACAATTGGAAGCAGTTGAAAATAGCATCCCAAGTGTTGGTTTGGTGGAGGAGAGTGAAGAAAGATTAAATGACCGGATAACGCTGTACCAGGTTAGTTATCACTGAAAAAAAACACTTATTTTATAGAGCTAGCCAAAGATCCACTAGATATTTCTTTCATAGAATCAAGACAAAATTGTTTTAATTGTATACTTTTATTTGTATTAAATTATACACTTTCCTAAGAATAATGAAATTTTATATTAATATCAAATTGACCATTTGGAGAATATATGTGAACATATATGTGCATATATACATGTATACATATGCATATACACATACATGCATGGTTCTTAACCTTAAATGCTTCTCTATTAACTAAAATCAAAGGCATTCATTATATATCTATATAGAAGATGTGTGGAACAATATGGAGAGACCATTTAGTTTTCTTTTTTCATACTATATCTATTTCCTGAAGTTTTTTTTTTTCAATGAACGTTTTCTCCAGTTTGGCCTGGAACTTGATCATTAGCTAAATGTTTCAATTGGTTAAATTTGAAAAATGTCTGTTATTTACTACATAAATGTTTGTTGAAAACTAAGGAGAGGATTAGAGCTTAGCTGTTAATGGAAAGTTGAAGTTTTCAATGTGGTTGTTAGCACAGAATATAACTAGGTTTAGTGTCAATAAAGGGTACTTTGGGGTACTGGAGAAGGTATAAGATTCAAGAAGGGAAAACGTAAGCTGTCAACTTCCTGACCCAATGTTTTCTATCATTTTAGCGGCTGAAATCAAGCTTGTCTGAATACCAGCCAAAATTATACCAGGTACTGGATGATGGGAAAAGACTGCTAATTTCCATTAGCTGTTCAGATTTAGAAAGCCAGCTAAATCACCTTGGAGAACATTGGCTGAATAATACCAGCAAGGTTACTAAAGAACTGCACAGATTGGAGACAATATTGAAACACTGGACAAGGTAATAATATATGTAACCTTCATAAGATCAGAGGCCGTGTTTTATCCATACTTTGTGTCAGCCCTGGTGTGTAGATCAGTATTCTAAAAACAGTAGTGACTTCATAATGTGTACAACAGCTAATAATCTGTTGCACATAGCATCTTCTAGTTAGTACCGTTTGGGCTCTATAGGTTATGTTCGTACCAAACTTGTAGAAGATATACGTAGCCTTTGACCTTAGTGACTTTCCTATTAACTAAAATCAAAGGCATTCATTATTACACATTTTGTGTAAGTGATAAACTAGTTAGGGCTGAGTTAATAGCTCCCTCTGCCTGTTTCTTTTAATAAAGGAATACTTTCCAAAAGACTGAAAAAAAAGACTCACAAGAAATCTTAATGGATTAAAAAGTGGTAGTTGATTTGGCAGAGAAAACAACTTTGAAGAGGGAACAAGTGAAGGATATACAAAATAGTTCTGTGTAAATTAACATTTTCTCTTTGTATTCCATATTGTGAGAGGTAGCATGGTACAAGGGAAATAATACTGGCTTTACACTCGAAAGAGATGAGATAAAATCATTCTGTGACCTTGGGGAAGTTCCTTAGCCTTCGTACTCTTCAGTTCCTTACCTATAAAATGAGGGGATTGGACCGGATGACATTTGAGGTGCTTTCCAATTTTGGATTTATAATACCATGACTGATGTTAGAGTTAGGAAAGCCTGGATTTAAGTTCTGTCTCTGATTCGGACTGGCTGTGTGACCATGAAAAGTCACTTAAGCTTTCAGTATCCCAGGCAGCTCAATTCAGGCATAAGCTACAGATGAATCATAGAATTTCAGAATTGAAAGGTGTGTCAGAAGCCAACCAATTCAATTGATATACCACCACCCCCCTCCAAAAAAACAAATCTCTGCAACATAACCAACAAGTGGCTAGTTATTCAAAGTCTTCCACTGAAGGGGGAACTCATTGCCCATTGCTTGAAGTCTTCCACTAAAGGGGAAATTTACTAGTTTACATTTTGGATTATTATTTTGAAAAAATTTATGACATCATACCTAAATTTGCCTTTGCATCTTCCACCTATTACTTCCCCTTTCTGATTTACATTAGTGAAGGGAGTTTCTATGCCCAGAATTTCCTGTACCAGTAAAATCACATGTCCATCTTCCACCCCCAACAAACAAACAACCACAAAAAAAAAAATCACATATGGTATTCCAAACTGCCATCTTCTCAATTTATGCTAGTAAAATGGCATTTCTGCTTTAAGGAGCAAGAAACAAATAGTATTATCTGTCACTTATAGGTAAGGAAATTCAAATATAATGAGCCTTTTAGTGTTTTGTGATTTGCCCAAAGTCACTGCATTATAGGATTAAGAACAAAAGAGACCTTAATGATCATCTAGAGGCTAACCCTCTAACTCTATATATTAGGAAACTGAGTTAGAATGACTTGTTCAAGATCACACTGACCACAAGTAGCAAAACCAGATGTCATATCCAAGACTAGATAATACATGTTGTTATTCTTATCCCTGTGCTTTTCCATTAACTATCTACTGCTTCCTCTAGTGAAACTGCTAACATAGATTATAAAGAAAAAAATAGTACTAGGGGTCAAAATAAAAGCAAGAATTATTATAATTAATCATGAAATAATTTTTGCTTTTAATTATTCTTTAGTAAATATAAATTTATTATTATAATGTATAACATTGCTATGTATTATTAACTGATGTTTATTAATAATTGTTTTTATAATAATTTTACATTTACTAAGTACTTTCCTCATAGCAACCTTTTGAGTTAGTCAGTACAAGTATTATCCACATTTTCTGGATAAAGAAACAGCCTCAGAGAATTTAAATAACTTGTAGATGATCACCCACCAAGTAAATAGAGGAGCTAAAATTCAAAAATTGTACGTCTGACTCTGCACCATACTCTTTCCTTAGTTGCCCTTCAATAGATGTTTATATATTTTGCTGTCATTAACTTTCTTACAGATATCAGAGTGAATCTGCTGACCTCATTCATTGGTTGCAGTCTGCAAAGGACAGGCTAGAATTTTGGAATCAGCAATCAGTGACAGTTCCACAAGAATTAGAAATGGTTCGAGATCACCTGAATTCTTTCCTGGTAAGACATTTTAAGAGTCTGAGCCATTTAGTCACATATGGTCCTTCCATCTGTTTGATTCCATCAACCATGTAAACCCAAGTAAAGCAAGCAATGGTGACTTACCTTGTGGCATGCATGTAATCCTTATTCAACATAAATGGCCTTAACTTTCTATTCTTAAATTTTTCCTTTTTGATTTTGTTCTAGAGTAATATCCTCATAAAATATGTAGCCTTCATAGTAGTACAAGGACTATGCTATTTTTTAATTGTGCTTTTTTTATTGCCTCTATGATTTCCAATACAACACTGATATAATATATAGACCTATAAACCAATTATTAAACCTAATGGCAGACCATTCTTAAACATAACTCCTCCTCTTGTGGAACTAAAACATTTTTAGTTCTATAACATTTGTTCTCTCAATTAATTCTTCATTTAGGAATTTTCTAAAGAAGTTGAAGCAAAGTCTTCCCAGAAATCTTCAGTTCTTGCCACAGGAAATCAGCTCCTTCGACTGAAGAAAGTGGACACAGCAGCACTTCGATCTGGCCTGTCACAGATTGACAACCAGTGGACAGAACTGCTGGCACACATTCCAGTAGTACAAGAAAAGTTGCATCAGGTATATAATGAAAACACTCTTAAGTTACTTTAATCTTCTAAGGCTGAATAAATGTCCCCACATGGGGAAAAAATGGTATTGATTGAAAACACAGATTAATGCGCTATTTTTTCTTTTTAATCTTACCTTGGAATAAATCTTATCTTATTCCACTAATCTCTATTCTTGCTTGGGAAAAAAAATTACTCCATGAAGTAGTAATATCTTAAGTAAAATTAACTATGACATTTTAGGTTCTGACTGAATTCCAAAGAACTACTATAGAAGTGCCAAAAATCAAGGGGCTTGTGCCTTTCACTTTTGGGTTTGTTTTTTTTTTTTTAGTATTTTCTTTTTATTTGTACTGTCCTGGGATAGAATATCAAATGATTTCATGAGATAATTGATAATATCTATCATCAATTGAATTTTCTGTAGTTTTTAATACCTCACCCTTTCAAAAGAATTTTAAAAAGGAAAAGAGAAATTATTTACTTCATGCTGGTGTTAAAATTAATTGAATGCTTATGAGGTACTTAAATCTTAGATGCCAAATTGAGTATAGGTAGTTTTTAATGTTCAATGTTTTAATGATGCTTAATTTGAAAGCTGCTATTGGAATTAAAATGTAGGAATTTTTTGGAGAGCTATTTAATGTATAAAGCAAAATTGGCATTGGTTACAAGTTAGCAGGAATTGAGTTGCATTTTAAAACTTGTATCTTTCTCTAAATGATACTTGAACAGCTACAAATGGATAAATTACCTTCACGTCATGCTATTACTGAAGTCATGAGCTGGATTTCTCTTATGGAAAGTGTTATCCAGGAGGATGAAGAGAAAATTAAAAATTCTGTAGGACACAAAGCAATAAATGAATACCTACAGAAATATAAGGTAATTAAAAGAAAAGGCTTACCTTTGTATCAGATAAATTTCAATTTATTTTTAAGATAGTCAGATTTTTTTTGGCAGAAGAACTCAATGTATAATAAAATTACCAAAGTACATATATTAATTAGCTAAAAACTTGTGAGGTTAATGTGTATGTGTATATGTGTATGTGTATAGATAGAGACATCTACACATGCACATATAGATTTATTGCACTTATATATGTATTCATGCATATGTAAATATGTACATATATGCTTACACTTATATATGCACATATGTGTGTGTCTCCTGTGTGTATAGGCACTGTGCCTATGCATGTGAACATGTATATATTTGTGTATTTTAGATGTGTGGAGATGTACATGTGTGCACATGTACGTAAATTTTGATTTGATATTCTGGTCCAAATATTCTGAGCAATAAACACACTTCCAATACCACAGTAAAACAGCCAAAAGTAACTTCCCAGTCAGAAAAAAAGAGGCATCACCTGTGGTAGTTATACAGAGATTACTCATTATGAACTCTTCTTTTTTTAAGATTCATTAATTTATTTATTTTTAGTTTTCAGCATTCACATCCACAAGATTTTGAGCTCCAAATTTTCTCCCCATCTCACCCCCCCCCCCACCCCAAGGCAGCATGCATTTTGAATACCCTTTCCCCTAATCTGCCCTCCTTTTTATCTTCCCTCCCCCTTCTCTTATCCCCTTCCTCTTCTATTTTCCTGTAGGGCAGGATAGATGTCTATACCCCATTGCCTGTATATCTTATTTCCAGTTGCATGTGAGAAGAGTTTTTTAACATTTGTTTTTAAAACTTTGGGTTCCAAATTTTCTCCCTTCCTCTCTCCACATCCACCCTTATTGAGAAGGCAAGCAACTAGATACAGGTTATACTTGTGTAGTCATGCAAAACACTTCCATAGTAGTCGTGCCGTGGAAAACTAATATATTTCCTTTCATCCTCTTCCACCCATCCCTGCCTCCATTTATTCTATTCTCTCTTTTGACCCTGTCCATCCTCAGAAATGTTTGCTTCTGATTACCCCCCCAATCTGCCCTCCCTTCTACCATTCCCCTGCTCTGTTATCCCCCTCCCCACTATTTTCCTGTAGGTAAGATAGCTTTCCATACCCAATTGAGTGTGTATGCTATTCCCTCCTTAAGCCAAATCTGATGAGAATAAGATTCATTCATTCCTTCTCACCTTCCCTCACTTCCCCTCCACTGTAAAAGCCTTTTCTTGTCTGTTTTATGTGAAATGATTTACCCCAGTCTACATCTCCTTTTCTTCTTCTCCCAGTATAATTTTCTCTTACCCCTTAATTTATTCTCCAGATATCACCCCTTCATCTTCAACTCACCCTGTGCCCTCTATCAATCTATCCACACATATAACTTTTCCTCCTCCAACCCTAATACTGACAAAGGCCTCATGAATTACAAATATCATCTTTCCATGTAGGAATATAAACAGTTCAACCTTAATAAGTCCCTTATGGTTTCTCTTTCCTGTTTATCTCTTCATGCTTCTCCTTGAGTCTTGTATTTGAAAGCTGAATTTTCTATTCAGCTCTAGTCTTTCCATCAGGAATGCTTTAAAGTCCTCTATTTCATTGAATGCCCATTTTTCCCCTGAAGGATTATACTTAGTTTTGCTGGGTAGGTGATTCTTGGCTGTAACCCTATCTCCTTTGCCCTCCAGAATATCATATTCCACACTAATAACTCATAAGAATGGCTTTTAAATAATTATTTTAAAATAAAACAGAATACTAAATGACATTTCATCAAACATAGAAATGACACAATATGTGAGGCAAAACAAAGCATGTGTTTTTTCTAACCCCCATCTTATAATTAAAAATGACAAGCAAAACAAAAACAAATGTCTGTCTGAAAATTATGAATCATAGAAATGGTCACCATGTTTACACCATTTGAGCTAAAATATGGTAGTGACAATACCACTTCACAGCACTTAGAATATCAAAACTCTTATTAAAATGAGAAGATATATTTAGATGTGTCTTATATTTCATATGTTCTCTGTTTTTCTTCTTGTAGGGTTTTAAGATTGACATAAATTGTAAACAGTTGACAGTGGATTTTGTGAATCAGTCAGTGCTACAAATCACCAGTCAGGATGTGGAAAGTAAACGTAGTGATAAGACAGATTTTGCTGAGCAGCTTGGAACAATGAATAGACACTGGCAAATATTGCAAAGTCTAGTAACTGAAAAGGTAAGCAAAGTGACCTATTGCTTATTTATCTTCCCTTAAAAATAGTAATAAGATGTACAAAAATAGTCATTAAGTGAGTGGGCTATTTATTCCAATAAGCCCAAAGTATATGGCAAAAATATAACTTCTACATGGCCTCTGGAAACCTATTCATTCTTTTCCATTCACTTTTTAAATAAAAAAAAATTGATATATTTTAATGAATTTTGGCTTACAAGACAGGTGAATTTCACATAGCCAATAACTACATAAACATAAACATTATTTTATACCTTACATAATTAGACTTGTCTGGGGCATATGTTAAATTGTTGGGACACAGTTTTGATAAAGTAACTAGTTACTCTTTGAAAATTTAATCCTAAAACATATTTACTAATTTCTTATGGTAAATGTGCTCATGTCCTTTTTTTCCCCTTGATACAGATCCAGATGCTGGAAGGTTTATTGGAATCTTGGACAGAATTTGAAAATAATGTGCAATGTCTAAAAATCTGGTTCGAAACCCAAGAAAAGAAACTTAAACAACAGCATCAAATTGGAGACCAGGCTTCAGTTCAGAATGCAATGAAAGACTGTCAGGTAATCAAGGCAGTTAACTCACTTGTTCTGCATCACAAACTCATGAAGTATGTCTGAGGAAACCAACAGCAGAACAGTATAACAAGAATAGTCAGTAATAGTCTTCACTGAGAGCTTGAAAATTAGTCATATTATCTTTTGTCATCAGTTTGCCCAATTATAAGTTTTTTTAACCATTGTGTGCTTTCTCTTTAATAAATTAGAAATACAACTCCACTCCCATTCTATACTCAATTAAAAAAACTTCATAACTGTTTATGTCTTTTATAGCAATAAAGCAAAATGTAAATAAGCAATAATAAACATAATTACATATCAGAAGAGAGAGCTTTCACCATACTCTGAAAAATAAGTAAAATTAGACTGAGCTGTAAGAGAATTCAAAAATAAGAACTCTCTCAGGAAAATATATATAATGTCCAGATTGTATGAAGAACTTCCTTCCCACAATTAGTCTTAGGATGGTATAGATTAAGAAAGAAAAGAAAAAAAAACAGTGGAGTAAGCTGAAATTTATCAATTAAAATAAATATCTTAGGTTGAATTTAGATGTAAATTGATAAGACAGCAAAGATTAGGAAGAATATGTGCCTAGTTTTCTACATTTATAATCTGTGCAAATGGCTTTCTACTTTTTGCCAAAATCAGTGATTGAAAAGTAAGGGTGCCACAAAACTAAAAAGGAAGCATATAAAACCATAAAGAAAAACATGACAGGCCAACATTCACATATTTCATGAAGATTCTTAAAATTAAAAGTATACTTTCATTGCCTGAAAATAAACGTGGAGAAAAACTGAGGAATACATTAGTCATGGCTACATAAATGGGATAAAAGGAGGTAGCCTGAGATCATTTTCCCCTCATTTCTCATTGATCAATAACATGACTCTCTAAATAGAACTGTGAATCTGAACTCTACAAATAAATTGATGTTCCAAAATTCTATTTAGAACGTGAAGAGTCACAGTCCTTTGTAGTATTCACAGTTAATACCCCTATTTTCAAAGGCTATATTTTATATTACAGACCTAATAAGAGGATACTTGTTGTTGTATTATTACTATAATCATTATTACCAAAAAGCTCAAAATACATATTACTATATATCTTCTATCATTTTTCTTCCTTTTGTTTTCTTGCTTCTTTTCTACTCATTCATATACCTTTGTTGTTCTTACTTTTTTGTTTTTCTCTTTCTTCTCTCTTTTTATTTCTGTCCTGTAAAAGATAACAGAAGCCTTGCCAAATAATAATATTGTATCTTTCTAAATTTCAATCAAAACTGAATGGCTGTGTCAACAGTAGGGAGTTTTAAATGTGGTTCTTTCAAAGCAGACACTTTTCTTTGAAACAACTGGCAGAAAGAAACTAGTCTACATAATTAAAGTATCACATAACACATCATGGTGTAACTGGAAGGCTTGATTTGACAATACTCTAGACCTTAGTAAGATTTGTTATTTCTTCTGAGACATATATTTTCCTAAATATTGTAATCAGGTAAAAGACACTGAAATTAGTTGTCTAGATTTCAGTCTCTGGTTTTGATGGTATCATTCCTTTAACTTTTCCCCCCCACAATGTGAAGAGACTTTATTAATTTAAACTAACATAGAAGTTGAAGCTTGGCTATTCACATATTAAGATTAGCTTTTTCCTCTCTCATTTTTCAAAATCAGAATTTGTTATTTGATTAACTCGTTGAAAATAAAAAATGTACTGTATTTCATTTCAGCTGTCAGCTACTTGTGACCATGTTAATGGTTGTATTAATTAATGGTTGTATTAATTGGCTATATTAATCAAATGTATTTGACTTTATGAGTTTTAATGACTTAAACTGTGCCCAGGGTATTTTAGCACTATGTTTCCGAGCCATGACTTGTGAGCATAAATAACATTTTATCATCACTTAATAACATTAATAACATTAGATGCATAATATTAAATTTTTGGCAACTGAATTTCATGCCAATGTTAGCAATATGATTGAATAATTATTTCCAGTTGTCTCATAGTTAGTAGAAGTGTGGGAGGGAAATATTTTGTATATTCTGAGATAAAAAAAATTGTGGCGATTATTAGAGAATATAAACTAGAATGATTTTTTTTTGGTTCATTCTACATTTCACATACTTTTCTAAGCATTGTCCATTTGTATTTCATTAGATTCATAATAACAGATAAAATTCATATAGCACTTTAAGGTTTGCCTAATACACATGTCGCCTCATTTGCTCCTCACAACAACTCTTTATGTGAGGTGCTATTATTATTATGTCTGTTTTACAGATGAGGAAATTTGGGTCAAGAAAGTTTAATTTGTCCAAATGTCACACAGCAGATAGGTGTCTGAGGTAGGATTTGAACCCAGGTATCAAAGTATCAAAATTAATACATTAGTAACATTGAAAAATTATACTTTTAAAGAATAATCCTTCATAGTACCTTTTTTTGCCCCATTTCAACTATATTTCTGTCTGTCTAGCTTTTAGGCAGCATAATGGATAGAGAGATGGACTTGGAATAGATGGCTTACATTGTGCCTAGAGTCAAGAAGACCTAAGTTCAAATCCTACCTCAGAAACTTACTGGCCATTTTACCCTGGGCAAATCACTTAACCAACATCTCTTTGTCTTAATCCACTGAAAAAGAAAATGGCAAACTACTCCAGAATCTTTACCAAGAAAACTCCATAGACAGTATTGGTGTGCTGTGGTCCATAGGGTGATGAAGAGTTGGAACAACAACAACACCACCTGAGTTTAAACCCTGGACATACCCCACATAAGGGCTCCTAATATATTATAACCAAGTACTCTCTTAGAGCTATAAAAGTCCACTGCACTATCATTTGACAAATTATACCTTTATCATGCATAAGTTAGAATTTTATGTTGAATACAAATTACAGACAAAAAAAAAGAAAATTCTATATGGGATTACTACTATATACTAAAAATGAGGTCAGCAACATTTTGATGTTTAATAAGATACAGGGATCTGATAGATATCAAATAAGTATATCATCTACATCTTATCCCATTGCCAGGCATGGTCCCTACTTCCACCTGTAACAATATGTAATCTGTCATTATGTTTTGAAATGATCTGATGGATTCTCTATCATCTTTTAATTGATCCTATTCATAATTAATTGATTGTGTCTTATAACTGCCTATAAATCGTGGTTCTTTGTCTCTGAACGAAGTTTAGAAATTCAGCTGGCCTGTAATGAGTTAAGTTTAGAAATTAAATTCTCCTGTTAATCACTATTCTGTTCTTACCTCAAAGAAATCTGTTATCCTTGAGGGATGCCAGTGGATACAAGGGAGTCTGGACTAGTAACTTTACACCACCAAGCTGTCCTTCAAGGATGTCTGGTTTGTTATCCCAAGAAGTCTGGTTCACTATCTCTAACTTTGCAGGTAGACTCAAATAATGAACATTTCTTAGTCACAGGACAGAAGGAAGGGGTTGTTGCTATAACCTCATTCCCAATTTCCGGACAATCATATTCCACACTGCAGGTCTATAACCAATCACATTGATTTCACCATTCATGACGTTGAGCTCCTGTAATCAATCATAACTTGTTCCTCACCTACGAAGTCCTGTTCTTTGTTCTGTGCTCCCCAAAACTATACAAGAGAGCTGTCCCCTTTATTTGGGGTCTTAGCTTTGCTGAGGAAGCTGAGATCCTATTTATTTGTAAATTCATATTTTGCTAATAAATTGATAATGCTCAGGTTACCTTAATTTTACTGTAACAGTTTTCACATAATCGAGTCAAACAAGTTCTACCTGTATAATTTAAACTACCTTCTACTCATTCATTCCTTCATTCAATAGTCATTTATTAAGTTTTTGTTATTTACTAGATACTATGCTAGATACTGGGGATACAAAAGACAGAAATAAAACTGTCTCTACCCTAAAGGAACTTACATTCTGTGGGGGACAAAACACATACCCATACAGCTAGCTCCAAAATCTATACAAGGTTAGTGCAGAATAACTGAAGAAAGAAGAACTACTAGCTGTTCAGATTTGTGAAAGCTTTTTAAAGGACTCAATAATTGACCATTTTTACTTTTCTGTTCCTTAAGATTTTATTATGCCCAATTTAAAATTCCACTAATTCATTATCTTTTTTTTAATTTTTTTAATATTTAGGAACTGGAAGATTTAATTAAAGCCAAAGAAAAAGAAATAGAAAAAGTAGAACAGAGTGGACTTTCTTTGATTAAGAACAAGAAGGATGTTTCTGGTGTCATCATGAGTAACCTGCAAGAGCTCAACCATTACTGGGCAAATTTAGACCACAGGGTAATAATGTATAAAAGAATAAGATAATAAAGCTTGCACCAAGATTTTAGAGCATATTTCTTCTCTAAATACCTAGTGATCTTGGGATTGTGCCCATCTTGACAGTAATGGAAAAACACTGATATATTCTCATTTCCTAGAAGCTTTCTACCACTACCCTTCTGTCATGGCCTGGGAGCAAATTAAAATTGTTGGATCACAGCTTATTCTTACTTTTAGACCCATTGAGTAGATTTGAAAAGAAAATATGCTAGTACCTTGAAGAGATTCAACAAATCAATTTATTTTATAAAACATAGTTTGGGTTGAGTTAATTCTGCAGAATGCCTGACTTATCAACTCTAATTTTGGAGGGTGACATTTTTTAAAACCATCCCCTAAATTCTGACTTGGCTATAGGCTCATATGCACTGACTCTATAGATGTTACATAGGGCAGCAGAAATTGTTTTATCTGTTAGGGTTGTACTGGCATAAGTCACATTTATCGATATAATTCCTTTTCTTTTCTTACCAATTAACTCCAAATGCTGCCAAATATAATGGGCTCTAAATGACAATGCATCTTCATATAGTAAATATATTCACAGTTCCCTTAGCAACCCAGTGGCTTATGAAAGTTAACCTTCCAAGAGATTACAAAAGAGTGTCTTAAATTCTATGCTTTGCCTCTTCCTGATTTTTATTATGTATGTTGCATGATTCTCATTATATAGTCTTTAATGGCTCTAGACATGTGAGTCAATGCATAGGGTTATTTTGCATTTCTTTTGTGGAATTATCAATGTATAATTCTCTCCATACACACACACTTTCTAAAGGTTGGACAGCTAAAGATACTACTACAGTCAGTGTTTGATCAATGGAATATGTACAAAGTGGCTTATGAGGAAATGAACAGTTACCTAATGGAAGCCAGGTACTCTCTTTCCCGTTTCCGGTTGCTGACTGGCTCCCTGGAAGCTGTCAAAGTGCAAGTAGAGAACCTTCAGGTGAGGAGCAAATAGTAAATATTTCATTGCAATGACTTTAAACTTCTGGAAAAAGGAAAATAGAATACTTATATAGCAGTTCATTAACCCTATTCTTTAAGCTAAATTATTTTTAAAAATTTAAAACCATTATTTATATGCTTTGTTTCTGAAACAAACCTCTCTGTGGATTTCATTTCTTCCCCAGGTATTTCATAACTAGGTGATGCTGTATTCTAAATATTTTATTTTCTAAGTTTTTTAAAGTAAATATTAATTACTGAATATTCATAGGTTTCTAATTCAGCACTATTTCAAAAAGTCTGTTTTGTGCCTATAGCTAGGTAGCTGTGGATAGGGTGCTGGATTTGAATTCAGCAACACCTGAATTCAAATCCTACCTCAGATGGTTACAAGCTGTGTGACCCTGGGCAAGTCCATAACCATTCTGAACCTCAATTTCTTCATCTATGAGGGAACTGGATTTGTTAGCCTCTAAGGTCTCTGTCAAAATCTACAAAGCTTCTGATTCCAGTATTCCTTCATTTTTTACCTCTAAGGTCTCTCTTAGCTCTAAACCTATGCTCCTATGGTCCACTTTCCACCATTCACATCTTTCTTTCAAGTTTTCTCTTTTTCTTCTCTTCTAATCAGTCTCCACAAGTTAAAGGATTGAAAAAAAAAGCAAGTTGAAATGAATAGAAAAGCTATTAACCAGCTTTTTAAAGTATTTTCCTTGCTTTCCACAAAAAGCTAAGTGCCTTGTTCTATGTGCGCTCTCTTCCTTATTGCTCTGTTCTTCGTTGTATCCATTATTGATAATAACATCTAAAATGGCATTCCTACCATAGATGAAGATAGCCTGCGAAGTCATACTGCCTCCACTAAACTGCTGCCTCAGGGTCTCCAATACTATCAGACATTCTAATTTGGGCACTCTCTCCTATCTCCTGCTATCTGTACTTGGAAGAATGGGTACCGTATGTATTAGGGGTTGGAAAAGGGTGCGTAAGGGCTGAGGTGCACAGAACGTACCCTTCCCCACTTCTAACCTACTCTTGCAACCTGGCACAAGTTCAAATACTGCTGATGCAATGTCTATTTCTTCTAAAGGGAATTTGCTTTCTCTAACATTTAGTTCCCAAATACATCATACAGTGGAATGTGCCATGTGAGTCCTTCTTAGTATGAACTGCTTATGGTGATGGCATGATTAGTAATAATAGCTTTGGGAGATTTAAAATAATTTTATAATCCAAAGCATTAAAATGTTCTTTTGAACCTCATTGTATCAATGCCAGTTTTATTGGCATTTCCTCATTCTTTGCATGATTCAGTGCCTTCTTTGTGAATTTTAATAAGAATAATAGACGAGTCAGCACTAGTTTTAAAAAATACTGGACTTTACTGTTTCACTTATGAATATGTCACCTGGTGTTACATATTGCTGGGAGTCCATTCTGTAGTTTTTTTGGATACCATTCCGTCATCCACCCTCCAACTAACCCGTATTTCCCCACTCTCCTAAGGTTTTAGGAGGCCTTATTTTGTAGTCCCTGGGTTATTGGCTCTGTCATCACATTCCCTCCTGTCCCACAAGCTGTGACCTACCAAAGAGGTAGGTCTTGTAGGAAAATATAGTTGAAGACTGTTTCCCAGTCAAAAAGTATCCCAGAAAAAAGGTAGCTTCTTACATTCTAGTTCTCTGAAGCATGTTCTGGAGTCCTGTAGGTACTACAAAGAATAGCAGAATCTTGCTCTTCTGGAGCTCTATTTTGGAATCTTTCCCAGAGTAGCATTCAGAATATTCCTCCATAGGTCTAAGCATAGAATTATATCATTTTAGATCAGGAAGATCTAAGTAGTAGAAATCATCTACTTCAATTCCCTTTGTTTTACAAGTGGAATGGGCCCAGAGTCACAGAGCTAATTAGTGACAGAAATAGGAATAGTATATAGGACTATTGATGTCCAGTTCTACACTCTTGCAAACATGCTAAAGATATTACTTTCCATCTTCATCTCTACTTCCTGGCTTCCTTCTGTCTCTGCTAAAATCCCTTGTTCTACAGAATGTCTTTTCTAATTCTAATGCTTTCCAATTCTTGATTATTTCCAGTTTCTCCTATATATATCTTGTTTCTTCATAGTTGTCCGTATGTTGTCTCTCCCATTAAACTATAGCTTCTTGAAAGCTTCTGCCTTTCTTCATATTCCAAGCTCTTAAGACAGTGCCTAGTACATAGTAGGCACTAAATAAATACATTTTTGTTGACTAATTGATTAATTCTAGGATGACAGCTCCAAAGTAGAGATGAGAATTGAAAGGGAAGATATCTACACAAAACTTTCTTTACATTGTCAAATCAGATTAGCTAGCTTGCTGAGGTTTTTTTTAAACTTACCTTCTTGTAATCATTAGTGCACATATCTTAGAGTACTAAGAAAAATCATTAAAGAAAACCAATAAAATTTATTTGAACATTACTCATTTTTATGTACTTTCAAAAATACCTGGCAAGAACCTATTTTAACTTACATATTTAAAATTCATTTTGTTTTTAATTTATGAAATAAAACAAGCATTTCTATAAGATAGTAGAATTTTTTAAAAAGATGATTGCACCTGAAACTGCAAATCTAGCATGTACAACTTGCTATTCCTTTTAAATATGAAATAAGTGTAATTTTTTTTACTAACCATTTAGATACTAACACACCATTTGTCTGTCCTTTTTTATGAATAGAGTCTACAGGATGATCTAGAAAAACAGGAGAGCAGCTTGCAGAAATTTGGCTCTATAACCAACCAGCTGTTAAAAGAGTGTCATCCACCAGTGACAGAAACACTTACCAATACCTTGAAAGAAGTAAATATGAGGTATGGCATAGGCTAATTCTAGTGTTGCCTTCTTAAAATATCTCATTCTCAATGCTACCAACTATATATTTGAAAATCTTTCGAATTTTAGTCTTAAGTTTAGTAAGGTTTTGTCCCAGTATAGTCATCCACTCTCTTTTGAAGTTTAAAAATGATGTGTTTTGTAAGAGGAAACTGCATTGATTGATTTGGAACTACTACCTACATAAATGGAACTGTTACTGATTCAAAATATTTTCATCCCTAATCCTCTACCTTCAAAATAAAGTTATAGGCCACTGTCGAAATACGATATCTTTTCATATTTAGAAAAGGATGGTTGTGCACTATTTCCATTTGCACAATATAAAATTTTATTTTGCATCATAATTAATAAGCCATTCAACAGACATTAAGTACCTATTATGTTCTGGGCACCAGGGCTACAAGGACAAGAAGAAAACAAACCCTGCCATCAAAGAACCTACATGTTAACCTACCTGTATGTGTGTTTCCTATCATTTCCAGGTGGAATAATTTGCTAGAAGAAATTGCTGAGCAGTTACACTCCAGTAAGGCCTTGTTTCAGCTGTGGCAAAGATACAAAGATTATTCTAAACAGTGTGCTTCAACAATTCAGCAGCAGGAGGATCGAACCAATGAGTTGCTGAAGGCAGCAAATAATAAGGATATTGTTGATGATGAAGTTGCAACCTGGATTCAAGATTGCAACGTACGTTTCGCAAACATTGTGTTTCTCCACTTTTCCTTTCATCAGAATCCAAGCTTGCTTAACTTCCAAAGTTTTACCTAATGTTACCTCAGAATATAAAATAGTTATTTCTTTATGAAGGTGAATGTACCAAAGAAGTGCCACGTTTCTGAGACAGGACAGTGTATGAATGAGATATGACTTTGCCTTAGGAAAGGAAGTATGTCTCTACCTTCACATGCTTAACTGCTTTAAAACCTAAGCTGATTTTCATTAAAAGGTCTGAAAGATTCTCTGTTTTCCTTCCCTCATGGCTTGTCCTTGCTATGTAAGGACTTTATAATCTTTTTTTTTAACTCAAGAAAGATGTTTAATGTTTAAAACTGAGCATCATTTCAGTTTGTTTCTGTAATGCTCATGTCACAGTTAAAGTAAGCTATTTAATTTAATCCCACATGTAATCTCTACTGATAAGGCAAATAAACCTGATTCTCCCTTCCCCATTAAATATATAGATATAGATGTATTAGAATCAATGGTGCAAGTCTTAATCCACAGATAGATGGGAACTCACAGCATAACCTAGTCCAACAATTCTTAACCTTTTTTTTTTATGTTGTAGACCCAATTGTCTATCTGGTGAAGCCAATGGACCTCTCTGCAGAAAAATGTATAAAATAAAATATACAGCATTACATTTTTAAATGTATAAAATATATATTTTAAATGCATAAAATAAAATATACAACATTACAAAGGAAATCAATTATAATGAATTACAATGATATATATGTATGTGTACACACATTTATTTATTTGTTTGTTTGTTTGTTTACTTATTTGTTTGTTTGTTTATGGCAATTGGGGTTAAGTGACTTGTCCAGGGTCACACACAGCGTGTAAATGTCTGAGGCCAGATTTGACCACAGGTCCTCCTAATTCCAAGTCTGGTCCTCTATCTGCTGTACCACCTAGTTGCCCTCACACATATATATTTTAAAGTGGATGGGCCCCATGTTAAGAACCCTTGCCCTTGAGAATAAATAAAAAGAAAACATATTCTATTCCTTGAGAAATATTTATATACATTATATACATCACTGCTGTACTGTAGTATACCTGGATATTAGTGAGGAGATTTAGATTGGCTGAATAAGTACACATTTATATAAACTTACTTGCACCAGAAAAGTGAACTCACTGCCTATATGATGATAATAAGAAGGAAGGTGAAGAGATTCACATGAAGAGTTGTTTCATGGTAGACATTTTCACTTTTCCCACTTCTTTAGGACCTTCTCAAAGGCCAGAAGACTGTTCAGGATTCACTGTTTGTGCTCCAAGAGCTGGGAGAGCAACTCAAGCAGCAAGTAGATACTTCCGCAGCAGCAGCCATTCAGTCTGACCAGCTGTCTCTGAGTCAACACTTGTCTGCCCTGGAACAGGCTCTTAGCAGACAGCAGAAACTACTGCAGGTAAAAAGAAAGAGAGAGAGAGAGAGAGAGAGAGAGAGAGAGAGAGAGAGAGAGAGAGAGAGAGAGAGAGAGAGAGAGAGAGAGAGAGAGAGAGACTTTTCAATGCATGTGAGAACCTAATCTTTTATTTGTCTTTGACCTTAAATATGGAAATATTCATAAATAGCAAACTGATTTATCATCTAGACAATGCTAAATCCTCCTCAGCTCTCCCCCAAATAAATAATAAATGATGTCCAAATCTTTAAAAGAGCAATTTTTAAAATATATAGAAATCTGGTTTTGTTAATTGTAGTTTACATTCCTTCCTACTGCATCAATTAGTCAAGCAAGCAAGTATTTATGAAGCACTTATACTATATGGTACTGGGGATACAGGACAAAAATGAAATAATCCCTGCCTTCAAGGAGCATAGATTCTAACAGGTGATTCACAACACACACATATAGATATATACAAATGTATATATGTGAGGTAACCTTAGAGAAGAAGGCACTATTATTTGGGTGGGTAAGGGAAGAGTTGGAGAGTGGAAAGGTCCATCATATAGGGAGTGGCACATGAGCTTAATCTGGAAGAAAGACAGAGGCAGTAGTGCGGATGGAGAGAATTCATTCCACATAGAGGAAAGAGCCAGTGCAAAGGGACAAAAGCAGAAGATGAAATATTGTAAATAAGGAACATCAAATAATCCAATATGACTGGACCATGTATTGAAGCGAATAATGTGTAAGAAGGCTGAAAGTAACATGGGGCCAGTCTGTGAAAAGCTTTAAATACTAAACAGAGGTGCTTATGTATGAGCCTATTAATAATATGGAACTACTGGAGCTGGTTGTGGGGAGATGAGAGATCACAGAGTCTGACTCACACTTTAGAAAAATCACTTTGGTGCCTATAGAGGTTGTGGAGAGGGATTGATGAGAGGGGAGACCTGAGTCAGAGAGACCAATGAGGAAGCTAAGGAAATACCCCAAGTGTGAATGGAGAGGAGACAGGTGAGAGAAGTAGAGACAGAAATGACAAGATTGGCAATTGACTGGATATGTTAGAAGAGTGAGAGTGAAATGTTGAGAATGATATAGAAGCTGGGAACCTGGTGACTGGAAACATGGTAATATCCTAAAAAATTTGGACATTTGGAAATTGTGTAAAGCTAATGCTAGATAAAAGTAATCCTGTATTTTAGAATAAGTAGTTAAGAGAAGGCATACTCAACTTGAAAAATTACTATAGCAGAAATTTTAAGAAAAGCTTTTGTAAAATGGGAAAGTGAAACCAAAAACAGAGCAGTTGCCTAAGCAAATTAATAAGTAATAATAATACATCTAAATATACTTTTTTATAAAATTCTAATTTTTTTTTTGCAAAAGGCTGGCGTTCTCGACTATGAAACATTTTCTAAGAGTTTAGAAGGACTGGAAGGCTGGATTTTAGAAGCTGAAGAAGTGCTAAGAGGACAGGACCCCAATCATTCATCTGACCTCTCAACAATTCAGGACAGGATGGAAGAACTGAAAGTGAGTATTAGAAAAGTCTTCCCTATTTTTCTATATCACAAGACAGCAGATTATATTATGATGAACAAATGAATAAGAAAGCATTTATTCCGTATACTATGTGCTAAGCATTAGGATATAAATAAAAAAGTAAGACAGTCCCCGCTCTTAAGAAGCTGGTACTGTAATTACAAGTGAGAACACAAACAAGAGAATTCAGCTACTGGACACATACAACAGAACTGAGTGCCTCAGTGGGATGGATGGAAAGGCCCAGGGGTCCTTATGATACATGAAAAAGTCAGATGTAAGTGAACGAGTGTCTGGAGAATGAAGAAATAGGGCAAATGATAAGGCCCAAAGGACTGAGGATGTAGGGGCAGGACAAATAGTGGGTCTTACACAAACACCATCTTACCATAAGAATTCTGATCCTTCAAGTGGTATCAGCTGGTTGAGTCCTCCAGCAGAGTTGAGGGGAGAGGGTGGGTCTGAAGACAATAATCGTCAATAAACATTTATTAAACACCTACTACTATATTTCAAGCTCTGTGCTAGAAAAAGAAAGACAATCCCTGCCCACAAGAGACTTAAAATCTAAAGGAATAAGACAACATACAAAAGAAAACTGAAAAGGAAGGGAAAAGAGAACGTGGCCCAAGGGCATGATGGAGAAGCCAAAGAAGTACAAAAGCCAGTGCTATCAGAGAAGTAAAAGAAACCCAAAATGAGTACAACCAAGGAAATAAGGAGATACCTGAGATATTCAGCCCTGCGTTGTTGTTATTGTTGTTCAGTCATTTTTTTTCCAGTCATGTCCAATGCTTTGTGACCCCATTTTGGGTTTTCTTGGCAAAGATACTAGAATAATTTTCAATTTCCTTCTCCAGCTCATTTTGTAGATGAGGAAACTGAGTAAAACAGGGTTAAGTGGCTTGCTCAGGATCATACAGCTAGTTAGTGTCTGAGGCAGGATTTTAACTCAAAAAGATGAGTCTTCTTGACTCCAGGCCCAGGACACTATCCACTGTGCCACATAGCTTCCCTGTCAGACCTGTCTCCCTCTGTAATTGGAGGTATTTAGGGTTTCACCCTCTAATCAGAGAGACAGAGGGTATTGAGGTATTAGTAACAAGGCTGATTGGATCTTACAAGATGATGGAATTTCCCAATGATGAGGATCTGGAGAGATCTCTGCTCTTATCATCAAGAAGGAATCACCTTCCCTTGCCTTCACCTCCCACCCAAGTAGATCCTAGATCAGGGGTAGGGAGCCTGTGGCCTCAAGGCCACAGATTCCCCAATCCTATCCTAGATACTTCTTCCATCTGGTATCTATGCTCTTAAGCAGCTTCATAAATGGAAAAAATATATCACTTCAACATGAAAATAAATAATTTATTTTAATAGCAGGTGTCTTGTTATATTCACCTGATTCATTTTGTTCAGTGGTTTTCAGTCATGTCTGACTCTTCTTGACCCCACTTGAAGTTTTCTTGATGAAGATATTGGAGTGTCTCGCCATTTCCTTTTCCAGCCCTTTTTACATATGAGGAAACTGAGGCAAACGGGTTAAGTGACCTGCCCAGGGTCACACAACTAATAAGTATCTGAGGCTAGAATTGAACTCAGGAAGATGTGATCTATGATATTAAGGTGCAAAAAAGGAATGATGAAGAGATTATACCAAGGAGGAAGATGTGCTTAAAGGAGAGAAAAGAGTTGGCAGTGTCTAGATAATTCCTCTATTACTTTACTTTGTCCTTGATGGAGCAGACAGTAGTCTAAAATCAAACCTCTCTAAGAAGGTGTTGGTTTATTCATTCTGCAGAATCATAAGGACCAAGCTCAATCACAGTGGATATGCCTTCCTCTCTTTGTTGCAGAGATAGGAAATTATGGATATGGAATATTAAATAAACTATCTGATGAAATCAGTGTGTTGGTTGGTTTTGCTGAGCCATTTCTATTTCCCTTTTTATTCTGTATGACAAAAGAAGACTTACTAGGGTGGGGAGGAGGAAATTACATGTTTTCATAAATGAATGTAATATAAATGCAAAAAGAGAAATATTTTGAATAATTTAAATATTTTTAAAATTCTGTAAAATAATAGAATAAAATGTAAGTTCCCTAATAAACCTGGTTATTTTTAAAGAGCTTTTTAATGAACCTCTTTCCTTTACTTAAAAAATTGGGGGCCTGTGAGTGGAAAATGTTGCATATACTGTCTGACTTCACTGTGTTAGTTGTTTTGTCTTAACTAAATTTCTTTGTTTCAAGGGGAATTTCACTGTGGATGGAAAAGTAGATCCAAAAATTACTGTAAAAACAAATGGTATCAAACCAAAAAAATCAAACATTTTAATTATTTCCCCCCTACTGTGCATAACTTGGATGGTTAATAGATAAAAATGTCCTAATGATGGAAGGGTGCACGCAAACTGTCTAAACTTGGGTAGGAAGAAGCACATAACCTGCTTTGTTCTACTTTTCCATTATGGAGGATGTAAAGGGAAGAGGAAGATAGAAATCTGCTGTCCATTAATTCCTTCCTTTTTTCCTTCCTTTCTTGTTTCTTTACTTTATTCCTTCTTTTTATTCTTTCCGTTCTTCCTTCCTAACTTTCTTTTTTAAATGTTAGAGATTAGTTTGAGGCACAGAGAGATTAAGTGACTTCCCGTGGTCAGACAGCCTCCTGTCATAGGCAAGACTTGAATTCAGGTCTCCCTTCCTCCAAGGTTAGCCCCCCTATCTGCTACAACTAATTGCCTCTCTTATGTGTATTAACAGATAGAGTTAATTCAGCTTTTCTAATTTTAAAGGGAAGGGAAGCCTGCAGTGTTCTTTCTCTTTTAATATTTGAAGTTCCTTTTGAGGGATATAGGGAAAACCAACACAAAAATGTTGAAAAGGTTAGTGAAGAATGAACTGAAAGGTTATTGAGGAAATAAGGTTGAAATGGTACAAAATTCTAATGTCAGATTTTTCCATCGTATAAATCTCTGTACATCAGCCATCCCAGTCAAGGCCAATGTGGAGAAAGAGCAAAACTTCAAAAAATAAAACAGCTTCATCTTTCTTCTAGCTGTTCGGGGAAGAAAGGAGTAATAAAACTTCAATTAAAAAAAAACTTTAAAGTGTCATTTATACTGCTAGTCACTGGAGCTATTTCTTATCTAACTGAACTATGGTGGAATAATGATGTCAAGATTGCCATGTATAAATTGTCTGAACATGTAAAAACAATTTTTAATCATTAGTGTCATTTTCATCCTTATCCTGGCACTTATGAAAGCCATTTTTTGCAAATCACCAAGTCAATATATCTTTAGTGTCTTATCTTTTCCCCTATTTTCCTGAAATGCTGTTATCGTGTGGTCTAAAATTTGTCAAAAGAATTTCACAGGTAAGGAATAAGAGGGATTCACAAATCTAGGTAATAAGGACCTAACTGGACACTTAGGCTGTTAGTAGTACTTCAGCTTCACTGTGCATGGTGAAAAGTGGAGTCTTTGCTGTTTCATTTCAGGGACAGATGTTAAAATTCAGCAGCATGGCTCCAGATTTGGATCGTCTAAATGAATTGGGATATAGATTACCACTAAATGATAAGGAAATCAAAAGGATGCAGAATCTGAATAGACACTGGTCTTTAATCTCCTCTCAGACCACGGAAAGATTCAGGTACAAAAGCTCAGAAATTTGAAATCAAGTAAAGTTACTTTTATGGCTTTTTAAAGCTCTGTGGATTTATAAAATATAACTGCCATAATTTGGGGGGAAATTGGGAAATTAGAATTGAGTAAAACACAAGTTCGTTTTTACATGATTTAAGTATTAAATATTGCTTTCCTTTAAAATTAAAATTATTTTAAAATGGTGAATTGAAACTTTTAGTGCATTTTCATTTATTTTCCTAAATATATACAAATTGATGATTTAGACTACAAATATTATTGTAGTATAAAATGTATCTGTGTGGCAGTACAAAAATGATGAGAGTTGTACTATTGGTAATGCTGGGGAAAATTTGGTGATTATTTCAATAAGATAAAGTTATTTTCTGATCTTAACTTTTTTATTCTTTTTATTTCTTACTTCTTATTCTTTCAGTAAGTTACAATCGTTCCTTTTGCAACATCAAACCTTCTTGGAAAAATGTGAGACATGGATGGAATTCCTGGTTCAGACGGAACAGAAGTTGGCTGTAGAGATTTCAGGCAATTATCAACGTCTTTTAGAGCAGCAGAGGGCACATGAGGTAGGTATTAGAATTTTGGAGAATATCAATTCTGAGCTGTTTAAAAAGTGTTTTATAAATCTACTATAACAGAAGGGGTATTTCACTTGAGGAAGAACAGCATTTTAAAATATAATAATATTTTATGTAATATATAATATGTTATATATTATAATATATGATATATTATAATATATTATAATAATATAATAATAATATCATATTCATGCCTACATCAACCATATTTTTATTAGTAAAATATCTATCAGGTCCTGCCTCCTCAGCTGGCTGTACACATATGATAAAATATATAATTTTATATTTTAGTATTTCAGAGCCAACCCTATGACTTTCATGTGTATACTCTGACTGATACAAATTACAGTCCTACGTAAGCAAGTCTATGATTTGGACTTACTACTACTACTACTATTACTGTTACTACTACTGCTACTACTACTGCTACTACTACTACTACTGCCACTACTACTACTACTACTACTACTACTACTACTGCTACTACCGACAACAACAATAACATCAATGACTATTATTAACAAGTCCTTCATCTTCTGTCAATAAATCTCTCCAAACATAACTAATCTAACTTTCAAAAGATAGTATACCACCAGATCTATACATGGACCTTCCCTATTGGCCAGAAATGCCAGAGCTTAGATCCAATAGATATAGCCTTCTAAAAATCAAGATGGGATAGAATTTTAGTGGAGGATAATAGATAATAACAGTGGGAATCGTACATATGTAAGAATTCCTATACCTTTTCTTATACCTGAGGTAACTGGTGGCACAGTGAATAAAGCTCTGGGCCTGGACTCAGGAATATTTGAGTTCAAACTGATCCTGGGCTAGTTACTTAAGCTCTGTTTGTCTCAGTTTCTTCAATTATAAAATGAGGATAATAACAGCATCTGCTTTTGTAGGGGATTGTGAGGATCAAATGAGGTAATACTTGTAAAAAGCACTTAGCATGGTGTCTGGCATATACTAGGTGCCACATAAATGCTTATTCTTTTCCTTTTCCCTTATCCATAGCCAATTTATGAGTTGTTTCTTCTCTATACTTTAATAAAGCTAATAAAACAAATAGAATATTAGAGGTAGAAGCAATATTAGAGATAATTATTAGCCCCTTTATTTTACAGTTGAAAAAACTAAGGCCCAAAAAAGGTAAAAAGTTCTCTTAATTGTAGACTGTTAAGGAGTGTGTTTTGTGTGTGTGTGTGTGTGTGTGTGTGTGTGTGTGTGTGTGAGAGAGAGAGAGAGAGAGAGAGAGAGAGAGAGACATACACACAGAGAGAGAAACTATTATTCCTTAAAGATGTGTGTATACACATACATATTACTTATTATCATATCATTATCTTCTATTCTTTGGTAGAAAGATTTGAAAATCTAATCTATTCTTTTATATGAATCTTAGATAGATACAAAAACTAGAGAAAATGTTACAATTTTGCTTGGTATTAAAAGAAAGAGCATTTTTTTCAGACTTATAATAATTAATCATTTCAAACAAAAACTTCCGTCTTTCAATTACGTGTATCTATAGTGATTTATTTAAAATAGATTTAATTTTTACCCAACCTCAGGATTATAATTTTTTCAGTCAGAAATAATTCTTATGACTTTCCTTATTTAAAAATTTGGCACTACCACATTTATATATTATCATTTATATTCTAGTATATTTTATCAATTATTATATGAATTAAAACAAAATATGTTCTTGTCTTAGAAGACAGCAGTAAAAGTAAAGTTGAATATCTGGAAAATTAGGATAGAATTGAGTTATCTATTACTAATTATCAAATTGGAGGATTCTAAAGCATATTATTGCCATCATTCTCATTTTCATATATTTATTTTTGTGACAGTTGTTTCAAGCAGAGATGTTCAGTCGTCAACAGATTTTGCATTCAATCATTATTGATGGGCAGCGCCTGCTAGAACAAGGTCAAGTGGATGACAGGTAGGATTTTGAATACTTGTGAGGAAAGTTGCCAATGAATTAAGTCTTCAGTAGTGAGTAGCCAATATACATAAGATGTTATACTTTTCTGCTAGGTCTTCCTGCCTTCACTCTCTTCCCCATCATTCTGAAGTTTATGCTACTGCCAGAATAATTTTTCTTATACATAGAAAGTGTCCCTCACCTACTCAAAAATATCCAATGGCTCCCTATTTCATCCGGAATCAGATGCTATTTGACCTTTCCAGCTTTATCTTATATTACCATCTTCTACCCACACCAGCTTCTGCTCACTGAATGCATCATTTATTTGCCTAATGTCATGCCTTAGCTGTTCTCTGTGCCTGGACCTGCCTTCTGATTCATCCCCACCCCATTCCCAACCTTATTTCCCTTCACTTAACCTGTTGAATGCCTATCTAGAGAGATAGTCCTATATAGTGAAAGACAAGGGTTCAACATGATTCTTGTTCTGTCATTTACTACCTGTATGATATTGGTGAAGTTGTTCAAACTCTTTGGACCTCAGTTTCCTTATCTGTACAATGAGAAATTGATAGCTAGCTTTCCTTCCAGCTTCCAATCTGTGATCCTCTCTACAAGGCCTTCTGTACCCATTAGCAGTGGGATCTATCCCAAGGCTGATGTACTTCTAGCCTGGCTACACCCAGAAAATAAACAAACAAAATTCTATGCTCCTGTAATCTATCATTTAAAGTTTTATATAAATGCTACCACTTTCATGAAATCTTTCCTGATATCTAAAGACCTTTCCAACTATGGCTTTAAATCAGTCCATAAGCATGTATTAAGTGCCCCCATGTGCCAGAAAGTATGCTAGACAGTGGTCATGCAAAGACAAAAGAGAGAAAGTCTGGCTATGAAGGAATTTCTATTTAACACATAGCTTTTTTGTCTTACACCTCTAATCTACTCACTATGATTGGCACCAGTATCCTCACAGTGGATAGAGCACTGGGACTGGAATCAGGAAGACTTGAATTTAGATCTGGCCTCAGATATTTAGTAGCTGTGTGACCCTGGGCAAGTCACTTAACCTCCATCTGCTCAGTTTTCTCAGCTATAAAATGAGGATACTAGTACCATTTGCCTCTCAGGGTTGTTGTGAAGCTCAAATGAGATGATATTTGTAAAGTACTTAGCACAATCCCTGACACATAGGCATTTAATAAATATTTCCTCCTTTCCTCCCTCACTTCCTTCTCTCCTTTCCCTCTTTTTTTCTTCTTTCTCTCCCTCTCCTTTACCTTACTTCCTTTCTTCCTTGCTTTCTCCCTTCCTTCCATCCTTCCTTTCTTTCTTTCTCCCTTCTTTTGTCCTTCCCTCTTTTCCCTTCCTTTCTTTCTCCCTTTCTTCTTCCCTCCCTTCTCTTTTCCTTCCCTCATTCCTTCCTTCTTTTCTTCCTCCCTCCCTCCTTTACCTTCCTTCTTTCCTTTCATAAATTATTAGCCTCAAAATTATTATTTATTCTTCCCTCCTTCCCTCCATATATTTCAGCAGCAGCAGGTGTTTTTTTTCAGTTATACCTCCTTTTCCTGCATGCATTCTCCTGTCTTGGAACCTCATTGCTTCTTTCATGAACTATTATTACAATAGCCTTCTAAATGGTCTCCCTGTTTTCAGTCTGTCCCCCTTTGCAGTCTATACCCTACACAACTTCCAAGATAATCTTCCTAAAGGACATACTCACTGTACTCTGAACCCAATATTCTATCGCTCTCCTCTACACCTTAACACAGGCTGTCCCTCAGACCTTCAATGGACTCTCTCTTAGAATATTTCTTTCCTTTTAGAGTCTTTTGCTTCTTTCTGCTCATGTACTGCACACTGTGAGAAGCCTTTACTGCTCCCACACAGTTATGCTTTCTCCTCAAAATAACTTTTCTTTAACTATTGGCTGAATGCAACCATCCAGTAGAACGTAAGCTCCTTGAGAGTAAGAACTGTTTTTTGTTTTGTATTCTCTAGCATCCAGCACACTGGCTTATTAGTTAATAAACTGATTAGTGAATTCAACTGCAGTAAAGCCTTATTTATTCAAACTAATTGGAAGACATTTATTAATTATTGAAATGCCCAAATTATAAAACATGACATTTTGTTACTTCATGTGTTCCAAATGTTTAAAATTTGTTGTTGTTAGTCATTTTTAGTTGTGTCCAACTCTTTGTGACCCCATTTTGGGTTTTCTTACCAAAGATACTGGAGTGGTTTGCTATTTTTTCTCCAGATCATTTTACAGATGAGGAAACTGAGGCAAACAGGGTTAAGTGACTTGCCCAAAGGTCCCACAGCTATATAGAAGACCCTGCATAAATCGGTAAAGCAAATGTGATTTCACAGGTCAATGTTTGTACTTCTGAGAAGAATAATGTCTGTGACTGAGGCTGAATATGAATTCAGGTCTTCCTGACTCCAGGCCCAGCATTCTATCCATTGAAAATAGGTCAGCAAATTACAACTTTATTTAATGAACAGATAGGATGATTTGTAAATAGCATTATAAGTGCTATTTAATAGATGTTTCTGAAATGCTTTACATTATTCTCCTAAATATAAACATTAACCTTTGAAATCGTTTGCTTTATTGATTTATATGGTAAGTGTCTTCTCTATAGAAAACATAAAGGTAAATTTGTATTTGTCCAAATAAGCAAAAGATGAATTTGTCCAGTTTTACTCTTGTCTATATTTTCCTAATAGTATTATTTATTAGAATGTCATTAAAATTACACATAAGATCATAGGATCATGGAACAGATGAAAATGACCTTAGGGACTTTAGGGGCAATAGTTAGATGCTTTTTGTTTTCGTATAGACCTATTGCTTTTGTTGACATACATGTGTCTATTTTCCTATTGTGGGAATTATTATAACTGTTAATAATAACTAAACATTTTACATGAAATATTTTGACAATAATGATAAGTTTTCATGCAGTTTCTATGTTTGGGGAAAATAATTTAATGCAACAGAATTGAGATAATAATAATTAAGCAAAATAGAAACACAATAACATTTAATGAGTTTTTTAAAGCTATCTTGAAAGCTGGTAGTTGAGGGAGAAATTTGTTATTGTTGTTCATTTGTTTTCTTGGCAAAGATATTAGAGTGGTTTGCCATTTCCTTCTCCAGATCATTTTTTACAGCTGAGAAAACTGAAGCAAATAAGGTTAAATGATTTTGCCAGGGTCACAAAGGTGGTAAGTGTCTGAGGCCACATTTGAACTCAGGTCTTCCTGACTCTAGGTCCAGTGCTTTATCAGTTGTGCGACCTAGCTTCCCTGAGGGAGTATTTAGATTTAAGTAAAGAAGAATAGGGAGGTAGATGGAGATGTTTTTGAAGATTCTGTGGGTGAGTTTTAGTAGGGTTATGTTACCAGGTCTACTCTCATACTAACTATTGGTGATTAAGCCATTTTTAATGTTTTAAAATATAATGAAAAGGAGAGAAAAAACAAATGATAATTTTGGACATGCTTTGGAGGAGAAATGGGAAGGAAATTAAGTTTTAAAATATTTGTTCAGATATCAAAAGATAGAAATGTATTTAACGGATTATGAACTTTAGAATAAAGAGGAAAACTGAAGACCTTGACACATATTAATACCATGCCTGATTAAAATTAGAGGAGGAATGTAGTGGTAATAAGTAACATTTATGTAGTTAAAACTTACAAAGGTCTTAAATATATTATGTCATCTGATCTTTACAACATACACGTGAAGTAGATGTTATTGTTGTCCTCATTTTACAAATGAGGAAGCTGAGTCTGAGTGATTAAATGACTTACCCAGGGCCACACAGCTAGGAAGAAGTACTATCTGATTGTCCCTTCAAACCTTACAAGAAAATTGTACCTTGAGCCTTGTAACCCAGAAAGTTATTCTACAGTTTTTTTCATCACATGTGAATGATGATATTTTGGTATACAGGCAGTAGTATTCCCTTTCTTTAAAAAATGTCCTAGAATAATTATTATTAAATATTAATTTAGAAGATACATCAGAAGTTATCAAGTATAAATGCCCTCCATAATGATCAGTGGATCACTGTAAATATAGGAGGATGTAAGAAGGTTGTTTTCCTGGGCTTAATTCTACATCCAGTGTTTTGTGTACTCTTTCTGTCTCTCTTTCTCTGTCTCTCTCCCTTCTCTCACCCTTCTCTCTCTCTCTCTCTCTCTCTCTCTCTCTCTCTCTCTCTCCTCCTCCTCTCTTCTCTCTCTCTCTCTCTCTCATCTCTCTTTCTCTCCCTTCTCTTTCTCTCTTTTCTTTTTCTCTCCCTCCCTTCCTAAAGACACTGTTATCAAGAACTTATTAATGTAGAATAAAGTTGTCTCATTAATCTAACTGGCTGTGAAAATACTTTAGAAGCAGAAATCAGAGGGAATTTGGTAAATGGGGAAAATATCCTGAATCCAAAAAAAAAATCAAGCTCAATGCCACAAAGTTCAGGATAGTTTCTGGAAAGGATAATTCTTAAATAACATATAATTAAATTTTATATAATTATAAAATAACAATGTCCAGATATTCAAGGTAGATAAAATAATGCCACAGCAGTGTTTAAAAAAGGCAAAATTAGAGCAGAAGGAAATAAAGGTAAGGATATATAAATTAGAGTTAGACATTTAAAGAAACTCATTTTACTAGTTACAATGTAATACTGTAGCCCCACAAATTGAGTGTTCTAGAAAACTTCAAAAGTTTCATTGGGAGATTAGTTAGGAAGAGTTATAAGAATTAAGGTTCTTATGCTCAAAGAAGAGAAAACTGAAGGAAAACAACGATGTCTTCGGGAGTATTGGGGGTTCTTATGCAAATATTTTTTTTCCCATTTTCACTGAGATAATATGAAATGGATGTGATATGTAGAATGGGAGATTTCAGTTAGGTATGGGAAAGAGTGGGCTGAGAATTTGGGTTGTCAGACATTGAGATAGATGACTAAAACAGATTATAGAGTGCTATTCTCTGATTTTTTTATTAATAATTTCATTCATTTGAAATGGTTTAAGAATGACCCTGCCTGATATCAAGAGATGGACTAGATGCCCACTCAAGATCTCTTTTAGATTCATCCAGACTGCAAATTTTATCTTATTAGGGAAGTATATATGTATTGGCCGTGGTCTTTCACAGTATGGCTACTCTATCAACAGGGATGAATTCAACCTGAAGCTGACACTTCTTAGTAACCAGTGGCAGGGAGTCATTCGCAGGGCTCAGCAGAGAAGAGGGATCATTGATAGTCAGATTCGACAGTGGCAACGCTACCGGGAGATGTCAGAGAAGCTTCGTAAATGGTTGGTTGAAGTGTCCTATCAACCTGTGAGTGGACTGGGAAGTGTCCCTATGTCATTACAGCAAGCTAGGACACTGTTTGATGAAGTACAGGTAGGTGCAAAATGTTTTCTTCCTCTTTTACCCTTCTTAGTCTCCCTCTCCCTTCACCTTACTTTTCCATTATTTATTGCAGAGTGACTTTGGAATTAGGAAAGTTACAGTGCTCCATTGTCCAATATAGTAATGAAAACATAGAACATTTCTTAAATTTCTGCCAGTACTCAAGTTGTCCGGCTCTTTAGGCCTTCTCACATTCCCTCTACGATATCATCATTTGTATATGTCTAATGAGTCCTATCTGATTGTAAGACACTTGGGTGACAAAAATTATCTGCTTTCCAAATAATGGCTGAAATGAATTGAAATGGTTCCTTGATTGTGCAAAGCCTAGACTAATAATGATAATGATCAGATAAGATAGCAGCCTTTCCTATGGACTACTTTCAAGTGCCAAGGGATTCTGCTCAATTTAGAATGACATTACCGGATTATAAACACAAGGAAAGCTCGTGGTGACTATGTTTTCCATTTAAAATTGAAATATTTCATTTAAATATTACAGAAAAGGTAAAAGTGGTCATTGCTTTTGACATCTCTCAGCTTTCTTCCTATCCTGACTCTTGCTTTCACCTGATTAGGAAGGCACTTCCATTCACCATCAACAGCAAAAATATATTAAATACCTATTATACATAATGTCCTATATGAGATGCTGGGGAAAATACCAAGATAAATATGACATGGTACTTATACTTAAGGGTCTTATATAAGTAGCTTCATGCATGTTGGTCAGATTTCCATTCCACTAAAATCCAAAGTCCTACACAAAAGAAATAAGAATCTTCTTTCTTATGGTGAATTTAGAGCTCCTTTAAAGGAGAAAAAAAGTGAGACATTGAGAATCTTTTCTTTTCAGGTCAAAGAAAAAGTTCTCCTTAGGCAACAAGGGAGCTACATTGTGACTGTGGAGGCTGGGAAGCAGTTGCTGCTTTCTGCTGATAGTGGGGCAGAGGCAGCCCTACAGGCTGAACTCATGGAAATCCAGGAGAGATGGAAATCGGCTAGCATCTGCCTTGAAGAACAGAAGAAAAAACTTGACTTTCTGTTGAAAGTAAGTTCAGTTGCTCATCTAGAGAGGAGGAAAGAGCTTGACTTCTTAGTTTTTAAAGAGCCTTTGTAAATGTGTCAGTTTCCCCATTACTATTTGAATAAGATAACTGGAGAGAAAGCATAGCACTAGCGGACAGAGACCTAGTCTTGGAAACAGAAAAATGGGTTTCAAGTTTTGCCTCTGACTCCATACTGGCTGTGTGACCCTGAGCGACCACTTACACTCTTAGTAGCCCAGGCAGCTCTCTAAGATTCATTTTAAAGCGGGTACTGATGAACAATGGAAGTAGTTTCCTTAGTAGGAATTCTCTTTGCCAGTAAAATCACAGGTCAAATGCAAAATCTTCTCTGAAAAAAGAAAATCTGAAGCCAATTACATAGTGCCTCATAATATTTCCAGCATCTAGTCCCCATCTACTCTGTGTGTGTTTTATATGCACTTAGCATAGTGCCTGGCATGTAATAGGCACTTAATAAATGTTTCTTGATTGATTCATATGCATATAGATAGATGGTTATAGGTTATAAATAGATATTGTCTTCCCCTTTAGAATGTAAACTCTTTGAGGACAGGCATTATTTTTGTCTTTTTCTATGGAACTTGGTAAGCACTTAACAATTGCTTCTTGACAGATTGATTTAGGGCTTTAACATTGGCTATTCCCTATATCTGAAATCCTCTTCTTCCTCACCTCTACCTACTGGCTTCCCTGGCTTTCTCTGGAGTTCTGCTCAAATTCCACCTTCTTTGGGAGGACATCCCAGATTGCCTCTTCTTTTCAGTCTCTTCCCTTTGAGATCATCTTCACCTTCCACTTGTAGAGTGTGTGTGTATGTGTGTGTGTGTGTGTGTGTGTGTGTATGTGTGTATGATCTTGTGTGTGTGGATAGATAGATAATTTGCATGTTATCTCCTCCTTAGAATGTGAGCTTACTGAGGACCAGTTCAGTGTTAAGTCAAGGCAGCAAACATTTTATTAAGCACTTACTCTGTGCTAAGTACTAGGAATACAAAGAAAGACCCTTCCCACCCCCAAAAAAAGTTTCTTCTCTCAAGGAGCTCACTGTATAATAGGGAAGACAACATGCAAATAGATATGTAAAAATAAGATATACATATCTATAAACGCACATATATACACACATATTTGTGTGTGAGGGTATATGTATATGTATATGTGTGTGTGTGTGTATGAATGAATGAACGATAAATTTGAGATAATCTCCACCAGAAGGCACTAGAATTAAACAGGAATGGGAAAGGCTTCCTGCAGAAGGTGGAATTTTATGTGAGATCTGAAGGAAGTGAGGGAAGTCAGGAAGTATTAGGAGCAAGAGCATTCCAGGCAAGAGTACCAGCCAGTAAAAAAATTCATGACTTTGGCCAATGGAGTGTCCCTGGCAAGGAACGGCTAGTGTCGCTGTATTGATAGGTTAAATGCACAGAAGTAAGGTATAAGAAAACTGAAAAACAGAAATGAGCCAGTTTATGAAGGGCTTTAAAAGCCAAACAGAGGAATTTATATATAATGCTATAGTTAATAGGAAGCTACCGGAGTTTATTGAATAGTGGGGTGGCATGGTCAGACTTGTGCTTTAGGAAGATCAGTTTGACATCTGATCGACTGAAGTAAGGAGAGATTTAAAACAAGGAGATTAACCAATGCACTTGAGTGGTAAGAGCCTACACTGGGGTGGTGGCAAGGGCAGAGGGGAGAACAGGGCATAATATGCAGATTCCACTAAGGTAACTGTTTTTACTTTTCTTTGTAATCTCAAGTGTTTAGCACAGTGCCTGGTACATACTAAGTATTTAATAAATGTTTATTGACTGGCTGGCATGTCACCTACATTATGCATTAGTGAAATCTACTTTCCTAGAATAGAGCAATAAGGAAAGAAAGCTATGGATAGAAAAGACATGGATTTATCACTCTTCAAATGCTCATTCACTAATCAAAATGATTTAATTTTTTTTGCTTCTTATGCTTCTGAAATAAATCAGATAACAGATATTATAAAAAGGGCACTCCAATTTTATTTTTATTTGATTTTATATGATATTTTATGTGAGGTTATTTATAGATTATATTATATTACATATTATTACATTATATGTTATTTTATATGATATTAAGTAAAATTTTGTGGATGTATATTATTTACTATATTAATATTTAGAAAAATAAACTTTTAGATCAGTAAAATGTTGAGCACATGTATGTAGATATGTATGTATAGGTAAGAGATACATATATGTGATTATAGGATTATACTTATCAGTTATCCAGTGCTTAAATGGGAATTTTCTCTTTTTTCAAACATTAATTATTATTACATTTTCTAGAGCAGTTTTTACTTTGGCATACTACTTAGTTTGTGATCAGATGATTACGAAGAGCTTTAGAACCTATTAATAAGCCAAAATATTTTGATGACATTACCTACCCCATTTGTTCTCCTTGTACTCTTCTACTATTTGTTGATTTATATGACATATCAACTAGCTGGAGGACTGCAGCCCATGGAAAGAATTCATTTGTAAATTGTATGGTGGAAAGCTTTTAGTTGCAAATTCATACTACAAATGATCTTTGGAAAATGGAATCCCTATTCAACTCTTCTGAGAATATATTTAATTTTGTATTAGTCTTTCATTATTTATTATTATTGTTGTTGTTGCTATTAGGCTAAGGTGACATTTGTGAAGCCAAATTTTAATGTTGTCTTCTATACCACAGACATAAAAACATATTTTTAGCTTGTTGGTTGTTAATGTTTCCAAGCAAATGCAAATAAAATTAGTTCAGTGAGTATGCAGTGCAGAAAATACACTCATTATAATTCAGTTCACTGTAGATTAGAAAACTGAACCACGTGTTCACCTTTCTAAGTCTCTATTCTGATTAAGTGGAATAAGAAGCTAATACAGTGCTTTAATACTAGGTAAAACTTATTTACTGTTAGCAGATTTCAGCTTACATATGGTAGGTTAATTTGAGAATTTTGTAAAAAATATATATGTAATATATACACACACATATAAATTCATGATCAGATAAAGGATTATTATTGTTGTCATTTCCCACCACCTTTGAGCATGTTGCATTGATTTGTTATTTATTACCTGGAATCAGTCTTAAAGATATTTAGACAGGAGAGATTTCCTGTAAAGTAGGAAGAAGCAAGGGTATCCCAGGAATGTGAGGTAAGTACAGGATTTTGAAGGAGTGGAAGAGAATTTTGGATGCAGTGCAAAGTTCTTTAGGATGCCCCTACTGAGCCCATACAGGAAGAGAAATGGACAATGCTACTGGTAAAGAAAATGGTGTTATCAGGTTCAGCAGTTGAGCACAGAACTGTTTCTGTATTCCACTGCATATTGTTCTGATGACATAGATCCTTCACAGCACTCTCTCTGCAATCTTAATATTTCATTTTAAGTACAGGGCAAACCTTAGAGAGAATTTCTTTTGCAAAATAATTTTTGAAAGATTTATTAGACAATTTTGTTTTAATTCTTCTTAATTCCAAGTTCCCAGTGGGAGACTCATGCAGTTTCTTCTTCCTTCTGTTTAGGACTGGGAAAAATGTGAAAAAGGAATAGCTGATTCCCTGGAGAAATTGAAAGCTTTCAAAAAAAAGCTTACCCAACCATTGCCAGATCACCATGATGAGCTGCATGCAGAGCAAATGCGTTGCAAGGTAACCTTTGACCTTTCACCTCTAGAGTAATAAAAATATTGAAAGCATAATCAATATCTCATATTTATGGATTGTTTTAGAGTTTATAAAGTGCTTCCCTCAGGAGACCATAAGGTAGGTGGTGCAAGCATTACTCTTTTCATTTACAGATAAGGAAACTGAGACCCAGAGAATTTAAATAACATGCCTAGCTTCCCACAACTAGTAAGTACCAGAGCCTGAATTCCAGCCCATTTCTCTTAATTCCCATTCAAGGATTCTTTTCATTACTTGCTTCTTCTTTGTAAATTTTTTCCAGACAAAGTTGTACCTTCTCTGCCACTTCCCCACTCCTACTCCAACATTGAGAAAAAATACAGAACACTTCTCAAAATTGCACATCAGCCTTGCTTAGGGGCCATCCTAATTTTCTTGTATCATTCCAGCTGTAATAATGGTGTTGCGAAGTGAGCACCTCGCTTCTAATAATAAAAATAAATCCTTACATCTATTTACAGGTATAAACAAGTTACTGTTACATTACATAAAGGTAGATTATTTTAGGGAGAATTATATATATCTGATTTATGGCAAGTGATGGAATTATGCCCCTACCTGTACAATACAAAAATGAATCCTAAGCATTCATACAGATGTATACTTAAACTTAGCATGTGAGCATAGAAGGAGTATTATGAACATAACTAAGGAAATGTATCTTCTAGTCTGCCTTAATTATTAACACACCAAGGGATTGCCAAACCAAGAAATTCTACAGACAGTTGCCTTCTAAGGAACACACCCTGTCTCCTGGTTCCTATTAGCTGGCTTGTGGAAACAGTAGCTGACCTCATATATACATTACATATATTAAGAGCTTTTGAAGGGAGATAGCATTTTCAAATTTCCAAAGCTAAAACTATTAACAGATTACAATCAGCACCTTAAATTGTACTTGGAAACAAATCAGTAACTAATACAGACTACTCCCTAAATAATGTGCTACTGAAATTAACATCATTGAGAAGCCATAATTTAGTAATAGATATACATCTTAATAGGAAGGAAGAAAACACTCATTTATTAAGTGCCTAATGTATTCCAGGTACTTTACATGTATCATCTCATTTGGTCCTTAAAGCAATCCTGTGAGGTCTAGGTATATTATTATCCCCATTTTATAGTTTAGCAAACTGAGGCAGACACAAGTTAAATGGCTTGACCAAGATCACACAGTTAGTAAATGTATGAGGCTGGATTTGAACTCTGGGCTTTTAGTCTCCAGGTCCAACATTCTATACTCTATGCAAATTCAGTGCCTATAGTAGAAATGTAATAACTTGGAGTTCCTTTCAATATAACTTCATTATTTGGCAGTTGAGTAAACTGACAACCAAGGTAGGGAAGTGGCTTGTTCAGGGACACGCAACTAGTCAGTGGTAGAGACAGAATTAGAAAACTTTTTCAAAATAAACTGATAAATCAAAATTTAAAAAAAAGAAAACTTTTCTTTTTTAGGGAAAAAACGATGACTATGAAAGTTGTTCATATGAGTCAGCTCTAACCAGCCTTAACATATTGCCTGACATATAGGAGGTATTCAGTAAATGTTTGTGAAATCAAATTGAATTCAATTTCCCAGCCTCCTTTCTCTTAGCCCCAGACAGCAAGAGATAGACACAAGATATATATGGATGAGTTTCATAGTCTTTTAAAGTTGCAAACCTTATTATTCAGGCAATAAGGTGGCCCAGCAAAGTAAAGTACTAGCCCTGGCGTCAGGAAGACCCACATTCAAATGTGGCTTCATATGCTTCCCAGTGTGTGACCCTGGGCAATTCACTAACCTCTTAGCTTCAGTTTGTTCATCTTTAAAACAGAGATAACAATGGCACCTACCTCTGGAGATGTTTTAAGGATCAAATGAGACAACCTATAAAGATAATTGCAAACCTTAAACATCTGTATAAATATCATTGTTGTTCTTGGGCAGAGATTGAAATTTAAAACATAAGATAGTAGTTTGGATAGATATCTGGTTTTGAAGCCATATATATACACATATATATTTGTTTGTTTGTTTGTTTATTATGTATGTATGTATGTATGTATGTATGTATGTATGGCTTCAAAACTATATATTATTATATATATACATATATTAAATATTTTAATGAAAAACAAAAGATGTAAGCTGTTTCATAAATATAAATTTAAGCTCTTAATATACATAGAAACATTTTTTAAATCTTATATAAATAGTTGTAAGATATTATAATTCAAAAATATGAGGAGGGAATTGGAATTCTGACATACTTCTACAATATAGAACAATAAACTTTTGTAAACATTTTAGGAAAGCTGAATAGAAGCATGTTCACCACAGTCTATAAGCTATGTGTTAGTCCTACTTCCTCCTATAATTACTTAGAAAAATTTAATAAAACTATTCTATCTAGTGAAAATAACATTCAATTAATCTATGAAGTTGCTTTGGATATGAAAGTAATGCTCCAGAGGTGAAAGAAAGATTTTTTAGCAGTATCACAAGAGATGATGGTTAACAGACTTAATCATTTTTCACCATCTTCCTGCCAAGTTGGCATACCTAAACTCTAGTCCTTTACTTCCTTCAGAAAGTATAAAGTTCATCTTTACCATTTAAAACAGCTGAAAAACTTTTCATATTAGATATTAATCCTTAGTATAAGAAAGTTCAAGGCTACTTAAAGAAATTATATAATCTCCTTTAAATGTATAACTGATAACCATCTATGGAATTCTGCTGACTTAAAAAAGAAGGACCTCAAGAGTGATGGGGAAAAAAAATCAGGATATTGTAGCATACTCCATTTTGGAAATTCGACGATTCTCCAGGCTTTGAACTAAAGGCAAAGGAGAGATGTCTTTGATTAGTTTTATTTTCAAGATGAAATCAGCTCTCTGTAAAGTTATTAATGATAATATTGTCACTTGGAGAATTTGGTGTCTGAGCTGACTATTGTTGCTTTGGGACATGATTCGCCATCAGAGAACTAACGTCAGTGTTGGAAACAAAAGTGATGATCTTATTATTTGGATCCAGATTAAAGAAACTTTTTTCCTGTTCTCTGCACTCCCCTCTAATACTCTGCCACCCTTAACAACAAACTGAAGGACTGATATTGGCCAAAGTGTAACATATCCACATTATCTAGAATTTTAGTCTCACATAGAGTTGCCTGGATTTTATGCTTTCTTTTAAGTATCCTGGACTCTTTGTAAAGAGCCAAAAACCTATGTAAAAACCTATATAAAGTACATTGCTTATTTGATCTATTAGTTGGAATCCTAACATCAGAAGACTGTTAGAGAATAAAAACTATGCGAATTGCGAAAAGGGGAACCTGCCAAAACATTGTAAGGGCAAAGTTGAGGCACTAGAATGTCGTTATTGGGACAGTGTCAATACCCACATTAGAATACAGATGACATTAGCTTCATCAGTAGCTTGAATAATTAGATTTGCAACAATATTAAGTTATCTTTCATGAATAATAACAGCAAGATATAATTTTCTGCATATTTTACATGTATAGTAATAATAGCTACCAGCACTTACAGAGCATTTCAAGGTTTGCAAAGTACTTTATATACATTATCTTATTTGATCTTCACAGTAACCCAATAAGGTAAGTGCTCTTATTATCCCATTGTACAGATGAGGAAGTTGAGAAAAGCAGAGGTTAAGTGACTTGCTCAGGGAAACAGCTAGTAAGTGGCCAAGGCAGGATTTGAACTCATGGCTTCCTGATCTGGTTTATCACTCTGTCCACTGCAACTAATAGATGCCTATAAGTACATGTTTTATGTCTTCATAGTGTGAAAAGGAGACTGTTTCATAAGATAGATATTTCAAATATGTGAGAGATTAAAGATAGAAAGGTAAATCTAGGAGTCAGTCTTTGTAAAGGCATCAGGATTATTCCAAAGTAGAAGAGAAAGAGTTTAAATGGAGAGCTAGAACTAAATGGGACCATGTGAAGAGAGAGAAGGGATGAATGGAAGGAACTGTCATCACAAGAATTCAGAGCAGAAACTTTGCATTTTCCCAGTAAAATTTGCTGAACTGCCAAATAACCAGGTAGTAATTTAATAATGAGGTTGACAAAAATTAGGTGTTGTGGTTTCAAATATCATGGAAATAAAGGAAGTTTGAGTAGTGAGGTGCCCAAGGTAGAAGAAAGAAACCCATATTTAAAGAGCTATATATCAGAAATATACTCTCATAATGTGGAAATATAATGATGTGATCAAAGTAATAATACCATTTATATGACTTGATAGTTTTATGAGGACTTTCATGTTGAGGAGAAAACATAAACATTCAAACTGATTTCTTTTCATGCAGGAGTTAGAAAATGCTGTTGGAGGCTGGACAGATGACTTGGCACATCTGGTACTCCTAAAGGATACTCTCTCAGCATACATCAATGCTGATGACATCTCTATCCTCAATGAACGCATAGAGTTGCTACAAAGGCAATGGGAAGAACTCTGTCACCAGGTAAGGCACTTTTTTTTATTTAAGTCTTCTATCTTTATATGCTAATTATTTAACTCTCCATCCCTCCCCCAGCCCTGGACATGTTGAACCTTTGCTTGTGACAAAAAAAAAAAAGCAATTGCGCCATACTATTAATTACCTTGTTTGTATCTAGTAGTGTTCACAGTATTCTATCCTACTAGAGCCCCATCTCTCTTCTTTGAGGGAAGGTATATGATTCATTATTTAGTGTATTGAACTTCTGTTAGCTTTTCAGGAACATAAGAGTTCAACTTCATTTTAGTGATTATTTACTTTGCATAGTTTTAGTCATTTTGAGGATTTACTCTGTGTTGGTTAATAAAAAAAAAGTTTCCATGTTTCTATGAATTCCTCAGATTCATCATATCTTACTACCCAGTAACATACATTAATGTTTATTTATGGTGCTTTAAGTTTGCAAAGGACTTATGTTGTCCCATTTAATCCCCACGATATCATAGACTTCTTTTTCCTCTTTATTTCTTCTGAGTTTAGTGAAATAACCCCAAATGTTATAGTCACAAGAAATGCTTAGTAAATGTTTGTTATTATGGTAGTTCTTGATGATGATGATGATGATGATGATAAGACTCTCTGACCTAAAGGCAGTTATTAAACTTCTATATACTTGTGATCCTTCCTTCTGAAAAAGAAGAATAATATTCCTGATCAATTCTAGGATTAATAGAGCCGTTCTTATAAATATAAATAAATATGTCTCCTAAGAGTAAAGGTGTTATGTAAAATAGATGTGGGAGTGTTACTGTTAACTGTTAGGTGGACAGAGAATATATGTTAAAGCTATTTTTCATATATAGACACCTAGGCACCAATCTGTTTGGAAACAAATTTAGAATTCTCCGGCTGAGATGGGTGACCAGGTGATATGCTCTAGAAAAGAATCTGGTCGATTAGCTACTAGAGTTATTGCCTGCTGGGAACAGACTAGGATTTATTAGGGAAGAGATGGTCTGGAATAAATAGTTCTGTTTTTCATTGTGTGTATAAATATATAAAATCTTTACAAATCATGGAGTCTTATGGATAAAGTTAAAAATCAACCTTTGTCTCCTTATCTTTTCACCAACTCTAAGCTCGACAGAATGGTTCTTTTAGGTAGTTCTTTTCTTAGCTACTATTTCAGTTTTTAACTGAGCAAGAGTAATATGCTTTTCTTACAAGTTTTTGAGTTAGACATTTCCGGTGAATAGACATCAAGGTTAAAACCACAAAAGGAAATGAGCTTGTATCCGTGTTTCACTTTAAAAATCAAATGTAAATAGTTAGAAAATGGCATTATACCTCTGTTGAAGAGCAGTTGCTGTTTTTGTACTCCACCTAACTTATTGATGGAAATTCAGAAGTAACTGGAACTGCAGGTGATAATGAGGAAGTAAGCTGCTGTAAGTAGATATTGTTCCTGTATAAATGTATAAAATTACTATTTTTCAGTCTGAAAAGGCAGTTTGTTATGCTGTATACAACTGTGGCTTATTGGTTCATATTCCTATGTATAGCTTGATGGATTTTGTTTTCTTTTGTTTTGTTTTTGTGTAGGTCACAGGGAAGAATGGAAAGGTCATTACTGTATTGGCTTAAGAATTTTTTTTTCCTCAAATGTTTGTTACTTAACTCATATTTAAAGTAGAGAAAGATATGTTTCCTGTGTCAGTATTGTTCAGACAGTAGGCTGCAACCTATTCTTATCAACTATTGGTACTATAACCTTTTTTAAATACTAAATTAAATATAAAGACAAATGTAAAGTCATCATGTACTATAACCTTTTTTAAATACTAAATTAAATATAAAGGCAAATGTAAAGTCATCATGCATTCAACAGAAATGCAATTCTTTTGGATGGTAGGTGGCCTCCAAAGAATGGTATAATAATGTTCAATTGTTGCACTTCTTAAATAGACTCTTTAAATTGGAAAAGAGTATATCATTGATGTTATTTTAAAGCACTTATAATTTCATCAGTGTGATTGCTTTCTCTCTGCCCATGAGCATAGCAGCACAGAGAGCAGTGGTTCTGAACCGTTTTGGGGGCCTGGATCCCTTTTTCAGTCTGGTGAAGCTTGTCAGCTTATATTTGAAGGAAACCAATTATATTCCATACAGTTATAAAAAAAATTTAAACCAAGTTCATTACAATCTCCTGCCTTAGAGGCTTCATGGAACAGTGGGAAAATCAGTAGCACTAGAGTCAGTGACACTGGGTTCAAGTGCCAGTTCTTACATTTGCTAGTTGTGTGGCCTTGAGCAGCACTAGGCCAAGCCCAGAACCTTGGAGTGCTTTGCTAAAGATTTTCAATGTGAATCAATTCTTGAAGAAAGTAGGGGAATAGCAGGAGTGTGGGGAGGCAGGGTATTTGAAGTATATTCAAAGGATGGAATAAGCAAAATCATAGAGGGGAGAAATAGAATGAGACTGACAGCAATAGCTAGAATTTATATAGTATTTTAAGGTTTACAAAGAGCCTTCCAAATATCTAATTTGATCCCCATAACAACTTGGAGAGGTAGTTGCTATTATTATCTCCATTTTACAGTTGTAGAAACTGAAGCAGACAAAAGGTTAAGGGAATTTGCCCAGAAACACACAAGAAGTGTCTCAATCTGAATTTGAACTCCTGTTTTCCTTATTACAGATCCAGTGCTCTATCTACTGTGCCACCTAGTTGCCTAGTAGAGTTTAGCATAAACATAGAGTACGTGAGTAGGAGATAAGGTTGCAAAGGTACATTGGAAGCAGATTTTGGAAGACCTTGTATGTCAGGATCAAGTATTTAACTTTGTTAGTTTGACAGTAGGGAAACACTGAAGATTTTTTTAGTAGAACAATGACTTAATCATTGTGGTGCATTGAGAAGATGACAGCTAGTAAAATAAAGTATGATTGCAACATGAATAGTCTAGGGTAAGACTACCAGTTAAGATGTTATTACCATAGTCTATAGGAGGTATTGGAGTCCTAAGAGTGGAAGTTATGTCATTAGCTCAGACAAAGTTGGGGAATTTTTATTTTTAATCAGGGTCTTTTAGTGGACATTTAAATTACCGTGAAGGAAGCCAGCTATTGTATTCATGCCTTGATTTAGACAAGCTCTGCCTAACAAAGTATGGTGCCTATTACTTTCTCCTAAATAGGAGCCTCGTGGATATTCTTATCCTTTGGTATCCTTGGGATATTCATAATAAAAAGGAAGGAGAATAGGATTTGGAGTCAGAAGATTTGGATTCAAATTTCGCACCTTCCATTTCCCTCTGTGTCATCTTGAGCAAGTTCCTTAACCTCATATGTAAAATAAGGGGATGGTACCAGTCAACCTCTAAGAACCATTATAGCCTTAAACCTGTGGTACTGGGATTGTGGAAAGAAGGGGACCAAATAGTCACTGACTTTTTGAGTTGGAAAACACCTTAAAGATCATCTATTCCTGTCCCCTCGTTTTATTGTTGAAGCCTAGAGAGAAACAAAATGATTTAACCAAGATTACACAAGAAGTCGGTGGTACAGCCACTACTATAGTTGCATAGTGTTGGTATAGCCAATACTGTATTGTTGTTTTGGGGGTTTTCTTGGTATTTTTTAGTTGTGTCTCACTCTTTGTGACCACGTTTGGGGTTTTCTTGGCAAAGATATTGCAGTGGTTTGCCATTTCCTTCTCCAGCTCATTTAACAGATGAGGAAACTAAGGCAAATAGGGTTAAGTGACTTGGCCAGGGTCACATAGCTAGTAAATGTTTGAGGCCAGATTTGAGGAGTCTTCCTGACTCCAGGCCCCACTCTATCCACCTCAGCACCTAGCTGCTCTGGCCAATATTAGAACCCATGCCTTAACTCAGTATAGAACTCTTTCAAAGTTCTAACAGTAGTACACTTTATCCCATGTTGAAAAGCACATTAGATTCTGTATTCTATGAATCCATCATAATTTCAATTTTTACTAAACAATTCTCTCTCTCTCTCTCTCTCTCTCTCTCTCTCTCTCTCTCTCTCTCTCTCTCTCTCTCTCTCTGTCCTTCTCTGTCTGTCTGTTCTCTCTCTCCCTCTCTCTCCCCCCCCTTTTCCTCCTTCATTTTCTTCTTCTTTGTTCTCCCTATTTCAACACTGGCAGGTATCTTTACGTCAGCAGCAGGTAAATGAGAGATTGAATGAATGGGCTATCTTCAGTGAGAAGAACAAAGAGCTTTGTGAATGGTTAACTCAAATGGAAAGCAAAGTTTCTCAAAATGGTGACATCCTCATTGAAGAAATGATAGAGAAGCTTAAGAAGGTATGGAATGTTCAGCTTTTGATGTCTTAGGGTTTCATATTACTTATACATGTCTTTCTAAGGAACTACATGGATTCTTAGTCTACATACAATTTTCAGCAAAAAAAACTCTTTATTTAACATTAGAGTCATTCTCGATCCTTGTTGGAATCTCTTTTCCCCAGGGTTCAATTTTATAGCATAGCCATGTTGTTTGCCCTCCCCAACAACCACAGACAGATGGCCATCCAAACACCCCCTGTCATCTTAATTATTTATTGTCCATTTATTTCTACATAATCTCCATAGAGTCTTTATTGAATACACTGGAGACTTTCCTCTGTTTTAGGATACAAGTGTCATAACGTGGGCTAGCCTTGTGTTATCTCTCATTCTCATTTAATAAACAGTTGACAAAAATGCTTGGCAAATGCATATGTAAGCATCATTTACACTTTTGCACAATGATTCCCCTAATGTACAGTGGTGAACCAGTGTCTAGTATCATAAAGAGCAATAAGACATTGTGGTCTCTTTTATTGGGAGTCTTCTTATAATAATTATCACAAATTAACCCATTATATTAAATGACGTGTTAAACATATCCCAATGAATAAAAACATAAAACGAAACAGCTTTTTAGGCATTCTATAACCCCCACCAATAGAGCTATATAATTATATTTACAAATAAAGTAACTGTTTTACTGATAAGAATTTATAATCCTGTGGAAATTCTGGTAAATAAAATTATTCTGAAGTCAATACTATAAAATTGAATTTTTTTCTAGTAGTTCATAGGTGAATGCATTAAAAATAAGCCTCCTGATCTTCATGACTGTTATTTATTACTCAGGATTATCAGGAGGAAATTGCAGTTGCTGAAGAGAACAAAATCCAACTACAGCAAATGGGAGAACGACTTGCAAAAGCTAGCCATGAAAGCAAAGCATCAGACATAGAGTATAAGCTAGGAAAGGTCAATGACAGGTGGCAACATCTCTTGGATCTGATCGCAGCCAGGTAAAAAAGGACCCTCTTATTGCCTTCACTAGAGTTTGTGTGCACTGAATCAGAAAGAAAACATTTTCTCTGAATACAACACATAGATTCCTTTCTTTACTTCCTTATTCCATGCTTTTAGCTAAAGTTTCTCTCAAAAATTAATTAGCTTAACTCAATAACCCTGGTGATAATGACATTTAAAAAGGAAGTTGTTGATTAGCCTTCCCAGAATGCATGTCTAAGAGTGATTTCCTTGTTTATTTCTGGGTCAGAAGACACACCTAAAAATCTCTTTAAGAATATAGGGGCTATGGACAATAGAAAAGAATTTTTTTATCTAGTCTTTGCAAAGAAAGTTAATCAAATTCATAAACTAGCATTGCGTTGTCTCATTAACAGTTGTCCTTTTATGTTAAACATTCTGTTAGTTACATACTTCTGCATAATGGCTCAGAGAAAGATAAGGTATAATTATTGGGGTAAAAGAAGTATTAATATTAATTTTAATAGCTCACATTTACAAGACACTTTAATGTTGACAGAACATTGCCCTGTGAAGTTGGTTATGCAAGCATATTTATACCCATTTTACAGATAAATCCATTAATAAGTATTTGTTAAGCACCTACAATATGCCAGGAATTGTATAAGGTGCTGGGAATACAAACACAAAGAATGAAGCAGTCCTTATTCATGAAGAGTTTATGTTCTAATGGGGAAGATAACAAGTACATGTATAAATATATACAGCATAAATACAGAGTGGGGACTAAGCTTCAAGGAGCTAGAGTGATTTGCTGCAAGAAGTGTCAGAGCTAAGACTGTAATCCAGGGGTAGAGAACCTGCAGCTTCAAGGGCACATGTGGCCTTCTGGGTCCTGGATTGCGGCCTTTTGACTAAGTCCACAGAAGAAATTCTTTTGTTAAGGGGATTTGTTCTGTGAAGTTTGGATTCAGTCAAAAGGCCACATTCAAAGACTTAAAAGGCCACATGTGTCCTGGAAGTTGTAAATTCCCCATCCTTCCTGGGTCTAACCCATATCTTCTGACTTTGAGTCCAGTGTTCTTTTCCTTAAAAGCGATGAGCCCACCCTTCATTCTTCTCCCCCTCAAAAAAGAAGGGAAAAAAAAGAAAATTCAAGAAAGCTCCTTCTGGAGGCATGTGGCATCTGAGATAATTTTAGGGAGATAAACGAGCAATTACGATAATAATTGCAATAATGCTAATGATAAGGGATTGTCTGAAGGCAACTATTAGGCAGATATTGGAGAGAGTTGATTATCATTAAATTCACAAGGGAGGAAGGGATTTGAATGGTAATAATTCCTTTCTCTAATTCCCATTGGCATCAGAACTGTCTCAACCCTATTTCTGAGCAGAGCTCCATTATTCATTAATGTTATGCTACAACCCCTGTTCAAGTGAAGACCTGCTCACAGAGCATGCAAAGCATTTCGTAGCTTATTAGAAGGTCATTGAATTCAATGACATTCAAGATGTCCTATTTATAGAGGAGTTGCACAACACTTTCATTTATAAAAGGATGCCCAATTTTGGAGGTAGGTGAGATGATTAGGATTTTCTTGGTTTCACTGAATAGGAAGGCAAAAAGGAAGTTAATGCATGTCATCACTTAAGGGTTTTGGTTTGTTATAACAACCTTATACATCAAGATTGTCTTAAGAGCTCCTTGAAAAAAAGGTAGCCAACAATTTGGTTTCATTACAGTGAATGTTATTTCTTTTATTATGTTTACTTTGGGGTTCTTCTCCTTACTTTGGGTATATGTAATCCCAATTAAGATTTAAAAATCTACTACTATTTTAGCTTTATTTCATTTGTATCCACATGAAAACAAACTTCTTTCAGAAGGATAAATTCAGAATGCATTCTACAGAATACTCCCTCCCATTGGAGGAGCTGAAATATATGCACAATTGTTGTGAAATATTGGGTTTTTTCTAGATCTAGATAAGAAAGATTAGATTAAATAGTATTTTAGAATAACCCACTGAAGCCAGTCAAAATTCTTTGATGCCATTGGCTGAGACATTTTGAGAAAGAAGATACATTGTAGAAAAGCTTAAGCATTTAGATGAGCAATTTAAAATATTCTATAGGTATTAACATCAAGCCAAAATTAGATTTACTGTTTTCACTTCAAAAGAATTTTTATGTATAATACAGACTTCCCTGAGCATTTGATTTAGAAATCTCAAATATTTCCCTAGCCTTTAAAAATAAAATATAAATTGCCTAACATGAATAGGTTTATAAAGCATCCACCATATACTCTAAAATTTGCTATGATATCTTTTGTATGTTCCCTACTTAAACAAAATAATAAAACCCACCACTTACTTTAAGAGACAGAAGAATGAGCCCTAGAATCAGAAAACTTGGATTTGAGTTATGACTATAACATTTATTTGCTATGTGATCTTATGCAATCACCTTCTCTCTGCAAGTCAGTTTCCTTATGTAAAATGAGGATGAGGAGGGGAGAATGGCTTAGCAAATAAAGAACCAGTCTAGGATCAGGAAAACCTGAGTTCAAGTTCCCCTCTCTGATTCATAATGCCCATGGGACTCTGGGTAACTCACTTAATCTCCCAGTGTCCCTAGAAGTTCTGTAAGACTTAACAAGAGTTGATCAGCATTGGTAAAGGCATTTGCTTCACAGGGAGTTTTCTATGCTAATGAAATTATTGGTCAACTCGCCCCACCTCTATGGAATTAATAGTATATGTACTACCTACTACTAATACCTACCTCTGTGTGTGGGTGGGTGGGTGTGTAATATATAGAAAGTTATTTGGAATCTGTAATGTGTTTTTTTTAAATGTGAGCTTTTTTGTGGACTTGGGGGCCAGAGGGTTATTTTGTTATGGGATTATTTTTGGCTTAGAAGGTTTGGGGTTTTTTGCTTTGGGGGATTACTTCCTCTGCTTCTTATTCTCATGATATTTCTATTGCCTTTATTCAGAAAAGTTGCCCTTTTTCTAATTATCATATGCCAAATTGAATAGCAACTGTAGATGGTTAGTTGGTTTTAGGCTTTCATGCTTCATTGGATCCATTTTTTTTTCTAAACAACTTCCCAAAGGACATGTTGACCTTATAAATTTGTTTTTCCATTTCCTTGTCTATCAGCGCATCATTAGACAGTGTATTGGCTGAGTAGCAATATCCAGTAATAGTTTTCAGCTGTACCTTATCTGTAGCATCTTCAGCTGCACGCAGTCTGCTTGTTTATAATGCAGGTTTATGCATAACCCATTTCTTCCAACTTGTTGGACCTTCTTAATTTTAGCTGCCAATCCTCTTCTGTCCTCCAACTTGTCAAATCCAGGACGAAATCTGTAAAATAGAATTGTAATCTTTTGCATAAGTTCTGTTATGAATGCTTTGAAAGCTCTGTTCACATCAGGTTACTATAGTTCCAACATTAATGACTCAAGGACATTTGTTGTTATCCATTCACTTGAAAGATTTCTCCTAGCAACCAAAATTATGACCTAGCATGGATAGTAGAAAGAACATTGGATTGAGTCAGGAGACCAGAGTTGTAATGAGTGAATACAAATAGTTCATTACATGTCAAACACAGTGCTAAGTAAGTCCTGGGGACACAGATACAAGCTGGGGGGAGTCCCTTCCCCCTAGTAATTTAGAGTTTTTGAAATGAATGAAATCCACCTCCTCCCACCTCAATTAACAATAAAGTCTATAGCCAAAGACTTTCATCAACTAAGAAGGGCCCAAAGCTTTGAATGGGTTTTAGAATCAATCAATGAACGTGAAGTATAAACAAGATTGCCTGTAACCTGAGATGAAAAAATCTTTAATTGAAGAAGAGAAAATTTATCAGTAGCTAACCAAACAAGCTAATCAAAGTATCAGAAGAATTTCAGTAGTTTCAAAGAAGGAGAATCTAGCATAGCAACAGAAGATTTCTGTTACTGATGTGAGTATTCAAGATTGAGCTGAGACCTTGAGAAAGAGCTGCTCTTGGAGAGGAGGGGAGAAAGGAAACAAGCATCTATAAAGTACCTACTGTATGTCAGCAAATACACTAAATGCTTCAAAATTATCAAATCTGATCCTCACAATAAGCTTATGAGGTAGGCGCTATTACTATCCTCATTTTATTGTTGTGTAAGCTGAGGTAGAGGTTAAATGACTTGTCCAGTTATTCAATCATCAACAACAATTCTCAGATCTACCTATCCTGCCCCAACCTCTCTCCTGGTATCCAATCTACAACTGCCTTTCAGATATCTCAAACTGGATATTCAGTAGACATCTTAAACCCAGCATGTCCAAAACTGAACTCATTATCTTTCCCCAAAACCCTCCTTCCCTCACACTTTCCTTAGGACAACATATCCTCCCAGTCCCTCAAGCTTATAATCTAGAAGTCATACTCACTATTTCTCACCACCTCATATACCTCACTATTTCTCACCATCCCATTCCACATCCAATCTGTTGCCAAGGCCTGTTGATTTCATCTTTACAATATCTCTCAGATATGTCCCCTTCTCTGATACCACCACCACCCTGGTACTGGCCCTCATCACCTTGCTCCTTAGTTATTACAATGGCCTGATGGTGAGTCTGTCCAAGGGTCTCCCCAATCCAAACCATCTTCCATGCAGCGACTAAAGTGATTTTCTTAAAATGAAAATTCAGCCATGTCACACATACCCTACTTGACAAACTCCATGGCTCCCTATTGTCTCCAGGGTCAACTACAAAATGTTCTGTTTGACATTCAGAGTCCTTCACAACCTAGCTCCCTCCTCCTTTTCGGTCTTAATACCTTAATCACAGCCGTGTATTCTTCAATCTAGTAACACTGGGTTTTTTTCAGTTCCTCCAACAAGACATTCCAATCTCTCAATTCTGGGCATTTTCTTAGGCATTTTCTTCCTCCTGAACTCTACCTCCTGACTTCCCTGGCTTCCCTTAAGTCCCATCTAATATCCCTTCTGAGCCTCAGTTTCCTTGTCTG